GAATGCGCTTAACGTATGACACCTCGTATGACAGCTCTCGCGAGAGTGACTCGCTGATATCGCGTGACATCGCATTACAGGAGGCGACGACGTGCAACAGCTGTGCGACGCGGGCGAGGAGGAGTTCCTGGAGATCATGGCGCTGGTGGGCATGGCGAGCAAGCCGCTCCACGTCAGGAGGCTTCAGAAAGCCTTGCAGGAGTGGCTCACTAATCCCTGTAAAGTATCACGCTTTTTCGTGCTCTCTCTCTCTCTCTCTCTCTCTCTCTCTCTCTCTCTCTCTCTCTGTGCTATCCCGAGCCCTTATCTCGCTCGTATTTATTACGTAGCTTATGTTTTAACGTAACGTTTCACGCGCTCGCGTTGAAACACACGATCTCGCGTGTGGCGACAATACGAAATTCTCACATCTCCGCAGCGTTGTTTCAAACGCCGGTCGTGCCGACGAACGCCGCTGCAGCCGCCGCAGCCGTCGTCGCCGCCGCGGCGGCCGCCAAGAGCCCGGTCGCCGCCGCCGCCGCCGCCACCGCCGCCGTCGGCTTCGCGTGCGCGAGCCCGCGGCCGCAGATGCAGAGCCTGCCGACCGGCTTCGCCGCGACGTCGCAGACCTCCCTCACGCCGACGTCCTACGTGTCGACGACGCCCCACATTCCACTGACGCCGCTGCCCTGCCGAAGCTCCAGCCCGGTCGTGCCGGTCACCAGCGTGTCGGCGTCGGCGTCCTCCACGACCTTCCGCCAGAGCCCGAGCCCGAACACGTCCTTACCTTACGCGACCACTCATAGCCCCAATGTGTTACAGGTAAAAAGAGATTCACCCCGTTCGATCGCGGCCGATGAAGTCCTAGGGAAATCGTCTTCTTGATTGATTGATTGATCGCGTGAAGAAATCGACGAGCGCGACTGTGTTGAAGTTCCAGATTTTCGAGCTTCCGTATTCGCGCGTTATTAAAATGCTCTCCGCCGACGAAGCGTTAAGCAAATTTTTACGGGGACTAATGTCGAAAAACAGCTTATATTTTATATATATATATATAATATGTAGGAATCTTTGATTTATAAAAAATTATAATTATAAAGATAATATTAACATTTTTAGAGAATTAATTGTGAAAATGGCTGACCGTCTAAGAAATTAAATTATGCGAGTAACGCTTGTAACATCTATCTTTTTATCGACTCATACAGACATTAATGAACATACAGAATTGTGTAATCATGTGGACTTTCAGACGTCGCTTTCGTGCCATTTTTATGCGCTTCATTGCTCACTTTGTCGCGTTTACAGGTAGGAACGTGCGAGTCTTCGTGCGGCAGCGGAACCACGCCGAGCCCGAGCGGCGGTGGCGGCGGCGGCGGCGGTGGTGCACCTGCGAGTCCGACACAGCCAACGCCGACCCTCCTGCAGTCACAGGTGCAGCGGCTCGCCGAGGCCGCGGAGAGGCTCGTCGCCACCATAAGGCCCCTCGATCCCAAACCCCACAACGTGAAGAAAAAACTCTGCAAGAAGCTGGAGGTGATTCGACTCATTTCGACCGGCAGACGCGCTCGCGGGCGTGCTCGAAATACGAGAAGACCCTCGTACGCACCCTCGTACGCGGGGCTCGCTTTCAACCGCCTAGCTTCACTTTTACATCCCCATGAAAAATTTAACGTTCATTTTAAACGCCATCGTTTAATAAGACTGTCACGCGCGTCAACGGCCCCGTTTTTTAATTTAAGTCACAAATTCTAGCGCGAGCGATGAAATATTTTTATAAAACAGACGGCATATTTTTATTTTACAGATGGTGATGACGATGCCCGACAGTGATCCACGTAAGATGGACGAGATCCGGAAGTACGCGGCGATTTACGGCAGATTCGACTGCAAGAGGAAGCCGGAGAAGCCTCTCACGTTGCACGAGGTGTCGGTGAACGAGGCGGCGGCGCAGATCTGCAGATTCGTGCCTGCCCTCCTCACCAGGAGGGACGAGCTGTTCCCTTTGGCGCGTCGGGTCGTCCGTGACTCCGGCTACCACTACTCCAAAAGCCAATAGTAAGTAAACGCAGGCTTATATTCGCCTATGTGATATCTGCAAGTTCGAGAGTTCAAAATTCAGATCTGATTCTAACAAATCTGAAGCAGGAAGTTCGTGTGATCCAAAACTTTTCTAGAGAATGATATTAATGAATCTGATGATAATATATTATATGAAAATATCAGCAGTTGACGTTAATTATGAGGTCGCAATCAAACATATCCTCTTTAACGGAGTTCAAATAATTAAATTGTTAGCAATATGTTAATTTGCCAGCAAATTGGAGCAGAATAGGTAGAACAGATTGTATCCCTTGTATCTCTGCGTTAAGCTCGTGCTCTGCCAGCGGAGTGTCTGCCGATATAATCCGGCAGATTGCCAACAGAAACTATAAATGGTCATTTTAATCATTTTCCGCCTAATCGTTTAAGTGAAATGTACCATTCAAATACTTGGCAGATTCTGCTCCTTTCTGTAATCAATCCGCCGTCATACACCATTAAATTCTATTACATTCCTATTGGCATATCCGCCGATAAAATTTCCAATAGACACTTTGCAAAATCTGTTTTCTGAATTTGACCGAGTATGCGATTCGATCTGCAAGCCTACTTATTTGTCCGATGTTCTTGCAGCTTGTCGATGTCGAGGCCGCGCGAGAACGGGGAGGAGACCGACGGCGAGCGCTCGAAACGCCGGAAGCTCGAGCTGGAGGGTGAGGTTGAGGTTGAGGACGCGACGCAGGTTAGATCATCCCGGCCACAGAAATAAGATCGTTCCCTGTGCACTGTGACCTGCCGCACTCGCATGGCCGCTAATCATTAACCGTACGCCCGTCGCGTAGAGATCGCCACGCATTTAACCACGTGCACTAACTTAAGAAACGCGCGAAACAGAATGGACGCGAAAAAGGTCAAGTATAGTTGCAAAAGCACGTGCATGGCTTGCGCTTCTACCCGCTTGATTGACTCGAGTTCGCGTGACCTGTTCGTTGATTGCAGTTGAGACCTGCATGAATCTTTCTTTCGCAATTTTTGCACCTGTGTGGCGTGCACCTAGGCGCTTTGACGCGTAATCATGTTAAGACTTTGCAATACATTATTTGCGTCTTTAAATCTAAAACCAAAGTCAATGAACATATCGATAACTTTGATCGTATCACTTAGATTAATGTATAAATTATGTGATAATGTATAAATTACACTTGCGATACGCATAAAAATAATTATATGAAAATTATGAAAATAAAATTCACATCACCTAATTTTGCCAAAGACATATCAACATTAATATATAGATTCGTTCACAACAAACGTGTTTCTTAAGAGCGATAAGACTTCATCTTTTTTTATAATTTTTTTGAATTTTTATTATAACACATTTTAGTTATTAAAGCGTAAAATAATTTTCAGTTTTGTAAACCATTTTAAATCTTAACTTTTGACATCTTGAGGGGAGGGGGGGGGGAGATTAAATAAGTTTTAAATAATCATAAATTTTAATCTATTTTTAATTAAATCGCAAAAAACGTTCCATTTATTGCTATTTAATTATGCCTTCTGAATTTAATTTGTGAAAAGCCGCTTGTATTTTTAATGACTCGACAGCATGCAAGTTATTATTACATTTTTTTTTAACAATAAGGAAATAGCTATTTTTCTTCTTTTATTTCTGAGTATCATTTTGTAATCCTATATAACTGCAATTTTTAGTAAAACTGGATTGGTCGTGATTTCTTTTACTTCTATTGCATGTATCTTCATTAAATCGTTAATTTGCACGTTAAACATATTTGAACACGTGGAATTCTCCATGGAAAAATAACGTGGAAGTTCTTTTTGTTTTACGTGTTAGATTTGATGGCAAAAAATCAGTCGTTTCGAAGGATGATTCGTTCGACACGACTTGCTTGGACTCTATGCTCTGCGCCTGGTATCCCAAGTCGTGTAGTGTTTATTTATCCGCTTATCTGGTCGTGGCCCCTCCCCCATATATCCCGCACATTTTCTCGCACCTCTCCTCTAGTTATTTTTCTCCTTTCTTTTTTATGCATCCAATTTGCTACTCCTACTGTCTGTAGCAGTTCACTGTTCCAGGAGGAGTTAGATCTACGCTGTTCTGGAACGGATATTAACAATTCCATCACGAGAAGACACAGGTCGTCGAGGTGATTATCCTTAATCTTAATTTTTGCAGTACTTTTATCTCAATGTATTAATGATTTTAGGAATTGGGAATCATGGACAAGAAAAAATATATATGAATATAGCAAGTCAAATTTAGACATTTAGCTTCTTTAATTAATAAATTAAAATTAATTACGATATATTAGTGTTCTATATTATTAAAAAATTGAAATATAAATAATAAATTAAAATGCTCGAGAGAAATATCCTTTCACTGTAATGTACGCTACACACATTTCGAGCATTTTCTTTAATTTATTTTAATTCGAAAAATATAAATTCTATCTATTGATCTATCTGCGTTTTTTTCCTTCTTTCTTTTTAATGTACTGGTAATTAAACATTACTTTTTAAATTGCCGTGTTAAAATTACATTTCCTACATAAATTATATCTAATATAAGGACGTGAAAGCCAACATTCGTCCAACACATTTTTGAATTTCGAAAATTATGTCTCACGCCTTATTTTAATCTCGATTTAGATATATTCGCGATTAGATATATTCGCATTTATCGTTACGTATACAATAAGAGTGCACATTGATGTTCAGATATTCGCATTGTTTCAGTCCAGTCTGGAGGAAGAAGAGTAATAACGGCATATTCAGCGCCAGCGTGGAGGAAATCAGTGACTCGGACAGCCAGTTCTCTTTCTCTAACGAGGAATCTTCGTCTATGCACGTATGTGATACGAGGAAAACTGTCTATCTGTGTAAAAATACTTATTTAAAATTTGGAAATAAAGGCAATTAAAACGGCAACGTGTTATCCGCGTTATGTTTCAGGACACAAACGAGGCGGAGGCTGAGAACACCGACAAGGAAGGCGACTTCAATCTAAAGGTGAGCGACGAGCGGACGGATCCAAGGTCCTCGGTTGTATCTTCATCTTTTATCTTTCGTCATCCTCCGCTCCGGAACGTTTAGAAGAACCGTTTGCAAAAACCGCTAAATGCGCCGCGCGAGTTTTTTTTTTTTCCTCAATCTGTTACGCCGTGTTCTTTTCTCTTTTTTGCGTTCTCCTGAATAATGCATGCTTCTTTAGAAATAGTAGGAAAAACGGCAATAGACGTCGCGCGGCGGCGACGTTTTACTGTGTACGGGCCCGGTTAATGGCTCACACATAAATTATGTGTTGTAGGTGATAGCCTCGCGCGGGGACAACATAATCGCCGTGGCGAATCCCGCGCTAATGGAATGCAGTCATCCCATAAAAGAGGAGCCCGCGGACGAGAAACCCACACTGTGATATTATTACTTAGCGTTTACTGCCGCCACCGACGTCACGGCGACGTGTGAATGAAGACGTACGCGGCCGTCCATCGCCATCGCCGGTCAATCGCCGTTGGTCACCGATCATCGTCCGCGCGAACCACCCCATCGTCCACACGTGTTACTTTACGGGGCGCGCGATAGCCAGCATTCGCGGTAGCGATCGTTGGGATAATCGATAACATGTATAACACCCGCTTGGCTTTTACACCTTTGGCTGGAGCGACCTTTAACCGTCTCTTCGCCGTCCGAACGAGGGACATTTTTACGACGCTGCCCGTTATCTAGTTCTAGCGAAAATACGAGAAAAGTTCACGAGAGACACTTGTATAGCGATTATACGACGAATGGTCTCTAGAAGGCGATAGAAATGAATAAAGAGTAAGCCGTTCAAATCAAAAGATCGTTGACTGAAGTATGTAGCATTATAAAGTGTACATTTTAAGCCAATGTAAATATAGGTAAATATATAAGGGTCCTCTTTTTTTACATGCGCCGTTGCCGTGTAGCTTTATTCGAAAGATTCGGCGTCACCTCTCTCGCAGAGCGATCAATCGATTCATCTTTGTGTCCCCTCTGTATACTTTTTTTTTCATAGAACACTAACATTGACGTTTATTATTTTGTTAAATAATTACTCCCTGTTGTTTTTCACAAAAGGTTATAAAGGAGACGAACGATTATAAATTCTTTTTGTGATTCGATTAAGAATTATATTTTCTCTACGCAGTATTAAATATTTGAAAGAAATGTTTTAGGAATCGTTTCTTTATACAAATCTATTATCAAAGTTCTCAAATTTTTTAGAATTCGACGTATTTAATGCTGCGTATGATGTATGAATACAAAACTCGAATCGAAATCTTCTAAATTAAACTTCGGCTACTTTTAAAACAACCGACGTGAAATTTAATTTCTTTTTATCGTCGCTACTTTCCATTTTGCACCATTAAGTGTGTAGGTCAAAAAAGAAATTAAGAACATGATTCGAGCTTATCAATTTTTCTTTCTCAGCAATTCTTATGGTGGATTATATGCACTTTCGGCTTCTCCTCGATTATATAACATCGGCTTCAATCCGTCTAATCTAAGGACAGTTTTCCCAATGATATAGCAAGAAAAACATTTGTAAATTCAATTCCGCAGTAAACTTTTCATCAGTGAGAAATCATGAAAAATATTGAGCAGTAGTGTGATCGCGATAATTAAAAATTAATAAAAAATAAACCAATTAAAAAATTGAAACGAATGCCAGATGAAAGTTTGAACACCCTTCAATATTTTTATTGATTCGCTATTACATTTTAATTTACATTTCACTATTATTTTCCTATTTACCAGATTTATCTATTACATACAGCAATAATAACATATTTGAACTATTGAATTGAATTTATTTTTACGTTAATAACTTTATAGATACCAAACATTTGATTTGAAGTATTTAAAAAGCACATTATAATTAATCTGAAAATACCGACTTTAACATGGAGATACATAATTAATAAATTAGAATTAATACAATGTATAATTGCGTAATTGCCTAAAAATAATTGACTTTTTTTGTGTGTGTAAGGTAATGTCGATCAATTGTGATATTTAATATATTATACATTAACGTAAATAATAACAGTAAATGTGAAAACTGTATGTATATACATTTCTACATAAGTGCTCTGCATTGCGTCTCTTATAGCGTTTTCGGACGGAGCGGGTTTGATCGCTCCGAGGGCGATCAGTGACGTCACATGTTATCCCCGTCTAATCAGATATCTAAAATAAAGCATGTGACGTCATTGATCGCCCTCGGAGCGATCAAACCCGCTCCATCCGAAAACGCTATTATTATCTATTTTCACCAACGTAGATTAACTTTAATCCAGATTTAACTTTGTATCTTTTTCTACTTTTAAGAATTAGAAAAAGATAAAAGGTAAATAAAACCGTGATTGAAGTTAATCTACATTGGTAGAAATAGACATATGTAAATCAAGTACATACATATACATACAGAATTCCAAAGTAACCGGAAACGATCACGTGATCGGGGACGTGTTCACGTGTCACGCCATGCCCGCATGTTCTGCGATGCACACAAAGAGAGTCCCTGTTGGTAAGAGAGAGTAGAGACGTGCTTTCTCCCCCCGCCTCTCATTTCGTATGCGCCAGTTAAGGTGATGCAAGGATTTTTCGACGACGCACACCGCACGTTGCCATTCAGCCCCGCCGATTACTCCATCAATCGTAACGGCGTAGCGAGAGCGACGACAACGCACGGGTGACGACAGTACGGGGGATGAAGTTCATCCGGTGAACGATGAGGAGAATTCACGCGAGAATTTTCCCCAGAACGAGGTGAGTAAGGTGGAGGAACGAGTTAAGGTGGCTCCGAAGGAGAAACGCCGACGCGCGGCGACTGGTCGAGTCCCGATTACTCCCGACGTGATCGAAACCCCCCCCTGGTCAACGCACATCCCAGGTGGAGGTTCACTCGCGGCGCACGTACCCTCGCCACTTGCGACGCACCACATGGTTCGTGCCGTCGTCGTCGTGCGCCGTGCCGTTTCGACCAACCTAACCTAATCTAATTGCGGGCGCGCGAGGAATCTAAATCAATCTAATTATAGCCGTTGACGTTTTTCGAAAGTCGTAGGTCGACCGGCGAGTGTGCTGCTCATTGAACGTGGAGCGTGGCAACGGCACTCGACTGCGGTTTATCGCGTCACGTTCTGTTTATCGTTCCGCATCGTAGACGAAACATTCGAGAACATTCGAGACTGTAGATTCCGCGGCGCCAGACGCGGACGAACTAACCTAAACCAACGGAGTCGAGACTCGGCTTGAACAAGTGAGTACGGACAACAGTCCTTTTTTTTAACCTCCCTCTCCGCTCTCTCGTTCAGCGTTCAGTCACGTCAATCTGTGTCGTTTTTTTGCTCCTCGCGTCTCGCGATGCGTATTCTAATTACAAAGGGATTTATCGATCCATCGAGCCTAACGCCCGTTAGACGTGATGTCAACACGCGAGACGGTGACGCAACAATGTGCACGATTCGTCATCGGCGAATTGGATCCTTCAGCGAGTTTTGGTACAATTTTCTTTGTGCGATACTCAATATATTAAGTTGCGCAAGAGCCGAAATTGAACCGCAATGCAGTCCCTCGGAAGTAGCGCACTGGAATTCCCTTCGTCCCTCGAACGCGGAGTAAACTTTTTTTAACGCGTCCCGTTCAATCTGATACAACTTGCCGATTTCCTTTGTGATCTACGTAGAATCGCGATGTGAAAAGTTTATCGCAGCGTATTGAATGGTATAATTGCTTTTACAAGAAAAAAATATGATGCAAAATGTTTACCGTTTTTTACGCAAATAGTTCAGTTGTGCTTCCAGCCACGTGGCTTGAATCCTGTGTTTATAAGTATTTCCTCAAATATTTCATTAACCAGGTTGATTAACCCCAGGAAAAGGTCTTCTTTCGCCTCTTTCGGTATCGAAAAACAGTATTTATTACGTATTTTAAAGGAAAAATGTCGCGTGCATCACAATGTTAGGTAAACATTGCCGTGTTTGGTAGTTTGGTAACGCTTTGTCCAAGTCGCACCGTGCATTTTGACGCGTCCCATAATTCACGTTGAATATATTACAGATGCATCATTCTAACGAGGAACTGCTTAACGCATCGCCAAGTTGCAATACCTCGAACACGAGCTTGAACCTGACGGATTCGACGCAGCACTCGTCACCGGAGAAGGACGGCGATGGTGTCTTAACTAGAGATATTTCAGTGAAGCTTACACGTTTGCCAAATGCGCAAGTAAACAAAGGGGAGAGGAATTCGCATTCGCCTAAAAGTAAGAGAAGACGTTTCATGTGGAAATACGGCCTGCTGAGAGCGGGGAGGTTTCGTAAACAAGCAAAAAAGGTGCCTTCTGAGTCTTCGAAATCTCAGCAATCTCCTCGAGATATGGATTCTTCTGCTGCAGCAGCTACGTCGACATCGCTGGAGGCGAAAGCAAATGAACAAATAGATCACACAAGATTGTACAATCCGTTCTATAAAGTAGGAGAATCAAGCGGAGATGTGAGCGCTCGGCAGAGTGAGCAAGAAACAAGCGACGACGCACGGAGCGATAGTGAAGATTTTATACGTTTAGCGACACGTCACAAGGACGAGGAGGACGACGTTGATTCGTGCATCAACGAGACTTACGCGTGCGCGCGCACTTTACCATACAAATTTTACAAGAAGAATATCACACCCAGTAAAACAATAGAATATTCTTCCGAGTCGTCAAATGGCAAAAGCGTAGAGTCGGGTTCGCATAACGACAGATCCAAATCGCCTGGACATTCGCCTTCGTACGCGAAGAAGTTGAAAAAACTGAGATTATCGAGATTGAAGTTTATGGCCAAAAGAGTTGAATTGGAGAAGGAGTTGAATGAGTGGAAATTTAAAAGAAAATATGTGTTTTCGTCTGACAGTGAAACTGAGGAGCCGTCTCCGAGGAAAATATGTCGAAAAGTATTATCGGATTCATCTGATAATGAGGATGCAGCTATGGGTAGTACGAAAGTGACTGGAGATGACGATCGGAGTGACTTTCAGTTATCTCTCGAGAAGCTCGGCGGAAAGAAACCGTTTAAACCGGTTCATTTAAATATCCGTACGGTGCAGATTATCTTAACAAGATTGGAAGACATGAAAGATGAAGATGTTATTAAGTGGCGAGAGAGCAAGGCGAAGCCTTTAGATATCGCTGAATCAGCGGAAAAACAATTGGACCAACGGAAGCTGTTGCAAAATTTGACTTTAGAATCTCGGGACAAATTAATTGTGCCAAAGGAAGACAGTTTCTCGGCAGCAAGTCTTCCTGAGGAACCGTTACCTCCCAATTATACGTATAATTCCGTTGAAAAATTACGTGCAGAAAAGTCAAGGTTACGTAAATTACGGAAGAGATACAAGCTGTTCAAGAAGCCTCGAGTTAAAATGATAAAACTGGAAACTTTGCGGTGCTCCTCTAAAGATGGCAGTTATTCGGCGACCGAGGTCGATCGTTTAACGAAGAGATATGTAGAATTTGTGATAGATTCTTATAAAGGTAAATCTCATAAGATGAATATGTCCAAACGCGTGCGCATAAGAAGTTCGATGGAGACAAATATCACTTTCACGGAAGATCTCAATTTTATGTTGAGTTTATCCGGGATACTAAGTGGGAGAGAAATATTAAAATCTTGCACAGAAGCAAGTTCACAAGGTACAATTCCCTACAAAATGATCTTAATTTTATTTCTTTATATTTATGTTTAATACGAATTTATTAATTTCAATTTTTGTTGTAGACGCTCAAACCACAGAAAACAACGACGAGAATGTTCCATTCAAGATTCATCGAAGACCTATCCAGAATCAAACGTCAAAAAAGTCACCTGAAAAGAACAGTTCTTCATCGCAGAAGCATTTAGAGTTATGTAGAGTATGGCGAAACGCGTTTGCCCCGGATAAAAAACGGACAACCGCTTTTACGAAATCGACGTCAAAAACACTCCCCATTCCGCGAGACTCGCCGAGGAAATCGACGAATGCAGAATGCGCGAGTGTTTCGAATTTGGCTTCCACATCTACGTCTTCCACGAAATGCAGTACACCGGTCGAATCGCTGGGAAAATTCACTTCGCCGAAGAAACAAGCAGAAGCCTCAGCAAAGCCGACACAGCGTAACGATACGTCCAAACCCGAGTCATCCACCAGCAGTAAGAATCTTCCAAGTGACGTTGAAGTGAATGCTGAAGAGATCATCTCTACGAGCGACTTTGCTCAATCTAAGGACGGCATTGTTTCTAAAAGCCCGCGTAAAAACGCAATGACAAATGATAGATCTGTAGAGTCAAAGGTCTCGGAAGGGCACGATGTTGAACGATCACCATGCCAAAAAAGACAGTCAAATACGTGCGGCGTGTCATTCAAGAATCACAAACTGTCGTTGAAGCCCAGCCAAAATTTGATGAACTCGAAATCGCCGACATCGCGACAGCAATGTTCTTTTGTTAACGGAGAGCGTGGTTCACTTCAATCGAATGGATCTGTTGATCCCGATACGGAACTCCCATCCTCTTCCTTCTCATCGCCGTCGAATAACCATGAACATTTCAAGACGCCACAAAAGAAAATCACAACTAAATCAACTGCGATGTCAAACTCCGATCTCAATCTGGATTTGAGTGAAGCAAAAAGTTTAAAGTCCAAAAAAGTTAAATGCGGCCATTCAATGAAAACGACTAAATCAAAACGGGATGTAACATGCAAGAATTGCTCACAGGTCTTTGATACCCATTCGAAATTCCGACGGCATATGTATTATAATCACATAGCCACCGATCTCCGGTTTATGTGCAGATCGATCGAGCAAGCCACGCAAGAGAGTGAAACATCTAGTCCTACTAAGAACAATGAGAATCAAATTTCCGATAGTACGGTGGAAAATACAGAAGTGGAAGCAGTCGCGAAAGGGGTCGAGGTAGAAGCTACAAACGGTATCAGTGAACAAGAGAAGACACTACCAGAAAATACAAACAAATCGAATGCAGAGAGTTCTGTTGCTTCGGAAGTATCACAGCAGGATGCAGCCAAGAAAAGGAGCGAGACTTCGAATTCATCGGCGGTAGAAGGTACTGTGGAGCGCGATGCGGAAAAACAGTCGGCGTCTGTAGCGAGCAACGCCGAACAGACAGCTACGAAGACGCAGAGTGCGGAGAAAGAGAAAACGAATGTCGCCGGATCGCCATCTTCAAAACTTCAACCGACGAAATCCTTCGCTATCTGCGAGTGCCACAGATCTAAGGACGGAGTCAATGAATCGAACATTCAGATCGAGATAATCTTGTCGTGCACCACCTGCCAGACGTTGTTCCGACGTCGCGAATGCTTCGATGCGCACTACGTGCAACGCGCGCTCTGTAACAAAAGCCGAAAACACAGTAGGATGGCCACGTTACTCTGCGTCAACTGCCAGCACACGATGAACTCCACTCAGGACGTGGTCAATCATCTGATAACGCATTCTCAGCTTAATCGCATGGGCAAGGCGCATTTTTGGTGCAACATATGCAGGGTGCTCTTTTATTGTTTCGGGCCGATCTTCAACAGTCATTTTCAGACTCACATGAACAACCCGCTCTTCATGGCTAGCCGTCTTTCGTTCCCGAGGCCTTCCTTCATCGGCTTGAAATTGATCAAGTCGGAGCAATATATGCAAATAGCCGACTATGTGTGTCAAGAATGTAGAACTCCCTTCGTCACAGAATCGACTCTGAAAACGCACGTGGTGAGTTGCCAGAGCGTCATCAATACCGTCGATCCTCGCGGCAGATCCTCGGACGACAGGTGCACGATTACCTCCGACAAAATACCACAAATTGTGCTGAATTGCGGATTCTGCAGCAAGACGTATTACACCAGGATGTCCTTCGAACTACACTCGATGATCCATACGCATAAAAAGGAAATGCAGTCGCATTACACTTGCGTTAACGTCACCGCTTTAACGAAAGTGTACATCTGCAAAGTGTGCACGACCTTGTGGGAATCTTTGCAGAAATTCGACGAGCATTGGCAGACGCACGGCGAGCTGCGGGCGGACTATATATGCTCTCACTGCAAGAGTTGTTTCAACAGCATCGAGCTTTTCGAGAAGCACGCGATCACGCACAAAAATGGCAACGAGATGCAGCAAAAACCGAGTACATGCGAGGTAACCTACCGTGACATCAGTAATCAGAGCACAAATTTGCAAAGTTCGCAAAAAGACGCTACCGTAAACGAACTACCTTATATGAATTTGAGTTACTTCGAGGGTAAGAACGACGCTCAGAAGATTTGGAACGATAAATCACGTGAATTGCATAAATCGACTGAAACATTGCTAGAAAAACTCTTGAATAAAAATCGAGCCATACAAATCGAGGAGATGACATCTTCAGGATTATCAGCGCACTCCAATAAAGAAGCTCAAGCATCTAGAAATATGCAGATTCCGGTGCAAGTTCCCTCAGCCAATATCGCAGTCGCGCAATCAAAACAAAGCAGCAATGGTAATTCGCGGAATTTTAATGATGAAGAGGATGATGAAGAGGAGCTAACGATAGTGTTGTCGGAAAGTGAAGAGAGTTCGGTGTCGAGCATCAGGAAAAATGCCGATAGCATACCTTCTACTAAGCAGAACACGGAAGAAAACACGAAATCAACGACGTCTGATTCTGTCATTACTGATGAGCAAATGCAATGTTCCAACAATGTGACTTTGGCTGCTGCATCTGCGACGACCTCGAGCGACGTGAGTGAAAGTGCGACTTCAAATGCTGGAATTAACATAATAAGTCCGAGGAAAAACACGCAGTTGAACAAAAATGCGAGCGTCTCGAAGGATACCCTCGAAAATTGTGTAGATCAGTCAGTGTCGTCGGAGACGAATTCTTCGAGAGCAGAGCTCAAGGAATCGTTACCGAAGAATGTCATGAGCTCTGTGCCTAAGCAATTTCTGCGCGTAAAGTCCTTGGCGGAGCTGACGAGCGCTCCCTCATCGCAGAAGCAGGTATGTCAGATATGTGACTTGTCATTTGAGTCTCGGCAAGAACTGAAGGCACATATGTCGATACACAATTTTTGGTTTTCTCATCAAGACAAAAGAGGTGATCAAGAATCATCATCTTCTTCCGACAGTACGGCAAGTCAGACAGTACGAAATGTACAAATTTTGCCGACAAAACCACTAGTCGATCCTCTCGTGCCCACGACATCGGCTCAGGAACGTTCCGGTCCTTCCGCTGTGGCGATCGGCAACATGGCTCCGTCCGTCAACGCGCGTCCGAATACACCCACTCAAGTGCTCGACATAGCCAAATCTCGACAATATCAAGTGATCGGCGTGAAGCCACTGCATTCGGTCAAATTTAATACAATCGCAGACGCAACAAAACCGAAAGAGACGTTACCTAAAAAAAAAACACGTACTCCTTTGTTGAACAAAGTTAGTGGTACCCCGCAGAATATCCCGCAGCAGACAGGCTATCATCAAAATTTGCCGCCTTATATCAGCCATTCACTAAACAAATTGGCTAAATCTGCCCAACAGCAGAATACTAGCACCGTAACTGTAAGACCGTTTTTAAAAACTTATCAAGCATCCAAACCGTCGCCATTGCAACAACAGCAGCCGCAGCAATTGCAACAGTTGCCACAAGTGCAGCAGCAGCCGCAGCAATTGCAACAGCTATCACAAGTGCAGCAGCAGCCGCAGCAATTGCAACAGCTGCCACAAGTGCAGCAGCAGCTGCAGCAATTGCAACAGCTGCCACCAGTGCAGCAGCAGCCGCAGCAATTGCAACAGCTATCACAAGTGCAGCAGCAGCCGCAGCAATTGCAACAGCTATCACAAGTGCAGCAGCAGCCGCAGCAATTGCAACAGCTGCCACAAGTGCAACCGCAATTGGAACAACGATCTCAGCAACAATTGCAACAGCAGCAACTACAACAGGAGCGCAAACAGTTGCAACAAGAGCAAGTGAGACAACAGTTCCATCTGCGACAGTTGCAAGAGCAACAACAGTTGCAATTGCAGCAGCTGCAACAACAGCCGCAGCTGCAGCAACAGCAACTGCAACAATTGCAACAGCTACTACAGTTGCAGTTCCAACAACAACAACAACAGTTGCAACAGCAGTTACAACAACAACAGTTGCAACAACAGCAACAACAACAACAGTTACCTCATCAGCAGCAACAACAGACGAATCTCGGTAATGTTGTGCATTACCTAATATCTAAGACTGACATGTCTTATCAATTGACAACGACCAACACACCAACGAGCTCAGATAATGTTATGCTCGTAGCCGTGAACACAATGCAGCAGATCTCGAAGGACCCGGATCGCTACGTTTGTTTATATTGTCCAAACTTCGTGTGCGGCTCGGTGCAGGAGTTCGCGATGCACGAGCATTCACCCAAGCACGAGGCACGCAGTCATTACAACAGCGTTGTTTATACAACTCAAACGTAAACCATTGATGGCGATCATATTTCTTTAAATCCTCGGCAGGAGAGGAATGGTGAAGTTTGGAAATATCGTTACTCTATCTGATATAAAAATCCAGATTCTATTTCATTTTAATTAGCGTTTGGATTACATGATTCTGATTGAATGCAATCGAAGTATAATCATCTTTATGAACTCTTACTCGGCTAGTGATGTATATATAAATATATTTTTGTCTGAATAAAGACATTTTGTTATTTATCTGAATTGGAAATCTTCACAACTAATAATCTTAATAACTAATCTTCTGATTAATCTTTTTGGTGAGTCCTATTGATATATTGTTCATAAATCTTCTTTTTAAATAATTTTCTTTATGATGCAAATTTTTAACAGAATTTTTGCTTTATTAACTTGTTAAATGTCAAGTAGTACAATGCGGTGTTTATTTTTAAAATTTTTCATAATAATGTGATATGAATTTTTTCAGAGATACTGTTTGTCATATATTGTTCCTTGTAGCATTCTCATTAACGTATTTTATTGTTCTTGTCATGCTCATATATTCTTATTGTATTTCATATTTATTACTAATCAGCATTATCTTTATGTTAATGTGTGCTTGTCGGAACATAATTTAATCAACCGTAATATTTTTGCAACTAATATAATACAATTTTGGTAGGTATAAACAAATTTTTTTTCGTTGTTTTCGTAATTTTTATCATTTGTATAATTTTCATAAGTTCTAAATTTATTGCATTTTACTTGTAATTAATTGTACTTTTATTCCTCATATTCGTGACTATATTATTTGAATGTAATTGTAAATTATGACATTTTGCAGTTGATCTTATTCAAGACACAGATAAACTGTTTTTTTTTTTTTTTTTTTATAACGAAAATGACAACATTTATGATGAATAACAGATCAAACATTTATAATAAATTATATGAAGACATATATGTTGACATATATTTTGCTGATCTAACTGTTCTTAATTCTATAGGCTTTTCTTTTTCTGCTTTTTGTTTTGACTCAATTAATTCTCTCATTAACAGGACATAAATATTTTATAGAAAAAGAAGATTAGTAAGAATTTTAAACAGGAATTGAGTGGTCTTGAGTTCACAGCTCAATCAGAAGCATGTGATTCCGAAACGATATATAATTACCTTTTTTTAAGCTGGTCAATTATTACTATCTAATGTTATAGTTTGTTACTATCGTAGATTGTGAAGATTCTGTATATGTTTTCCCTATATCTGGTTTCTGTGTCGTCATTAAAAAAGATAAAATACACTATTTGAACTCGAAGAGTTTATAGAAACAGACATTAATTTATATTATCATCAATTGTTTATCGAATGATATAATCATAGCTAAATTAAAAAAGGAAATTAAATGTTTTAATTAACTATTAATGACCAGACTCTGTATAAGTATTCATTTATCATATTTTGCAAAATATTTTAACGTTTCCAGATTGCTGCATTGCTGAAAAATAAGTGAAATATTTTAAAACATAATATATGCCAAGAATATCGTTCGCACGTAGTTACAGTATTAAATACAATAATGGAAGAGTATTTTCAGAGATAGACTAGGATTAGAATTTAAATTGATTTTAAATTGCTAATATTCTTTTTTTGTACAGCAACTTGTTAACTGTAATGTTTGAATATGAATATACGAGTACTAAACAAAACCAGATATTTCGAAACATAGGTTTGAATGAATAACGAGACACATTCTTTAAAGTGTCTCTTACGATGGTACTTCTATTGAAGAATAACCGAATGAATTTTTATAATGAAATAGCATTTCGCAATTGATTCTGTTTAAAACAGAATCAATCGCTTTACCTTTACTTTGATTCCTTAATGAAAGAGGTATCGGTATTATTCCGAGATGAGACTTATATATGGATTTGTATTTTTTAGAAGATATTTCATTAGAAGATATATCATTAGAAAATATTTTGTAGTTAATATCATTATATTGCGATTTGGTAATGTTTGTTATGTGAACAAGTTCGGCTATTGAGATTTTAGTGGTTATTTTAAATTTCTTTCCAACATAAAGTATTAATACAAAATCAAAATTTCAAAAAGATGTTTTGACAAATCAAAATTTAGCATTGTAATAAATGTAGACGAATATATTTATACTAAGTAAATTTTTCTTTATCGAGACTGTCACTTATTCCTTATATTTTATCTATTCCGATTATTATCAACTAGTTTTATATTTTGCAATTTCATTGTTAATCGGACTATTCATTGTTATGAATTGAAACATTAAACTAAATACTATTTTTGTAATGAGTTTTCGCTAACAGGAGGTTAATTTCAAAATTTGTTTATCTGCCATTAAGCTTTCATTTGGTATGAGATTATAATTGTGTGTTTCTTTTTGTATACTCTCTAATTATAATGTACGGAGAGAAGAAAAAGTAGTTATCTTCTTCGAATGTGTTACGTTTGTGTTGTAATAGTATTAGACATGACATTGCTTATTTATCACATTATATAATTATATAGGACCAGTTTATATATAAAGTTCTATTTAATTATTAGTGATACATATTTTTTGCAGATTTTCTTATCAATCGTAATTTTATAAATTTTATAAAGCGAGCTAGGTAACGAAAATAAGACAACATATAATAATCTTTAAAACATTGAAACACATTAAAACAACTTGATTAGTTTTGTTATGTAATAATTATTTTACAGCCATAATTATTTATTTTAATTACTTCGAGATATTACCAGGTCATTATCATTTGTATTATAACACTGATGAAAAGAATATATATTACGGAAATCTCCAGAATAACAATAAACAACTTGCGGTATTTGTATTGTTCAATTTTTTAATGATGACCCGGCACTATGGAAATTTTTGATACATTATTTTAATAATTGTAAGAGGTATACCTTCTCATGCGAGCGGATTGTTACATGTTTCTATATTTATGAAGTGGAAGAGAGCTGATTGCATCTCGTCGAATTTATCTATAGTGTTCATTCTAATTGAAGTAACATACAGTAGTTCACAACAGTATTTCTTTAGTTAATTTTGAACATGTTTTAAGAAATTGATAATTATAATTGAGAAAGTGATAAATCATGAGTGGAAATATTATAGGATTTTTTTGAGAAAGAGAAATGTGTACTGCGTTCAACTGAGATTTGACTTGTATTGAAAAATAATAATTCAATATAAAGTAACTATATAACACATTTATATACAGTATTACATATTCATACTCTGAAACTTTTTAATTAAATTTATATTTATATCATTAAACTTATTTGTTTACATCAAGATTATTGTAATCAAAACTTTAATCACTATATATCCCTGTCAATAAGTATTAATATTGAGGGGGTTCGAATACTTTTTTTTACTTACATGTATACACATCAACACATCACATAATATAATATATAATTTTTTACTATATACTTGTACATAGACGAATATCAAGATGAGATTACCGAATTGATCGCTAAAGCAACAACTCGTATTGTTATCTTATTACAGAACTAAAGTTGAACAGATAACTAAATATTTTATATTTTCTACCGAAATTATTATGACGCTGTTAGATGTATCTCAAAATACAGATAATATTCGAGATTTGTTCACGATTAAAACGATCTTTATTTTCAATAATGCGCGTTTAATATATGTTAAGTCACATTTTTATATTTCACATTTTAAAATCGTCCAACAATAAGACAGGTCTTAATTTCTAGAATTTTAAAGTTTTATAAAAACTGTTAAAAGGATGTTGTATTTCTCTTGGAGATGATTTATAAATATAAGTACGGGATATATGATATCTCTGAGGTATTATTTTAAGATAAGGCGTAATAAAAATTCTGTTAATGTACTGATTGTGAGTTATGTCGAAACTGAGTAATAAGAAGAAAAACAGGGTAGAGGAACATGATGGTGTTGCGTGATAAATCATGAGTGGAAATGAATTTCGGATATTTATCTATAAAAATTATTATGTTGAATTTGATACCGATTTCGATTTTAATTTCTAAAAACTAAACGGAGAGATTGTGCGTCTCACCAGTCTCATACAAGTTAAACGTAATACTTCGACGCATATATGCATTCGGGGTTGAACTTTATATAGAACTTTATATAGAACTTTATATAGAAATTAATCAAAGATTCGCTGATACCGAAAAAAAGAAAAGGATTTTGTTTTAAAGAATAAAAGAATAATTTTTAAAAATATTTAAATAAAAGTAAGATTCTAGCGGAATTAGGATAGAACATGTAGATTCGGTATGTTAAATTTTCTGACAGTTTCTCATTACGTTTGAGGACATTGTACGATTATAAAGAATACTATTATAAGTTACATATGCTTCTGAATAAATGTTATTGCGACTTGCGAGTTCGTCTCCTTTATTCGGCACTTTGAGCGACATCGTTCATTACAGCGATTATTATCTTAGTCATTGCGCTCATGACAAATACTGTGTGATAACATTAGAGACTACCATTAATGCGAATGATTTAATATGACGAAAATATCTAAAAGAAATAGATGAAATTCCGAAAAGCTCTCCGATCTTCGTGAGGTTTAGAAGGATCTGAAGTAACAAAACAAGTAGGTATTACTCGTGGACAAATTTTTTGACGCAAATAAAATTAATTTATAATTATCGAGGTAATGTTGATTGAGATAAATGGTTAAATCAGAAGCGCTTTATACATATTAAATTTTCTGCACAAAATATTTATATTTAGATGTTATCTTAACAAAACTTTATCAAATTCGAATATCCGTTCCGAACGTTTGAGATATTTTTACCAAATTTCATGGAGGTCTTTTCGGAATTTCATTACAAATATCGGACGTCAATGCTTCCCTTCTTGTCGATCTTCCCTAATGCTGAACAATTTCTTATATCAAGGCGAGCTTACGTGACTAACTTGTACATTAGCTGACCGTATCCGCCAAAAAGATTCAAGGAGCTGATCGTGCAATCGTAAACTTAGTTTTTCCAAATATCACGCACATTCAAGTTTATTGCATTATATTTTCGCGCCAAAAGATTTTATGAATTTTTAACGAATCTGTTTCAAAATCATTTTCATTTTCTAGATCTTTCAAGAAAAAAATCAATAATCAATTTCCGATAAAACAGAAAGGTTTGATATTAGAACCAATTTCAGCGGGTTGAATTTTCGATTAGTTTATAAATCGACTGTATCGCGCATAACGTTTGATATAATTTTTTTTCGATCCTCCTCGACGCACATTATCGGCGCGGTCAGGCCAATGGCATTCTCTTTATATCTTACGCTTTGGCACATAATTCACGTTGCACAATATATCGATTGCGTAATTTATCCGAAGATGAATACACTTGTATATGCTACTTATTAACAGTAAGTATCGTGTAATACATGACATAGGTATGAACGCGTACGTTACAAAGGGTATTTTCTTACAAAAGCTCCGACGGTCGCATACACGCGCGCACGAGGAAATATATAAGTCTTCAGAGAAAATAGATATGTAATATACAGGGTAGGTAGCATATATAAGTACCACGAGTTACTTCGTATGCAAACGTGAAGAATCGCAGAAATGATAGACAGATCTTAAATAGCAGCGACGGCAAAAGACGAGATGTCCGACATTTATTAGACATCATCACCTTTTCACCTTACTCTGTTATTTGGAAAGTTTAAATATCACGCGAATTATATGATATTAAAACAAAAAGAAATTTCCTAAGGTGACAAGATATTTTATATAAAGGTTACTTCATCTTATACTAAAATTAATTTTCTACTAATATTCTGTTAATATTTAGGTTTGCAATAGACTAGAATTAATGGTTTCCGTAAGGGGCGGAAAAATACTTAGAGAGTAAGGGCACGCGTTGTGCAGCGACCATCGAGCCGACGAATTATTCTACCTTAAAGGATTAAGTACTACGCTATGAAGGACTTTCTTTGAGTTCTTCACGAGTCGATTAAGTCTCGAATGCTCGTCGTCTTAAATTTAATAATACTGATGCAGGTATTCGATGTTCATCTCTCCGCTATATATTTTACATCGTGCGCGTCTTACAAAAGTGCGTAGAGAGTCTAAATGATGCGATTCGAGTATGAAGTCTCACTCTTTTTAAGTAACTACAATCGTCCTTATGCTAATCCCTAAGATTTAATGCTCATTTACAACGGTAGGGTGTTAAATTAATGACGGTGCGAGAATGACATTTAGAAATCGACACGCGTTATTACGTGCAAGTTTCTTGGCTCTATCTTTGCGTTATTTTCGCGCTCGGATATAATTATTATAACAAAACTGCAGCCAACTGAAGATTTCGCTAAATATTTGGCTGCCCCATCTACAATAATCTTAAATCTCTACCTTTGAAATTAATAGAAATAACACAATGACAAGTAAACTTTCGTATTCACGCATAAATTCATGTTGCTCATCCAATGGCGATGAAGAAGGTATTTTTGCTATCTAAAGTTTCTTTGCGCGATATAAAAATCTCGCTATTTATATATCAGGTGATCTCTAATTATCATTCGTGTTCATTCCTTCTAGGTATATTATTGAGCTTGAGGAGGACATTCCTCACTAAATATAATGTGGATCAACCGCAAGTAATCCGCGTTCGTAGCTGTACTTGTACAATATATAAGTTGTGTGTCGTGCTATACAATACTACGGAGCTAGGATACATATATCGCGTCGGTGGAAAAATATCGTACTTTCTTGTTGGCATATCGTAAATTTGCACGTGACACTCTTTGGACGTTCCGTTCTTATCAACGACGCAAGCCCTGCCGATCTGCTTGGCGGCCGGAGCTTGCGGCGTCGTCTCTCTCACGACCACGCTTATCGGGTCGTGTCTCTTTTTTCTTCCTCTCGAATTAAACTAAAGAGAAATAGTAAATGCATTCACATTCCCGGTACATTCGGCACCACGTAGATGTGTGTTGTCGCACGAGATTTATTTTAGCATGACGCCGAATTGTGTAATACCAGAGACAAAAAAAATGGAAAGACAGTTTAAAATATACATTCACTAAAGTTCGTTGAATTTTGCATAGAACGTAAACGTCGGAAATAATTTATTAAAGCAATATGAAGAGTAAGTATCCTCACAGTATTGAAATTGTTTAGAATTATTTTGTTCATTATTCAACAATATGATCAAGATAAGGTTTATGGTAATTTCTTTAATCTCTACTTAACTCATCGTCAAAGAGATTTTATTAAATTCTTTGACTAAATTCTTAAATTTTGGTTACAAGAATTATTTGAATGCTTTTTATTCCAATTCTCTTGTCTCTGACATCGTAATTTAAGACATTCTAATATAAATGTTGCATGTCTATCCCAAGGTATTATTATTATTTTATCACTAGTAATTAACTGGGTCATATTAAAAATCTAAAATGTTTATAAATGTGCGCCAAAATTCTTCTCAATTGTGTGTATGTGTATATACATCAAGTGTATTTGTGTATGTATGTCTGCGTGTATGTACATACAAAAAGTGATTAATGTTAAATATTCATTACGAATCCAGCCAGGCCTCTTAGTTTCTTAACAAAACAAGAGATTGCCCGCGTTAGTTTCGTCTTATTTTAAGTTCAAAGTTGGAATGTCACGAAGTCGGAGACCTGTGATTTACAAAATTGGTTACATACACCTACGAACTATTGGTTCCGTACATAGTTGTCAGTCTGAAGATTGGTAAGTGGGTCCTATGAATTATAAAACGCTGTTTCTAGTCTCGTATTTTATATATATAGTATACAAATGCCTAATCGAGATTAAATGTTCTCGATACAGTCGAAGTAGCGTAACAAGAAATTACTTGTTTGCGAGAAAGAAATGTGTGTGAGTTTAGTTTGGTATTAGTTTAGTACTTCACATACCTACGTAAAAAAATACAACAAACAGCAAAAGACAACGCGCAACAAATAACAAATACGCACAATGATACGTACAGATGCAGTAAAATCTAAACGAATTAAAATTAATTTAAGGAAGAAATTTACTTCCAATACGAAATTATATAATTATTGCCAATTGAATTTTTAAATTCGTTGTGTAATTTCACTTAAATGTGGCGAGAAATTTTATTTCTTTTTCCAGAAGAAGCAAGTGAATGAAGGGTGTATAAACGTATACAGTAAATAACGTTCATCAAAAGTTGTACTAATAAACTTCGATTCTTTAATGAAATTTAATACTGTATTAAATTGATTAATGATTAATTATTTATTTATTGAACAAAAGCACTAACAGCAGTGCTTTAATACTCAAAATAAGTAATTAATTAGTAATTACTAATCAATAACTTACAGTATTAAATTTCTGTAGGATCTCTATTTCTAATTGATTAGCTTTGCATCCGAACGCTATGTCATACTATTTAAAATTCTAATAATATATAATAATTTATTCTTACGAAGTAACTTTCATATAAGACTGTCAAATATTTCCTTCGTTAACTTGGTTCTTCATAAATAATGAGTGTTACTCAAACCAAGGAATGAAATGCGAATAACGAATATAGCAGTAACGGAGATTATAGAACGCAAATTATCACAAATATATGAGCGTGTAATTCATGTTGTTTCCGAATCCACAATATAAAACGCTCAGTATAAATTCTGTTAACTAACATGGTGGTACGCGTGTTGACCATCTTATTGATTGAGAGATCTATCAATCTCTCAATATATATCTCTTTCTCAATATATCTCTCTTTTCTGCGTATGTAAATTTGTGACAGTTCTAGATAGAATCCATCGGACAACAAACAGAATTACAGGATTGAGCACGCCGAGAGAATGACGGGGCGGGTTTTATGATTGTCCTTATTGTTTCGTGTTCTCCAAGTGTGCCTTATTAGAACAGGGACGCAACAGTGGGAGTACAGCTGATGCAAGAGATGTATTCTACAATACACGATAATATCGAAAATGAAATTATACGCAGTGTCCTTAATCAAAGTAGTCATCGTTGCTCCTCTTTCTATCCAGGTAAAAATTTTTCAATGTCTTTTACAAAACCCTATGCTTTTAATTTCATTCTCTTCTATCTAAAAAGAAAAAATATAATTTGATGAATAAGAAAAATGACCTGAACCAAAATTTGTTGCACCAGCTGAACGTGCCGATTTCGACTTCATAAGTGAGTCCGCAAGTATCGTTTTCGGTTCTCCCTTACGAAAATTCAATTTAATACTGGAAATTACTTATTTAGAGTATTATAAGCTATTCTGATACAGTGCTTTTTTGATACTCAAAATAAGTAATTAATAACTGTCTTCCAATATATTTATTCTGTAAAGACTGGAGACCTCCTAGTTACGGAACACCATTTTAGAACCTGCTGACGGCTTCGTCGTCGGTGACGAAATAATTAGAGCTCTTCGCGGCCGAACTGTACATGCTGAAGGTGGGACTGACAATCAGGCTGCTCGTGTTGTTGAGCTCCGTTTCGTTCATCGACGAATGCCTGCCGATAGTGGCCAGGCGCTTGTCCTTCCTCGCTAATGTCATACGGCAGTCGTCCGGCCTCAGCGGCATTGATGGGTAATTCGGTTGTCTGGCGAGCGTCGTCAACGACACTCGGTCGCCCGTGTCATTGAAGCTGCGCAAACGTTTGAGAGACATAAACGGAGAGACTGTTCGATGATCGGACCTTTTACGGTGAATATTAAACTCTTTGTTCAAAATTTATTATAAGATGTTACTTTCAATAGCATCCCATCGCGTCTATACTTTATAGAGAATTATAATATCTCTATTTTATTTTATATTACCTATATAATTTTTATTGAGATGGTGATTCTGTTTGATTTATGATACCATATATAAATTCTCGAATGTATAGATTTAGAAATTTTATGGATATTTTTTTGCTAACAATAAGGCAAGATAGAAGGAAATTTTAGGACTTTGTCATTTGCATATCACAAGTCCAATCTCTTCCTTTGTAATTCGCAAAAATAGTTTCAGAGATATATTTTGTAGTTCAAGAAGGAAGGATTTTCTAGAATCTCTGTATCTAATTTTTAACACGATGAATATCATTTTTTTTTATTCGCATAAAGATATATAAATATTCAAAAACGTTATAAGTAACTGCGAGTCAAGATCTGGAATCTTTTCATCTGATTTTCGTATTCCTCGCGTTTCCTTATATAGATACCTGTGATGTCGCACGATGCCTCTCTTTATCTTGCAATGCTCGTTCCCGTTCTGCCCCTCAGTCGCGGTCCCGTGGGTTTTGCATGCCTCCACCCCCATCGCCGGCACGGGGGACAGAGATCCCGGTCCGTACGAGCCGCTGCTCTGTCTCCTCTCCAGAATGTTGACTAGCTCCACCGACGGTGTCGGTGAGAATGTGCTTTGAGGACACGTGACGCAAAACGCCGTCTCATGGGAGCTATGCACGGGAAGCTATGGGAAATCTACCTTCAATACATACTCCAAGAGCCACGCCAAGATATTGCGATATCGCGCAGGATCTCTCTGGAGGATTATCTCTGATTTGCTCAGGATCCTCAATTTCTCCGAAGATCCTCCGGATTCTCACCAATTTAATTGACGAACAATCGTGCCGTTGACAAGTAACCAAATATATGGATAAAATAATATGCATAAAAATAAGTGCGTAAAATTCAATTGAACAATCTAGAGAAGCAACTAATATAATTTTTTACATCCATTACCGATTAACAATTAAAGAATCACATTTGCTATTAAATGCTTTTTTTCGATGTTCAATGAAAAGTTGCGACACGCGGAGAAAAATGATAAATTAACAAAAATATAGAATTCAGCGTATTAAGATTAAACATCATTGGGAGAAGCTACGTATAGGAGATACTGAGGGATTTCGCGGGAGATCCTCTCTATAAGAACCCCCGCGGGACCTCGTGATCTTTATTGTTGAATAATATCGTACCGCTGATAAATAAACAAACATACACATACGTAAAACCAGTATATAGAATTTAATAAAATAACTCATACAGATAACTGAGGATACAAAACAAAATGCGCGCAAAAATGAAACGGCGGCCCGACTAGTCGCGGGCTTCACAAACACGACGATTCGTCGATGTCGTCCCTCACCTGCAGCGACGGTCTCCGCAGCATGCCACCACCACCCTCCATGCCGACGAGCTTCACGCCCTTCACGCTCTTTCTGGGCCCGACGCTAGCGGGCGGGTTCTCCTGAGCGTTTAAGTTGTACTCCATGTTGCTCCTGTCGACGATGCTGATCTTGTCGTTGATGTTCCGCGGCGTCTTCTCGGCGTTGCTCGGCCCGAGCTCGCAGCCCATCTTGGCGTAAGACGGGGCGCACGGTGCGATCGGCGTTGCCGGGACGCCGATCGACCGCGTGGGCGAGAGTATCGGATGAGGGCCGATGGGACTCATGGGACTCACGGGACTCATGGGAGTCATGGGACTCCGCAGATTCCTCACCCCGAGGATCTGTTCTTTGCACGCGTCGCTCGGCGGTATCGGCGTGTACACCGGGCTCGCCATCGAGACGTGCCGCGCCGGCGTCGGCATCGCGCTACGCAGATTTTGCAAATTCTGGTTCGCTCGTTGCACCACTGACGTCCCGATGCTCTTCGGAAGGTCGCTGCCGGTCATCGCGTCACGGTCGCCGCGATCGACCATGTTCTCGCGGCTGCAGGTCCTCTCGTCGTCGTAAACGCAGCCATCGCAGGAATCTATGCCCGACGTCGATTTCTGGAAGAAGAGAAATCGGCGCGTCATCGATCGATCGGGCGCACCGAGCGAACGACGCTTATCATTAGCAATTCGCAATTTTTTTTATACCGAGGATGAATCCATGAGAGCGGCGCCGGAGCTGCTTTGCATGACACCCGACGGTTCCTTGGACTTCCCGGGCGAGTAGATGTTCAGCACGTCGCAACATTGCGGGAAGTACCCTTTACCGAGCAGGGTTCTGGTGAGGAAGCTGGTGAAAAGCTGCGTGAAGAGTGCGATTATCATGACGGCGGTGCGAAAGGGGAATTTCTGGGTGCGCGTTTTCGTATCGTAGAACGGATATTCGATCAGCGGGATTATGCCAAGTCCTCTTTCACCACCTAAAATCGTTGAGCATTTACTTATAAATATTACTTTAATAGATTTTTAGAAGATTTCTATTTCAAACAATTATCTGTATGAGAAGACATTTCAATGCTTCAGATATCAATCGTAAAAACGTAAAGAATTTGAAATACTAAAAAGAAATTAGAATGTTTTATATACATTTGAATATAAACAAAAACAAGGGAGAATCTTTAGACACACTGTGTAATTTTATTTGTATCATTTGACTAATGCTTTAATAATTTAATAATTGTCACTAACCACCGAGACGCAGAACGATAGCGATGAAATATCCCGCCAAACAGCCGTAGGTATCCACCATAGTAGGCCAATGGATAACGGCTAACAGTTGCGGGAACAGAACGACGTAAACGAGATCGGAGCACAAGTACCTGTAACAAAAATGTGATGTATTTTGTTAATCATTAGATCTAGGATTCAATAAATGACGTGCAAACTAATTTCACGAATAGGCATATCAATTAAAAAGACAGAGAAAAATGGAAAACAATAGATAAAATGAATTAAATTGCCAGATAAAAAAGATACAACTCACGTTCAAAGATTTTCTATTGCTTATTATTGCGATTTAAATGTATATATTAATTTTTTTTAAGTCTTCCATATATTCTTTCATATGCGAAGTCGTTGCAAAAATTATCCGCGGGACTTACGCGCGAGCATGTGCTTGCCTGTTGTAAAAGAAATGAAGAAGAACGTGTTTATACTTACGAAAGGTAGTAAACGCTGCTGACCGTGAGAGCGACGAGAGTGGACAGCACGGAAACCGCGATTACGGCAATTCTCAAGACCCAGTTTAGCTCACGCTCGGACGCCTGTAACAAAGGAGAGGCTTCAATGACGTCTGTTGGTGCTTGTTGATTGATCGGCGATAAATTACGCTTACTTTCGGCCTTATCGTGAGCTTGTAGACATTTCTGGTGAACATAGAGCTACTGGCGAGTATACTGGAGTCCGCCGAGGACATCACTGCCGCCGAGATCGCACCGAGACCTTTAGCGAGATTAATACATTTGTAAAAAGTAAATTCGCATGATTTCTTCTTGTGATGAGAAAGAGCGGAAGTTAACTTCGGAAACTTACCAACGAAAGACACCCATTGGGGCGTGAGGTACCGCAGGACCATCGGCAACGCGGCGTTTCCGTCGTCCGTGGTGAACGTTCTGTTGTAACCTGGCACCTGGGACCAATCGGTGGCACGAGCGACCACCCCGATTACGGCCGATGGTACCGCGAGTATCAGGCAACCGAACATCGAGGCAACTGATAGGGTCGTTGCAACGGAAGTGCTCTTAATACTTAGGATTCGTTGAAAGTAACCCTGCGGGGAAGAAGAAAAAAGAAAAATGTCTAAAGGCTCCGTGTTAACGGACATTAAATTTGTCGCGACGCTGAACTTATTACCTTCCAACAAGCAAAATAATAAGTAAAATAAACGAAGAAGATGAATTATTTTAGTAATTTCTTTAAAGCAGCACAATGTTCTTTGTAATGGCATTGTAAGGCCATATAAGCTGCAATTTCGTTTCATTTCAAATCTCTTAAATCTTTCAGATGTCCGATGTCAATTTTATTGCCGCTTATTTGAAGGATATCAAATCACCTGCCAAGGTATACCGCCGAACACCAGCAGCAGCATACCGTCCACCCACTCGCCCAGGTCCTCGTTCTTCACGTGTCCCAGCCAGTCCTTCGGCGTCAGATGATGCTCGAATGATACCGCGGGATGCAGCATGGAGAACGGCGCGGCTATCGCTAAACCCAGCAGAATGCACAGTAGTTGCAGCGCGTCGGTGCACGCCACGGAATACAACCCGCCGAAGACCGTGTATCTGAAAGAGCACATTTCGCGTTTCTCATCTCGCTCGTGACACGAATACGTGAGCTATACGTGCGAGGAATGTCTTCAAAGTTCTGGGAATCTCGCGAGCTATAAATCGATGATAAAGGATAAAAGACGCACCGCTTGAAAGTTTTCCGAAGACGACCCAGATAAGAGGAATGGTCTCGCGTGCTGAGATATAAATGTATACGTTCAGTTAAATGGGAAAACTTCAACGTGATGTTTTCAATTCCAATTCAGTTGTACAATTCCCAGAACTTTAGAAACATCCCCCGAGCGTAACTCTGTTTCTATTTATTCTTACATAGCCGCCAAGAGCGCGGACGCGCAAACGCTGATGTTCGGGTCGACGCCGGCGACGACGGCCAGGGAGCTTCCCAGTGCTCTCAGGACGGCGCCGCACCAGAACAGGTCGCCGCACAGCGCCGGGAGGAAGAGCAAGCCCCCGACGCCCGCGCCGTATCGTTCTTGAAAGGGATCCAGCATCGTCACGTACTCGGCCTTCCTCATCGGGCGCACGAAGAGCAGTGCGCCTGCGATATAATTCATCGTTGGATGCGTTGATTGGCGCGGACAAAACGAAATTGAATTTGACGGCGAAGAAGGTGTGAATAATTAAGCAAGAGGTTCGTTTGCGATTTTATCATTCAAGAACCAGTTCAATTCTTGCGATCATTAGTCGCCCACATTTTACAAATATTTTTTTTAAATATTTCCAGCTTGAATTATGGAGACCAAATTAGGATACTGGGTTTATCACATGATGATGCCATGTGCGACGTACCGAAAATCAGGCTAAGGCTGTACCCGATGGGCACTTGACACCAGGCTAGACCCCTCGTAAACATGGCCTCGGCGGTCCCGTTGACGAAGGCTCCTCCGACCCATGTCGCTGCGCATACACACGGTGAGTCGTAAAAGTATTCGTATATCCCTTTGATTATCGTTGAATTTAAACGATTCTCTTTCAAGAGAAGTTACGGAATTTTATTGATAAGAATATATACGTTGCATTAATTAAGCCCCTTCAGTCACATATATTACAACAACTGTCGGCATTTGTTACGCCTGCCACCTAAAGTACGTCATGTCAGCGAACTTTTTCGCTTGTAAATTACGAAACAAATGCACGGTAAATTATTCCTATCTCATTGTCCGGTTTATACGAGAAATGGGAGGGAAATGGGAAAGATAAACGAATTGGTAAAGAGAGGCACAGAGAGGAGGTGGGGAGGGGATGTACTTGACATCGTGTTTTTCTACGGATGCATATCTCGGAGTGGTCATTACTGTAATGGAGAGTGCAAAGGGATATTCCAGTGCAGGGCAGACTAATGAGAAAATTTGAAACGGTCCAATGAAAACGAGGTGCGCAGGTAGCTCGTAAAAGGTAAAATGGGATTAAAAGGAAAACGATATAAATCCATTTCGCGGAGAGTCACGAAACCTCCGCCACGAAAATTGGAGCTGGGTTAAAAATAGCGTAGCCGAAAATATATCGCGAGAAAGCGCGACATTAATTTTAAATAAGACAACCGGACGAAGATGCGATCGACGCTTTTCCTTTTACGACGTTACCCCTTACAATGCAAGGCGAGTTGACATGTGTCGATATCGGGCGGGAGAAAATAAAGTCGTGGCGTGCGCACGCTTTTTGCGAGATAATTTCGTAAAGTCTGACGGAGGATATAACGAGCTCAGAAAAGAGGGTGCTTCTCGGGCGCGGCAACTCACGATGAATTATCAATTCCGTGAGTGAGTTCAATGCCTGCAGAGGCTGACGTCTGACGTCACGGTAATTTTTTTAAATTTATAGATTTCCAATCCTCGAAAATTAATTCGCGTATATATATCTGTATATATCATGTGCATATTTTTGAAGTGCTGCAAAAAGACATGTTAAATCTCGAGAAAGCGTAAGAAGTGATAGCGTTCAATCAAATTCCGCACGATTGAGGAAAAACTCCCTTCGATCGCGGAGGAGCGCGTGGGCAGAGCTTGCAAGCGCAATTTTTCATCGTTCTCTAATAATACCCGCATAATTCCGATATCACGTAGATTGATATCGCGCAGATTGATATCACGTAGATTGATCCTTGACCTCGCTGACCTTTCGAAGCGTTTCGAAGCAGGAAATTCGCGTAATAGACCTGCGTTCTCTCTAAACGGGGTCACGCGTGACGCGATAAGTAGATTGTCCGACGCAGACAGAGTACTCTTGTCGTAACAAATTTCAATTATTTACGTGGACAAAAGGGTGAAGTTTCCGTGGAAAAATTTAGTCGAGAAAATTCTATTCTACTAACAGAAAGCAGGTTTCGCCGTAATATCTGAATATCCGAACACGGTAGAAACGAAATTTACGTTGAAACGGTAACGAAATGGCCTTAAAAAAAATTCATTTTTTATCCTTTTTTGTACACGGTTGAAATCATCGGGGACAGTTACCGATAAGGGTGAAGACGCCGAGCAACGGGCCGAGGCGTCGGTTCGCCAGCATCATGTCATCCTGCAGGTGGCCCTGCGCGGCCTGCCTCCTCTTGAACGCGGCGGCCCATATGCCGACGGCTAGCACCGCGACGTAGAACACGATCACGCCGATTACGCCTGTCACGTACACTCCCATCCTCCCTCTCCGTACCGTGCTCTCGTCCGCTTCCGGATGTGTGAGCTCTGCAACTGAATGATTGATAGTATAAAAGCCACGTAATAACCAGCGTCGCTAAATGCCTACAGAGAGTTGCAAAAGTGTTTTGTGTCCCTCTCAATCATATTGGAATTTGTCGCTGGGATAAATTACTATCCACACGCGTGTTTTCGTTTCAACTGTTTATTAATGCTCATATATACTTAGATTAAGACTTATAACGAATTACCGCGGCACCGCCTAGGGACCGATAATGTGTCCTGAGTCGCGCTAGGACAACGCCTAGGGGCGAATGTGATCACCTTGAGTCCTTATAGTAACACTGAGATTTTAGATTTTATTCGCGTCGGAGATGCTCTCGTTAGCCCGTCCGAAGAACGAATGAATTTCTAGCGGCAATGATCCCCCACGAACAGGCCAAAAAATACCTTTCCAGATTTTCATTAGCCCGCGAAATCGACCATATGAGATCGGACACGTCGAAGCATCAGTTATGTAGACAATGTATGGGAAATACGCGGTTTCGATCACACAGGTCGTCGACCTCTTAGGTCGATTTTACAATACGTCGTATGTCGGATTGTAAAGTAAGTCGTAAGAATTGACCAATCGCAGTTGAATGTAAGAAGAATATTCGATTGTAATTGGTTAATTCTTATGGTTTACTACCCGACATACGACGAATTGTAGAACGAGCCTTAGATGTATGCCGTGTCGAAAGAATTCCCCTTTGTATATATATATATCATCTCCGTCGACGCTTCTCAAAATTTCGATTTCTAGAATCGTATGTTAAATAAAGACGTATGGTATATTTAATGTTTATACGTAACCCGTATTGATTTTAAATGATCGATGGTTCCATTTCTAGAAAAAAAAAATATATATATATATATTACACAGGATCGAGAAAAGCGTATTTTAAAATTGGGCTTTCAATCGATACCGAGAGCTATATCGAGAGATAACAATTTAATTAATTTAATTTTTTTTTGCGTATTCGAGACTTTTAGTGTGATATCCGCTTTACCAATTAAAGGTTTTCCAATGATTGCATTCTTCTTAAAACTCTTTACTGGGATTATTATCTCTTATAGAAATTTGCAATAATAGCTTCCAACCATGGGGATCGTTTGACGCTAGATTCTTTTATTTCTTTTATGATAGCTCTTCACGAGCAATTTTATCAAGGAAGCATTTAAGATGATCCTTGTCATTGGTCACAACATAGAGCTATATAACGCCATAACTAACAGTCACATAGTGCTGTAATGGTTAACAAGCGGATGTGCGTTGTTACGTGTTTATCATATAAGATTATGAGCTTATTGCGATCCCGAAGTTTGGCGCACGTTTCGATGTTTGCCGCGTAAAACACAATCGGTACAATGGAACATTATATTATTGTTTATCTTCGAGCACCCCTCCCTCCCTTCCCCTCCTTTAACATTATACGTTTAACAAATCTAATAATGGGACTATTACATTTGTGGACGGTCAGGCAATGGAGAAACACGAGGATACGCACAGATTAATCGGATGTAAAGCCGCGCTCTCGCGATCGATACCGCGTCAATTATTCCGTCTCCTTGATTAACATTGCTATACAAATAAGCCCACGTAGATACATCTCTGCTCGTTAGCACTCGTTAGTGGATACAAGAGGCTCAGATCCTGGCCTTTGATATTTAAAAATTGATTTGCCGACGGACTCGTGGACGGAAAGGCGATACGTCCCGAAAGAAAGAAATTATTCAGAAGTTATCGGAAATATATTAATTTACATATATTGTATTATATATTATTTTATATTATATTACGTTAGCAGATTGTTCTAACCGCGTAAAATTGTTAAGTTTGATTTTACGTGGAAGCATGTAGAGCAAATATACTTTAGCTGAAACAATTAAGATGAGAAAACGCTAACACAATCAAAGCGGAGCTTGGTGCTTAACAATTCAAGCAGAACAAGTCATCATGACATGACATCAAAATAATTATTAAAAGTCACTTTTTGATCAATTATGATTCATTTTAACATCATTTTGACGCTCGTCGACGAATGTCATCGTGACCTGCTGTTCTACTCGAGAATATGTGAATCTTACAATTTTCAGTTTAAGCAAACTGCTCGCCAAACATTTATCAGTTTTAAAGCACTGCAGCTCTAAATTAAATCCGGAGTAATATCATAATTAAATTTAAAGCAATTTAATAATTTCACGCTAATGATCATCTTTTAAATCCTGTAAAATAACTTATTGTGAAAGATATTATCCCAAGATTTCAATTTGGATCTTTCTATTAGTCACATGAGTATGTTATCTTACTGTTCGCTTATCGAGACATGTGGTAGTATTTATTGCAATAAATTTAGAAAGAATATTTTTCACGGCGACGTGTAAACAAATAATTATCTTTATTTTCATTTAATGTTTTCCCAGGGAACATTCCCCCTGGGGTATAAACAATAAAGGCGGCTAGGCCGCGTGCGGGTTTAAATACTTTATGACGGGGGGACAACAGGCCCCCTTCCCCCCCCCCCCGTTGTGGGGCTAACGAGAGCACACTAAATATTTAATTCATGAAATGTTTAAACAATTAATATAGAAAAACGTCAACACGTCAAAACGGATCTTGATACTTAATAATATTTATGAATAAATCTTACAATCTCAACTTTCAATATTTTAATTGATGTCATAAATACGTTATATAAGTATACATACAATATATTTTATATATACATGAAACTCAAATAGAGGAGGGAGCAGAGTGACGACATAATGATATCTATTTTGGTCTAGTAGACGTCACTATATGTTATCTTTTAATATCACCCTGCTATTTTTGTGAACGCAGCAAATTTATCGATTTTTTTCCGAACAAACGGGATGACTAATGTGATTTTTTTTCTTCTACGAAAAGAGAGATCGCACGAAAAATTGCGCGGCGCAACTATACGAGCTGTACGCTTTTCTCAGATCCGCGAATGTCGAGAGAGCTCTTTTGGCCGTGCATACGATATCGTGCACTCCGTGCATGACCGATGACATACAGGTTGACATTTACTATTGAGCACACATTTCGCGGGGAGTCTGCGCCGCAGAGATGCTTGCCCCCCTCCCCCCCTTTCCCGCCCCTCGGGGCGCGGGGTGGCTAATCGAGCGCGACGAGCAATCGTATTACGCGGTTTAAAATTCAAGTGTGCCCCAGATATCGGACAGGATGGGTCGTGTAGGGTCGTGACCCGGGCGCGAGCGAGTCACGTATATAAAGTTCAGTCGAATTCCGTAACGGATTTCTGCATTATTAACTTGCGCGCGAGAGACGGACGGACGGTAATTCTCTGTAGTTGAGAAAAGACCGCGCGAAACCGCGCTGTCGTACTGACGAACGGCTCGTGATGCGCTCGCACGTGTGCACGCGTGCGAATAAACGCACGCGCGGAAATAAGCCCGCTGGATGAGAGACGAGAAGGCGGAGGAATAGAGGGGGGTTTAGAAAGAGCGAGAGAATGATACATCATCGTCTATTCGCGATATTTGCAGAAGCTCTATCTCTGGCGTAGGCGCGAATTTAAAGAGACGTCGAGGGATCGATGTCGAACGGCCCTACGTGCCCGATATATCGCGATGACGTGCTCACACGGTGCGAAATTTTCGCACCAAATTCAGACGGTATAGCGTCTTAAATCGAATTTGTATGCCGAATTGGAATTAATAAATTGGAACGCGTGTCGGAAGGGTTTTTGCAATTCCGGCGCGCATCAAAACCACGCGTTTGGAGATTAAATTATTAAAGTTCTGCATGTGTGTGTGTGTGTGTGTGTGTGTGTGTGTGGGCGCGCGCCCACATATAAAGAGGCGCGTTTGTTCCTCGCGTTTCTCGTAGTTCGAAAACTATCGGCACGTCTCCCTTTTATAAACACGGCTTTAAAATGCGCCTTTACGTTATACGCCCGCACGTGGACAGTTTTAGAATACAACTCGCTTCAATTGATGATCTATTTAACATACATACTATATGAGAGACTCATACCGTGGTTTTATACTTAAACTTCAATAATCGATAAATACGCCTGATTGCAGCGACGTTTTTCATTCCCAAATGGTAATATCTGGCGATCGGAATTTAATTTAAAAAAATATAAAAAAAACTGAAAAAGATCACGAATTCAATTTGTGTGTTTCTCAATTTGGGATTCATATTTCACGTAACAAAAATATATTGAACCGTTAACCGTTCTTGCACGTTATAAATGATCTAAAATAAAAAGCTATCTGCAAATTAAACTTTAAAGATAAAAGCGAGTTGCTTGTTTTTTATTTGCTTTTATATGTACTCAATAGCTGAGATTTTAGTTTCAAATTTAATTGCTTTTTTTTGCCGAAGGTGATTGTAAAAATTTGTGAAAAAGATATCAAAGCAGCGTGTTCGCTTTTTTCCTGCAGTTTTATGTCGAAAAGTGCTATGATAAGTAAAGCTATCATTTACTATACATGTATTTTTTTATATACATTTTTAAAAGTAAAAAGTCTAATCAAGTTCTAAATATTGCTGAATGTATTATCAGCAATTATGTTGCGGGACTTATGCAAAAAGTACATGAAAAGTGAGAAGTTCGATCGCGCTGCGTGGCACTCAAATTGTTAAGTCAAGAAAATATTTAACATTGAATATAACTCACATCGATGGCCATCGATTAAATTTTTCAACAAGATTGAATTTTGATTTGTTTACTCAGCATCCTACAAACGCAGCTATCGCGCTTTAAAAAACGGCAATGTCGCGATAGCGAGTAAATTTACTTCTTCGTGGTAGGAAGTAATCTTTTGTCGATAATGTGCTCACGCCTATGATCTCATTATCTCACCGACGCAAAAATAGAAGAACAAGCTAATACATGCTTGGTCGTGATGAAGGGTAAGCAGCCCTCAAAGGGAGAGGGAAAGCGAAGAAAAAGATGAGAGGCGACCGACGATAATTTTATGCAAAAGCGTCTTTCAAGGCTGAACAATTGTGGAAGAATTTTTCAACAGGATATTCCCAATTGAGAATATCACGGCCGGTTATAAAGGGAAAGAGGTAGGTAGGTATAGAGAGAGAGAGAGAGAGAGAGAGAGAGAGAGAGAGAGAGAGAGAGAGAGAGATTATATTTGCTATACTGTGAGAGAAGAGCCTCTTGAAAGAGATATAAAGGTTGTCGATGTAACCGGATGGAAATATAAACGGGACAGAAATGAAATATGACGAACTATCGTATATCGATTCTGGCACAATAGATACTTAAAAATAACGAACGAAAAATTATTGTTTTTTTATTAGAGTTCGATTTGCTGTTATATTAAAGATTGAAAATTTTGACCTAATTTACTCAATTAATCAGATAATTTCTCTGTCTGTTTCTCCTTCCAATAATTTTTTTGCTAAATTTTTAGTCAAACTTTTGGTTAAAAGACGATGTTGCTTCTCGAAGATGCGTAAATTGTTCTCTCTGCTTTGCAATGATTGAACCGAATAATAACATGCTTACAAATATTATTTACGGTGGCTGAAATTTTAAAGAATTAATTAATATACCATGCTAAAAACGGGTAGCTTGCCCATCATCGTCAAGCATTATTTCAGCTTTAACGTCCGTCAGAGCAAACTACTTCCGCATTCGAATGGCAAGCTGAAATTGTCATCTTTCCAACAACACAAGAGATATAAATATTTCTATCTTTCTCGATTTGACGAAGACGTAGAGACGGTGATTTTTACAATCATCTAATTTTATCATGCTTGTCAACAATTTTAAGGCTTATCTTATTTTTCGATATCTCTGTAGCTTTTAAGATATACAAAGATTATTTAAGTTCGTTTTCAATTACGTTATTCGACGAATGCTACGACATTGAATACAAAAGCGTACAGCACAATACAATGGTCGAGCTGCGCAAAAATTCACCGTAATATCGCCGTAGTTAGTAACACATTATTATGCGTGCGTTATGAAATTAGAAGTGAAGTTTTGACGAAACTGAAAAAGAGGCGTTAGGAGTAAGCATAAGTTGTACCAGATTCGAGATCGCTCGTAAGTCGCTGGCCATATACCGTGAGGCTTCGTCAAAATCAGCGGGAAACAATGACTCGTCTAATGTGAGTTGAGGCTCACTTGGCTCGCCCTCGGCGCGAGTAAAATCAGCGCACGCGGTTTATCTTTGAACACGAAAATCGGGCCGTACGCTGCCAACTTTTCGTGCCAGTCAACATCTTTCCGTCGCGAACGCGCCAAGTGGCCGCGAATCGATCCGCGCTTTACTCTTCGATCCTATTCTCCGCGAGATAAGCGTGGAAGAGGGAAGTACCATAATTGCCGTTTCGTGCCTCTTTTAAACTTTTTGAGTAACGCAGTGTGCGGCAGAATGAGTGATAGCCTCGGTACGAAGTTTTTTCAACGATATGTGTTATCCTACGTCTAACAGTAGTGATAGGACAGAAAATATTCGCCTAAAAAAACGATATTAATGGACGAAGATTATATTAGATTAAAAGATTTAATTTCCTTTTATTTTTAATGCAATGGTCATGTAGAGGGAGAAAGCGGATGAATCGATTTTATTATTGTATTATGTAAAATCGTCTACGCCCAATTTTTGACAGTACAAATTGCAGCAACATAGAATTACGAAAATACGGAGTTGTTGATACTGATATAGTTCAGGAGTCATTGAAATAGCTGTAAAAATGTCCATGACACGTGTTTCAATTTGCTCACAATATTCTCAGTTTAATTGATACTTTTAATTTGAGACCAGTTATTACCATTATCCGTATCCTATGCGGGAGGAGATGTATCGCAATATTAATACAAAGTCCAGATGTCATAATGCGTAAGAATATGTAGGAATAGTTTTGTACGTTTCTTTATTATAACAATAAAAATTCGAATATTGATTCAAACTGAATTGTTTCACGTATAGCACGCGAAATTGGATTCTCTGGAATTATACAGGTGTACGTGTCCGATTGAATTTTAGGCGTAGGCACCGGGCACCAGTAGGTAAAAAATGTCGAGCAAACGGGAGAAGTAGAGAGAGAGAGAGAGGGAGAGAGAGAGAGAGAGAAGAGGGGGTGGTGAAAATTCCGAGTCGTACTACTTACCCGCCGGCTACCCCAGCGAAATCACGCAGCGCATCCCTCTCACGCGGACATACCCATTCCGCCGAATGCGTCTCCGATTTTCTTTCCGCCGCGACGAAGAGGAGCTCTCGACGAGGGAGGAAATCGGCTCCTCTCGGCGGCACGCGGATGCAGACCTCGCACGCTCTGCCGACCGGGCGTTAGCCGTGCGACAGAGAGGGCCCAGGCAATACGACTGAATCTCTCCTACGGATTCAGCATCCCGCACGGCTAACACGCTGGACCGCCACCACCTCGCTGAGGGTAGCGCGCGCGTCACGGACAAGGACGGAGCGCCGGTCGGGCGCGCGCGCAAGATACAGATATACAGGGTGGTACAGCCAGGATAGATGGGTGATCTCGCGACGAAAAGACACATCGCGAAAATATGGAGAACTTTTCCTTCGCTCGATCTCGTGACATTCGACAGCGCGATCGATTTTCTTTCGGCAAATATTGAAAATTGAAAATCCAAGAATTTTCACTGATCGACTTTATGTAAGTACGTGGACCAAATTATCTTGGATTGATTAAAACTTCGACGGATTTGACAAATTTGAGAAAATTAATTTAACATTGGGTATCGAGGGAACGATGGTACAGATGGAGCAAAAGTTTCGTCCACTTGAGGCTGGTCAAAGTGATTGAAAGTAATAATGATAATTCTCGGACACCTTATACATGAATAAAGAGCGAACGAGCGAAAGAGAGGAAGAACTGATCCAACTAGGGGCCATGATAGAGGGGTAGAGACGGGCGAGAGAGAAGTATAAGCTCGCGGTCGGAGTAGGAGAGAGATCTATGTAAGGAGAAATGGTAAGGCGATGTAAGGACGAGAGGCGCGATAGGAGGAAAAATTGATAAAAGTAGAGAAAGACGCTCACGCGGAACGGGTCAATGTTTCAACGTGATAGACGATACAGTGTCAATGCTACGAGGCCGCAGAGTATCGTAGAGCAGGTGGATGGATGGATTTTAAATATTCTAAAAAAAAAAAAAGATTATATTAGGCGATGATAAGAAAAGATGTATCCGAGGAGGATGATAGGAAGATGAATCCAAGGATATGTCAAAAACTGGAATTGGATATGCTGAGCTTAAGGCGGACGGAGTCTTCGAGAGGCTCAATCGAGCGAGAATATTAATAGAAGACACGGAGAATATGGGTTAGAATAAAAGGGAGTAGCTCGCAGAGAGGATCATAAGGATCGCGGATCTGGGGTGAAGGAGACGCGAATGGATCGATGGACTTAAATATAGACAGCTAAATAACTTTAAATACAAAGAAATTTATTTAAAAAATCCTAGAGTACATAAAATATTTCCTGTACAGTTATTATTATGTTATATGAGAGAGAGAGAGAGAGAGAGCAAATGTGAAAAAGTATAAAAAGAATATGTGTGGCGATTAATGGAACTAATCGAAAATTAAAATACAATCTCACATTAGCCAACTCATGCGAGAGGAAAACATATAAAATACAAAAATGCGCAAAACGAGTACAAAAAGAGAAAGAAAGAGTATAGCGACGCGAGATGAAAACAGAGAGAGAGAGAGAGAGAGAGTGGGAAAGAGACATGTTCATGTGCGGGGGACAGCCCCCGTATTGATCTGTTCGCGCAAACTCCTGGTCCTTAGGCTCCCTCCGCGACCGACCCTCGCCCCCGCTTGTCGCCACTCTTGTCCTGTTTCATTCGTAGCTATACCAAATGCACAGTCCAAAGTCCTCTGGAGATTCAACTATGATCCCGGCCGTTGTCTCTGTCGCTTATTTGAAATCCCAATTGACGCACAACTTCCTCGCTGTCTCGCTCGACGTCGACGACGTATCGGAAAATCTTATATGAAAGTCGTCGTTTCTGCGCCATCTACGCCTCTCCAATCATCATCTCAAGAAACATATTAATAAATTAATTCAATTACTATCTCTCCTTACGTAATCATTTATATAGCTTCCGATAATTGCGTACCGGAAAACTGACCGATTTTTCCAAGGTTTTCATTACAATGCGTGACAGTCTCAATCTCTCTCGGCTCTCAGAACGAGAGATAATTGACGATGACGTGTAATAACGCGTCTCGCAGACGTTGAAGAAAGTCATATTGAAGGTAACAATAAAATCAGACGCTCCGTCTAGCCGGCGCGATTAGGTCGTATCCCGTGCTATACGCGCCAATTCTCAATTCGCCGACGGTAGAATTAACGCGGGTTTCGCATGCGAAGCTTTGCGGTGATGCCCGATCGTGCTTAAATGCGCTCTTGCAGAGCTAATTGATGCAATTACCAGGCCACCTTGAAGACACACCGTGACCCTGCTACTCGGGTCACAGCTCGACAAGGGGTTGTCGTTATAGAGGGTGCGACCGATGCGTCGGTCGCGTCAACGTCGATATATCAACTTCTACATACGTACTGCCTTCATTAATAACGCAGCTAGAACTTTCGTGAGCTTAGTTGAAACTTAAATTGCAAAAAACAGGCAAAATATCAACGGAAATCATTTCGAGCTTGTGCGAATGTACAGAATTTCCCGGATCCATTTATATATTTGTTGACAGTTAAATTAATCTCAATCTCGATCTCTTTCGAGAATGGAAATAAATTTATAAATTAGGAATTTACGCGAAACAACGTCCGATTTCTTTTAATTCGTCTCATCTCTCACAAGGGGCGGGAGTAATTACGTAGGCAACGATAGCGGTTTCGCGTCGACAACGAGCGCGTTAACGATGTTGCGGTGGCGCTCGGTGATCGACGGATGGGGAACAATGACGTTTTCGTGCGTTGAACAAGCTGTATCGTTTTCGACCGTGGGCTTCGATCGACGTTTAATTAAATGTTGGAGGGGCGTCGGAACGGCTCGACGGGGTAAACGAATTTCGGTCGGACGAAGGAGGAGGGAAAGACGTGAAAAAGGAAAAAGAAAAAAGCGGTGACGGGAAGGGGCGGATAAACGTTGCAATGGATCAGTGCAAACGCGAGCAGTTACGAGACGGAATGAAAAAGTGATAAAATCGGACGAGGTAGAATAGAGAGGTTTCGGAGATGATAAACGAGGTTTCTTTTAAACTCGCAACCCTGAGAAATCCTTGCAACCCCATGGGTTAATAGAAAAAAAGGAATTATCGCGCAAAGAGATCAGTAGCGCGATCGCGAAAATGCTCTCTCCCGCATTGGAAGAACGTAAAATTCTAGTAACTTTCTTGTAGTCAGATCTCACGATCCTTGTAACTCAGGATGCTCAGTCACGTCACAATACGTAAATAATGATATCATGTAACGATTATATCGTTTATAAGTACATAAGCATTAATAAATTGCAATAGGAATTTATTTAATCGTTTTATCTTATTGAAATATAAAAATTTTCATAAGATGACGTAAGAATTTATTATTATTGTTATTAAAATACAAATATTATTGAATTATCTAATTAATATTTGTAATTTAATAATAATAATAATAATTTCTTGCGCCATTTTACAAAAATTTATATATTTCAATAAGATATAACGATCTATTAATTTGTATAAGTAAACTTAGAATTAATCGTTACAATGTACGACTTATTCTACTTTATTATTATATGTATATACTTTTAATATAAATTTTTTTGCATACGGTGTAAAAATAATGATTTCGTATATACATAAAATGAAAACTATACTATAGCTAGTATGAGATATAACTTATAGAATTAGACATTATAATGTAAAATATTACATTAATGATTTCATATTGTTAAACGCACTTACAAATAGAAGAACACAAAATAAGTATATTTAAATTGTCTTACGTATAAAATAAAAATAGCAAATACATTTCGCATTTTAAATAAAAACAAAATTATGAGAAATAATCTATGAAATAAATTTCTCAGAAAAATTTAATACTAACAATAAGTATAGTAAGTATTAAATTAGGTCAGTAATTAATTACTTACAATATTGAATTTTTTTAAGGAATGTAAATAAATTTTTCTAGAAAACAAAGTAGGATTTAATTATATCACGATGCGAGCATTGTAACGTTCGTATATAAAATGAAATAAAATCTACACTATGAAATAGTATAAAATAGAGCTTATAGAACTAGACATTATAATGTAAAACATTACATTAATTATTTATCATATTATCATATTATTAAACGCACTTACAAATGGAATATGATTGATTTGAAATAAAGATACTATCTTCGACGCGAGAAAAGAAACGTTCAATATTTTTGGTCAAAAGATGATCATTTTCATTTTTCTAATTTTCTCACTCATGGTATCTGCAGATTTTCTTTATTCTGGAATTATATAGCAGAATAATTAATATTTTACTTAATTATTTATTAAGCAATTTTTTGTAATTACTTTAAAAAATGCTACATTTTTCGCAGAATTCCTTATCTTTTCAGAAAATTTTTCGCAAAATTTGCCCTGCGAGTAGTGCGAATCACTCATTTCTTTCCTTTTGTTGGAAAGAAAACGGATCAGATCAGCATCAGATTCCCTATTCTCAGATTTTCCCAACCTTCTAGAAAATTTCTTGTGAAATTTGGTCTGAGAAATCACTTAAGTATTTCTTCAATTTGAAATTTGTCCTGCGAATCACTTATTTCTTTCCTTTTGCTGGAAAGTAAATGGATCGTATCAGCATCTGATTTCCTATTCTCAGGTTTTCCCATTCTACCAGAAAACTTTCTGCGATTTCGCAGATGCAAAATCACTTAAATATTTTTTCAATTTGAATGTGCCCCCCCCCCCCCCTTCGAATCACTCACTCCTTTTTTTTGGTGGAAAGTAAACGGATCGGATCAGCATTGTTGTCACTGATGGTACTTGTTTCTGATTATCTAAATATTTATCTTTGCTAACAGAAGAGAACTCCGTGGCGACTTTTCGCGACGTTAAAGTCAACATGTTCATCAAATCCATTGTCGTTCCATGTTCATCCAAGATGTCGCATAAGCACTGTATATACCACGTGCCTTCTGAAGGATTCCTCCAGGTAAAGAAACCTTAAAATAACAAAATTATATTGAACATATTCATTTGTATCAATTCATTGATTTGTCGATACCCCACCTTTGTTGCGTTATTTTACAGTGATTAAAAAACTACAAAAAATTTGGAAATTATAATTAGAAAACCATTCAAATCCAATATCGTATATTATTCGTTTTTTCACTAATCCATTAATATTTTTCACAAAAAAAGGACTCAAAAATACGTTTTTGTATCGCGTGTTTAAAGTCCCAAAAAGAAATCCGATACTTGCAATATCTTTTTTTTTTTTTAAGAAAATATTAACTTAAGTATAATGTGACACTAAAAAAATGACACTGTAACAATTTCTGCATATCTTAGGAAGTATTAAAATGAATAATTGGCATTTACCTTTCATCGAACTGTGAGCTATTAGAAAATCTGCGTGAGACGGAATAGCATAGGATACTGCCGAATCAGTTTCCGTTTGTCTTGGCCGCAAAGAGCGAGATGAACACTGGAGCTGAATACCGCCATCGGTTTGGTCGCCTCTGCATGCCTAAACAAAAAGCCAGACGGGATAAGCGAGCCGAACAAAATAAAGACAAAGTAGAAACGTACATGTCGATCATTTAAAAATAGAATGAGACTCGAAAATATTAGTTATTTTACCTGGATGAAGAATAGTTTAGGCTTGCCGGCAAGCGACGAGCATTTATCGGCGGTGAAAGGTTTCCAAAGTGTGTCGGAACTGTAAACGACGTCTTTCGCAAATATCATGTCGTGCTGAATTCCATGGGTCAGCGCAATCACGCAGAGGCAATCATTATCCGTATGATCGTATAATTGACTCACTGTAACGTGCACAACGCATCGAGCATAAAAATTGAAGCGGGTATTCTGGTCTAGAGGATTCGAAAAATCGAATTTTTCTTGCTTTTTTCGAAAGCTTATAGTCTTAAAAATATTCCACAAAAGCGTTTCTTTGGAAAAATGAAAATTTTCCAAGATATACAAGATAAAATGACTCAGTGCGTAAAGCCGCTTGACCGATTCAAATATCGGAAACCAATCATAATCGTCGCCCGTTATTATCCTCAACCTTTTAAAACCGTTTTAGAAAGTTTCTTTCAATGGCAGGACAGAATTTCGTTCCCCTCTGAGCTCACTTTTGACGCACTTTTGAAATTTTGACATATTATAGCGAAAAATGTTTAATGCGTTTTCCTCGAAACTGTGTTTTCAAACATGGTAAGCACGATTTCAAAAAAAATTACTAATCCGATTGATTTCTACTTTTACAGTGGTATGTATTCAGAAAATATCATTATCGTTTAAACAAAAATTAATAATCTACATTGATCTTTTCTATTTTTAGAAGAAAACGAAGAAAAACAATGAGTAAGATTCGAATTAGTTTTTCAAACTGCTGTCATTTTGTAAATATGCATGCTATATCAATTATCCTGATTCAGACGATCTATTCATTAGACAAGTCTATTCATTAAGAAAAAGTTGCATTTGTTGCTTTCGGACCAACGACACGACTTCTTTGACTACCATTTGATCGTATTCGCGATGCAGCCCTAACTTCGTATCGTTCTTACCTTCGTTTATCTTTTTCATAATTTCGGCGTGCGTTAAGTTGTCGTAAGTTTCAACGTCAAAGTCTAGATTCCCGAAAGATTTACGCAGTCTCATCACGTCCAATAACGAACCCTCTCGATTCATTTCGGATAAGTTGAACTTCTCATGATTAAAGATTATGCATTTGCCGCGATTTTTGTGATTCATGTTATAGCAATCTGCATCCTTTGGTACTGGCATAAATGCAATGGGTTTTGAAGGTATTAAAAGTTCTTCTTTTTTAGTCCTATAAATAGAAAAATAAAAAGAGAAAGCGTATTACAGCGAAATGAACGATACTCAAATTTAAATATAAAAGCTAATCCTTGAAAAAATATACGTTTAACGAATGAAAGACAATTGGAAATATTTGTAGCGATTGGAAATGACTGTAACTAGTAGCATAAACGTACAGCTTATTTATAAATATTTAATATTAGTAATAATTTTAAAGAAGTCTTTACGCATATGTTTAATATAATTCATTTACGAGTTAATTTTATTCCAAATCAATATTTTAATAGTAATATTTTCATTTATTTTCAAAGGATATAATGGTTTAGGATATAAAGGATATATAAAGGCTTTGTATAATTACTTCTCAATTTCTCGATAATATCATCATAAAAAAGTCGTAACTGTACCGCTTATTGTTAGTTAAAACTGGTATCTCTATAAATTAATAATGCTTTTCCTTACCAAGTATTGATTTCTTCAGGTGTGATGCTACCTGTAGCATCGATTTTGTCTGATTTTTTTTCATCGGATTGGGATGTTCCTGCTATATTAACCGTAAGTTGATATTTTTCTGGTGATGTCTGAGAAAATAAACGGTTTACACCGGAAAAGTTTATATTCTGTAGTTCATAATTTTATCGTATTAATTACAAAGAAGATGTAAAAAATGAATTCGAATGTTTTCCGTGATGAGAAAAATTAGTTTCAATTTCATAAAAAAAATCTGTAAAATAAAAACTGCTAATTTTGATTATTATTATTATTCCGTGAGGAGAACAGAAGAGAAAAATTTAATTTAATTCGGACAAAATAGTCAGAATGTGTACATAACAATGATACTTGTATCTCTTGTACCATATAAATTTTGTTAGAAAATAGGCATTTAAATAAATTTTTATCTAATTTGTCTTTCAGAAGAAATTTTATCTTTATTAAATAATTTTGTACGATGTAAACTACTTTTTACTTGGAAAAGTAATTACCATGTAACAAGAATGTTACATGATTATTCTCAATTTGTTATCTAAACAGGAAATTATTTAAATTTAATTAATTAATTTAATAAATACTACAACATTCTTTAGTTTTGACATATCTAAAAACGCTAGTCTTAATTTGTGATTTTTACATACAATTCGAATTCAATCGGTAGGAGAGTCTTATGACCGCAGGTCTACATACATAGTAATCTGTAGTGGATAGAGATTTGCTTCGGATACGAGGTACAGGTGCTGCAAGGAACGCATAGTTTCTATAGCCGATAGAGTCAATTACCGAATTGGATCTGGCCCTGGGCTCATCAGCAGATGTCTTAGATGACGTTGGATGATTATTATTGACCTGAAAAAATTAAATTAATACAATTAATCTAATTTAATAAATTAATTTAATAAAATGAATTTACCGAGAATTTATCAATGAAATTAATTTATTCATTTATTCGTGCCATATAAACTTAAATTTACCATCAATAGACTTAATTTATTAAAACATTCCTTTATAATTCATTACACGTAACTAAATAAACACCAGCAGACCATTTTAAAATTAAAACTTAAACGCTTATAAGTAACGAGAAGAAGAAATAGCAGGAAGCATACACGTAAATGATATTAAATACTTGGAAGCCTGCCGTTTGACCACAGTACGATTTTCCACAGCAACCGAGTGCTTAGAGTTTTTCTATGGATTAACCAACTCTGAAAATTTCATATTAAATCAATCGCCAATTAGCGATGTGGGCGATTGGGTCCCACTCCAAATACGTACATAATATTATCATAGGTAATTAATATATGCATGCTTAAAAAATGTTAAACAAATCGATCGAAAAGAATCGATTGCATTTAATCAATAAATGTCAAAATAATTTAATCAATGATATCACAGGCACGTATATTACAGTACGTATTATTATACAGTTTCCCAAAAGATAATATATTATTAGGAAATTGCCCTGTTATTTGTAATTATTAAAAAGTACGTAAAATCGTATGCAAAAAATGTGTTTTTGTTTCTTTGTCCTTTTGAAGCAACTGGTCCCTTGATTCGTTTTTTGTTTATACCTGCCGTGAATAAAATCTTCCGGAGGGCGCGTCCCTTTTCAGACTATTCTACTTTGGGAAATAAAAAGAAATCGCAGGGAGGCTTAAAAATAGGCCGAATGTATTCTAACATGTCGACTTATAAGATTGTAGAAGAAAAGGATCCGAAAAAGTGTCCGACTCATCGTCTCGAAGTAGAATACAACTTCATCTCTATAGGAAATATCCATTAACGAAAAAAATTCACAAAATATTATCTGTACGTTGTTTGCTACTACTTAATTAATATTACTTCGTTATTATCCTAATAATATATTGTTATTATCCTGAAATGCTTAAATTATAGAACAATGGTCTAGTGAATGAAAGACTTGAGTTAATTCAATTCCGGATCCATATACTGCGCATACGATTCCAGGTAAATTTTACTGAAAATAAGAAACAAAAACAAATACAAGGCAATTTGGTAATATACCTCCATCCCTTGGAAGATCCTTCTCTCTCCCTTTCTCTCCTCCCTTCATATACACACACACACACGTACACGCACACACCATTCTCAACACGTTTTTCTTACTGGATGGTGCACGTTTTCTTACTGGCTAGCTTGCATTTTACTCATTTTAGTAAATTACTAGAATTGCACGCATGCAGAGAACGCAGAATTTTTAGTAAATTATTGAAATGCAAGCAAACGAGCAAGAAAACATGCATCATTCAGCTTTATATACTAACTGAGTACTCAATTTTTTCTTTTACATCGGTGAGTTGATGCCTTTTGCTATACTCATTAAAATACGCACGGACGATAGCACGAGGCATACATTGATCTCCGTACGCTCTTTTCAGCATGAGATAAGTTTCGTATTCATCTTTTTTGTCTGCTTTGGCGATAAAATTAATAATGATACGTTGCTGCAGTTTTGTCGAAGTTGATCCAAAATCCATATTTGCCATGGTTTTTTGAGTTTTTTTTAAACACTTGCTCACTTTAACTGTTCAAACGGCCAGTCAATTAGTAGCGCAAGACAAATTGTACAACGATCGTATAATAACTTTTGATTTGTATATCACGGATCGGTAATATATGTGCATGTTCACTCCCGAACGTTTAATACAACAGTCATCGAATTCTCTCTGGAACGTTCTGTTGTGCTACTTGTGCTTAAGTACGTCTAGTATTTTCTGTTGGCGAGGAAATTCAACTTTGTGTCGAAACAGGTTGCTCAGGAAAATGGAGGGGACAAGCTTTTCAAAATTATATGTCGTGGAAAATCGTACGGTTTAGGGCGTTTAGGGCAACCAATCGGCAAACACCTTTTAGCAGGTAACTTCGAAAAGTATTCTGCACCGAAGGTTCCGAAGGCCAGTTCTGTATAAGGGATATAAAGCTAGTCAGTTTTGTAGCTATATGTCATTTGGTTCCTTTTTACCCTTCTTTAATTTTGATCTTTCTGCGTGTATACACAAATTAATATATAATATTTTTAATTTTTAATTTTATTTATTTTTATTTTCTATCAAGATAACTTTTTTAAAGATATATAAAGAATTATTTAAGTGAAAAAACAATTTGTTTTGAGAAGCCGCTACTTCTTTTCGTAAGTAGAAACGTTGAAGCGTCTTTGTTTCTTTTTTACCTGAAACTATCTAAAACCATAAATCAATCCACTTATAAAAATATTCAGTAAAGATCATCTAAAATCGATACCTCTGTTTTGGAGATCAGCAAATATCGATACTTATCAGCAGTCTTAATGACGATATAATAATTAAATCAATTCGACTGAAATCTTTATTTTGATATAGTATAGAGTTACGTCAAGAGATATATGGACAGATAAATATATAATGCTGAGTTTATTCAATAACAATATACCTGAAAAATACTAAGCATGTGTCTGTTTTTTCAGAAGTAAGTTTTTATGTCGACAGCTATTAATATTAATACTGATTAATACTGATTAAATCAAATCTCCCTTATCTATCTATCTATCGAATCCATCGGAGCAATCTCAAAATGAAATGGCAATCGATGATGAAATCATTTAACGGAAGCTATACAACAAAGTGTGTGTGTCGCAACAAAAATATCGCAGTATGTTTGAACTACTAACAATAAGTTAGTCATCCTTTCCCAACACTGCAGAGATTAGAAGAGAAAAAAAAGTTTCGCCAGGTGATAGTGAAACGAGCAACCCTTATCAATGATTCAGATCATCATTGATCGCATGTATCGATACTCATTTAAATTTATACGGCGTGACTCATGTCTTTTGTTATTTCCTAATGATTTTTTTACTTTTTAATCGGGACGAATTCATTTTCGCGCAAAAACATCGAAAGGAAATTTATCGATGAATTCGCTTTACAATTAGCACAATTATTTTCTTATTTTCCGCGAGACACGTACGGCGCAGTAGGAGAACAAAGAGAACAAAGAGATGCATAGGCTTTTGTGTGTTTCATTGAAGAAGCGAAAGAATGTTCTTTCATATTAGAAATATCTGTAGATATATATACAGGTGTATACAGGTGTGGAAAAGCAATTTTTACGCGTTGTTATATTATATTGATTTTTATACGAGATAATTCACTGCACGTGCGAAGCTCAGTAATTCCGCAAGGGCTAATGAATCACATGCCTATTTCTCCGCACGACTTACTTAACTTCAAATAATTAACATTCCAAAAAATATTACAAAATATTATATTTTTGTTCATGGAAATATTTTATTTCGATTACGAGCTTTGAATTAATGTAATCTATCTATTGAATTTATCTATTGAATCTAATCTATCTATTGAAAATTCGATGCAGTAATCATTTCCAACGATGTTGCGTATATTGATGTAATGTAAAATTATTTCGAGCAAAATTGACGGATGTGCGGAGATTAGACTTGTAAATTTTTTGATTTTACACGTGCCTATACAATATTAACAACATCAATATCTCTTGTTTATTCTTCGAATGTTCATTAACGAACTTGTTATCTTTCAATGAAACTTATATCACGTTTGCAGTACAATAAAATATCGTATACCTACATATATACTATAGATGTATACGGGCAATTTATTGATAAGAATACTGCAATTTTTCTAAAAGAATATCTTTGGATTGAAATTAATTAAGAAGATATTCCGTAATACTTTAATCTCTGTAGATTTGGATTTTTCAATCGAGAACGATTCTTATCCCCCATCAGGAGAAATGATCAATCTGACATCGACGTCAAATCAATGTCAAATCAATGTATATTTCGATATCAAATCAAATCCATGACCTATCATTTCTTCCTTGGATGTTTATTCACACAAAGGAAATCGTGGCGACTGGCGTAAAACTTAAACATATTTTTTGCATTCATGGCATACGAGATTAAACTTGGCACTTCCACAGCCTCGTTCTTTCGCATTTGCATATTCGTACTTACATAAAAAAAAACATAATTTTATCGATTTCGATATCAAATCAAATCCACAGACCGATCATTTCTCCCTTGAATGTTTATCCACACAAAGGAAATCGTGGCGACTGGCGTAAAACTTAAACATTTTTTTTGCATTCATGGCACTCGTGATTGAACTTGGCGTTATACAATAGCTTCGTTCTTTCGCATTTGCACATGTATATACGTACTTACATAGAAAAAAAACATAATTTTATCGATTTCGCAAATCCTACTTCTCTCAAAACGCAACTTTTCCGGCAGGCTCGGTTTACCTGTTGCGCCTCGGTCTCGTCGATCGCCGAGGGTTCCATATTGCGTCGTAAGAGAGATTTGCACCCCCGCGAGATCACTGCAGCGCGCTGGTCCTCGCGTCGTCGAAAGGTTCTCTTGGCGAAGTGGTATCCGCCACGTACGGTTCGCGTTCGAGAAACGACTGCGAAAAGGGCCAATCTCGACTGATTGAGCCCCAGATATCATCCGGTATCGAGACTCCTACCCAGGCGGACGACTTATCAGGCGCGTTATCGCGTTTGATTGCTATCCGTTATATCCGTCGCGAGTGGCCAGCGAAGGAGAAACGTGTTTATTCGTGAAACCACAGGAGGAGCCTTATTATTACGTCGCAGGATGTTCGTGGTCGCGAGGCGCAATAATCGGGAACCTTGGAAAGGTCACCATACAGTAAACAGCCACGTACTGCTATCTACAAAATTGTCATCATTTTTATAATAATACTTTATCATTATTTTGTCAATATATTTTATAACATTTAGTTTGTACTTACAAAACATATATAACGATTTTAATACGAATGTCTTTTTATTTCTGGAGTAAACTTTTATATTGTATAGTTTACTCCAAAAAGTAAACTTTTATTTACAATAAAAATCCGAAAGATTGAAATATTTCAATAATTTTTAGATGTTACTTTAATAAATTTTAAATGTATATACCTTCTCCCTTAATTCGATCGACAAAATCATTCGATCTCTCACGATGAAAAATCTGATATCTTAACTTTCTTCAACTCCGCGTCCTTCTAATCCAATCTTTCTTTATCAACAGCAAACTTATGATACTACTTGCGTTAACAAAGTTATAGCCTGCAGGACTGCCGCTTGACAAATTAAGCGCCGGTCAAAGTTCGAGCGAAAAGTCACCCTCCCTCGCAGTAATAATAGTCGCTATAATTATTTGCCTGGCCATTTTTACGCTTTACCGCGCGTCTAAAAGTTCGCACCTATTGGTCGCCCGACGCAGATCGCGCTTGCCCGTCCGGTGTCCCACCGTGCTTTCCGTTTCGCAGAATTGCAGCCAACAGTGGCCGCCCGTGGCGCTAGCGGGGGCGAGGAGGGGGAGGGGGGGAGGGGAGAATGCGCGACGCAGTTGCGGATTGTTGTGGATAGTCGACTGTCGTGAATAATGTATTTTTAGGTTAGGTTAGGTTTCCTTCTCACTAGCGGCCTGGTCGAGGTTTTTCCTCCTCGCGGGAGGGTGACCTGGAAGAAATGAGCGATTTGTAAGTGCAGAACGCGAGCTTGACCGTGACGGAGTGAACGGTTCGAATTCGAAGAACAAGTTTCCAACCTCGTTCCCGATCTCGAGTGACCCGAGTGTCTTGCTACCTGCACCTGGGAGCGTCTCGCTGTCCCCTCGTATTGTCTGTTATGCGATCGTGGTAGGCAGGTAAATATTGTCGCGGTGAAACACGTGTTAAACGCACATTTTAGAGGTTCGCGAGCTGCGCACAACAAATCCGATATTTCGTGCTAAAAAAATATTGCTGTCAGAGGTATAGAGTTTCCTTATCTTAACGAACTCTTCCCTTCGTCCGGTAGCTTTAAAAAAGCTCGTCTCATGTGAGAGATAAAATCGTTTGCCGATCTGAGAAGTCGACCGACGAAATTGTCCTGATTTTCCAGTATTTCTCGGCTGCGTTTCGGGGAACGTGCTGTCGGCGCTGTTGCGTCATTGTGTGCCCTTGTTTTACATATGTATATCTAATTAATGATGATGACACAATAGCGCACTGATAGCACGCTCGTGTCATTATTATTTTTACTTCCCTGATCGCGCGATGACAGTTGGCGCAAGCTCTTGCTAGACGTGTTTTTCCTCGCGGAAAACTGGTATTTAGGTTAGGTCTTTGTATCTGAGCTCTCTTTGAACCTTTTGTATTTCTTAATCTTATAGGCCTGTTCTCTTTGTGGCTGAACCGACTGCACTAGCTCACAGTTTATCTTTCTTTTCTACATTAGCAGAAGAAAGATAAACTCTAAACTAGCGCAGCCAGTTCAGCTATAAAGAACAGGCCTTGTGCTTTTCTCAGTAACTTACAATTATAGATCTAAGCTTTGTTCGGTTATTCACTGCGAGTACTCAGAATCTGTTGTTTACGTTACATATAGTAACTGTTCCTATTAGTGTGCTTTTATATTTAAATAAGTCATAAAAATAAACTGGTACAAATAAATATGTAGACAAAGTATTTTTTTTTTATTAAGTTAAAGTATTAAGTTTATTTTTATGACTTATTTAAATATAAAAGCACACTAATAGGGACAGTTACCCTACTATAAATTTTCCTTGCAGTGAACAACGGAACGTAGCCCTACTTTGTGTTTTAAATGCAAAAAATATAACATAGCGCTGCTACAGAAAACAAATCTTCAACATTGCCTTCTCTTATTTTTCTTGAATTATATATATATGTGTACATTTATTTTTTAGTGGCACTTGTACTAGAAGATCTTGATTTTGGTGGCTCAACTGTGGTCGCAGCAAAATGACTGTCACAAATCAACGTGTTGCGGTCAATCCTTGTCTCGACGCTAATGCGTCACTTGGAATAGATGAGGCCTGTTTTAGCATTTTGAACAAGAATAATAGATCTGTCGAATTATATTCTCAGTTGTCGGACTGCTTCCTCGTACGTTGACACGCATAGCTATTAAGTTTGAAAGAAATTTTAATCTGTTTGTTTAAACTGTCAACAATATTATCCTTTGCTGTTGCAGTGCAAATATGTATCACTGGCTACTTTACCAGCGGAAGAAAACACTACTTTAGTTGTACCTACGAAATTTCCTATGAACGTATTTTACATGCTAAATAACCAAAGTTATTGTTCGTAAGTAACCGAAGGACATACGAACTGTATGATCGTCTCACATGTCGCATCTTTTGTCAAGATACAAAAGTATACAATTGTCACACTATAACTTATATGTGTTTACAGCCAAATGTTCAATTTTAAAGAGCATGGAAGTTATGGGTGGAATATTTCTGCGAAAGAAGATTGCTCGATTTATACGATTCGTGAATCAATAAACAGTTACCTTCGTAAGTTGAAAGAATTTAAAATTCTTTTTTTTTTCAAATTTTAATTTTTAGAGCTGGGTGCTAATCGATGATTATTCTTCTTGCAGCGATATTTGCGGCTTTCATGGTATACGTTCTGTTAACGATTTTATTCGCCACCGCCAAAGTCATCGTGCGTGTGGTGAAGGGAAAATTGTCACCGGACAATGTACGCGATGTAAGTGTTTCCAACAAGCATATAATTATCATACGATCACGTGTGCCATGCCGGATACTATACTTCATATGCGTATTTTTAGGATCTGGACAATCTTCAAGAAGCGGAGGCGCCGAATCTCATAGTCAGGACAAACAGATCTAGCACCAGGATCCATTCGGTCGATACGTTCCGAGGGTACCTTTCGTTCTTTGCACGTAAAATGACGTAACGCAGATCAATTTGACACTAAATATTGATGAAAATTCATTTCAGGATTGCGATATTACTGATGATATTTGTCAATAACGGCGGTGGCAAGTACGTGTTTTTCAATCACAGCGCGTGGGACGGTCTGACGGTGGCCGACTTAGTATTACCTTGGTAAATTGTTTTGCACCCTCTCCTGTATCCGCTTTATGTAAATTTCGTTCTGCCTATACCGTATCTTCGCTTCTGCGATTTCAGGTTTGCGTGGATCATGGGATTGTCGATCACTATATCGAAACGATCGGAGCTCCGTGTGGCGAACTCGCGCTGCAAGATTATCCTGCGTTGCCTGCAACGCGCGATTATCCTCGTGCTGCTCGGACTGATGCTGAACTCGTTTCACAGCGCGTCGAAGTCCGGCTACAGCCTAAAGGATCTCCGATTCCCGGGCGTTCTTCAGCTGCTGGCCGTGTCGTACTTCGTATGCGCCACCATCGAGACGATATTTTTGAGGACACATTCTCAGGTTCGGATCACGCATTTTCTTCACTTTAGCGATAGCACATTTACGCACAGCTGGTGGTGTTGGACCAATAACGGTGACAATTAATAATCTCTTAGGACGGCGTGTTACAGTTCGGTCGATTTACAATCCTGCGGGATATCTTGAACAATTGGGCGCAGTGGTTGATCATTTTAGCGATTACGACGACGCACACCCTGATCATGTTCTACCTGCCCGTCCCGAATTGTCCGACGGGATACTTGGGACCCGGTGGTTACGCTAATAATGGAACCCTCCCGAACTGTACCGGAGGCGCAGCCGGTTACATAGACAGGCTCGTGTTTGGCAGTCATATGTACGCTAGAACAAAAGATCCGGTATACGGCACTATTTTACCCCACGATCCCGAAGGTATGAGCGACACATTTTTTTTCTTTTCGATAAATTCAATACTAATGCTAGGATTTACAACCAACATGACGTTTACAGGAATAATGAGCACGATTTCTATAATACTTGTTGTGTACATGGGTGTTCATGCTGGAAAGATCTTATTAATGTATTACCAATGCAATGCTAAAGTGACACGCTGGTTGCTGTGGTCATTCGTCATCGTAAGTGACCCCAATCTTTTTTGTTCGACATGATAGGCAACAGAAAGGTGTAGACATATCGATTGCGACACTTTTTTTAAATAGATTTCGAAACGCCCTAATATTTTGCAAATGCGAACCACGATTGGTGTACTGTCTCTAGGCTAGAGATAGTACACCATCATAGTTCACATTTGCAAAATATTTTAGTTATCTATAAAATATATATTATATATATTAAATATATACTAAAACCTATGAAAAAAAGTGTTGCAACTGATATGCCCACGACTGTACAATTTATACGATTAATAATGATTTATATTATTAATATTCAGGGTCTTATTGCTGGAATATTATGCAAATTTCAAAAAGAGTTTGGACTGATACCAGTCAACAAGAGAATGATGTCGCTCTCATTTAACTTGACAGTATCCTGTTTTGCATTTTTATTATACGCGCTCTTACATTTCCTTATCGATCATAAACAATATTGGAGCGGCGCACCATTCATCTACGCAGGTTTGTTAATAAAGTTATCTAACAATCTCTTCCAAAATCTTTTTCTTCTATTAAACTTTTTCATATTGAATTACTGTTCTTTTTTTCTATCTCTTTCTTTTCCTGCAGTGCCTAAATGTGCACCGTTTTATTTCTCGTGCGTTAAGCATAATTAAAATTAAATTTATGTATTCACGGTTTTGTTTTAGGCTTGAACCCAATTACTCTCTATGTTGGGCATACTATTACCACGGGCTTATTTCCGTGGGCTTGGAAACTGTCGCATCCTACGCATTGGTCATATCTCGCTATGAATTTGTGGACTACAACTTTATGGGGTGTTATCGCATATTGGTTGTATTTAAAAGACATTATTATATCCGTTTAAAAATGTTTAAAAATGTCAGAGGCGTTATTAATGATTTCATCGTAAGACGTTACGATCCTGCGTGCGAGGGATCAAGTAAATTTTGTTACAGATTGCTACGCTTGCAATACTTTTTTTTTTAGTTTAGATATATATACGATATTTATGAGACTGCGATTTACGAAAGCGAATAATTCTCGAATAAATGTGATAAGAGAAACGAAAGAGAAGGTAGTTTTGACGTTATACAAGTAATCATCGCTCATTGACAAATGTAAAACTATACAAATAACGCAATTTTCACTTTAATTATTAATCATTTTGTCATGTATTAACTTTATAAATAAAACTTTTATAACATTTAATCAAAACCATTTTATATTTCTAACATTAATTTTGACAAGAATAAATTTGTTTACGATAATATAAATATTAAAATATAAATAATAAAACCTTTGTGTAGCGCTAAATTATCGATGTAAAAAGGAATATCTTATTGTTTATACATTTCTGTCTTTTGGATCTTTATAGGGTAAGCCTAGGAATTTGAAGACGTCCTTTTCGGATGTAACATTTTCAGCCTCTCCCGGACAACCTGAAAATAATTCTTCCCATAACTATAACATTTTCACGTATTATTTACACGTTGCTTCTCGATCATACTGCACCTTCGGGTGTGAGACGCTTCAGCGCGTACTCGTTCAAAGTATATTTCTTTTCCAATGCATGCGCTCGCATATTCTTGTTAAACAGATCGCTTCCCGTGAAATAAAGTATGGCGCAGTAATACTGATCGTGAAACGTAAGACGTATGTCTAATCGTCTGTATGGTTTGCTCTTGTCCTCTGATAAACGACACACTCCCTAAACACACGGAAACAATTATACAATTAAGAATGTCTTCTTCCTATGCGCGCTTGGCATGGCTTTATCTTATTTCGGTACCATGAATTTGGAAGATCCAAGAGATATCGTGTCTGTGATCAACTGCTTCTTCTCAAGACACTCGACAATTCCCTTCAACGAGATTGCCTTCTTCTTCTCATCTCTCGCTTTCGACGTGTAATCGGGATGTGTCACGAGAACGTCGATGTCTCCACTCTCCTCCCTGCCGCGTCTGTAACTACCACAGATGGTTACGAGATAACCGCTGTTCAGCTCCTTGATGGCGTTCTTCAGTATCTTCTCTATCTGCGTGATTTCCGCTCGAGGTATCTTCTTCTCGAAGTCATCGAAGTACCTGAAAGAATTCGTCGTGTCAGCTGAAATGCCTTCGGTGTCAACGTATCAATTTCGTACTTCAATCCCAGTTTCTGATGATGCGTGAGCTTGTCCTGATGCTTCCTGAGATCCTCCAGCGTCTTGATACCAGCTTCCACCAATTCCTTCGCCTTGGCAGGACCTATGCCGGACACCTGGGCCAGCAGACTGATGGCGACATTAGTTTCATCCTTCTTGATCTGAAATAAGGCACGAAATATTGCGTTATTTGTATAGCGAGAAATCCATTGCGTGTTTAAATTCTCATTTCATGAACGTATACATTTTCCAGCTTTTGCAGCTTCCCAGTCTGAAGAAACTCGTCTATCTTCTTCGCGATCTTTACTCCGACTCCAGGTAGCTTCTTCGCCTCGTCCCCGCTCTTGACCCTCTCCGGCAGAGCGCCCAACGTGCCAGCCGCTTTGCGATACGCGTTGTACTTGTAAACGTTCTTGCTGACGTTGCGCTCGTAATCCGCCAGTTCTGCAAACGGATATCTCGTCGTGTATCGATCGTGGCATTCTTGTAGCATAAATCTGAACAGAATTACATGCTCTTTTCTCCTTTTATAACACGCACACGGAAAAAACGTCACTTACCCATCAAAAAATCACACAGATCCTGATTCGGATTGTTTGCGTTGCTCGTGGCCTTCCTCTTGCCCATTATGTACAAGGGAACGCGATGCAGATTTCGTGAAAATAATCGATTCAGTTTGTCACTTCTTAATTTCAATTTGATGCGTTATTTCACTGCGGAGAAACAACCGGTAAAAGAGACCCTTCAAGGTTTGTTTTGTAAATAGAAATACATTCCCGGCATGGAAAACGAATATAGACGTGATAGGCTTGAAAACGTCAGAAGTGTCAGAGCTCGGGCGTCGTGTCTAGATATATTCGTGTATTATGGCCGTTGCTCCAAAGAACCGGCAATCTTATTTTGAAGCCGCTCAATTCGATTTGGAGCAGACAAATTTTTAATTCTTTTTTTTTTAATCCTCTGCGTTAAAGTATGAAAATGTTTAAACAATGCAAAAAACTACTGAGCATACGAAGGAAATTTTAATAATTCTATGAGATTCCTTGAAGGATCATCGAAAAATCATTAATTAAAAGAAATAATAATATATAGAATATAAGGTGATAAACAACAGACACTTCACTGGAGACTCGTGTCTCAACACTTAACATTTATTTCAGACAAATATTGCGTGTATAATAATACGGGTTCGCGAAGAAATATAAATCGATCTATCTAAAACACGCGGATCTCTTGCTCAACAATTGTTCCTTATATTTCTGTATACTTTATAACGTGATGCGATAAAATCTCTTATTTCGTTAACCGAGAGAATATAATCGACGGATTTTTCTTCTATCATTCTCATTGACACTGCACGGTGATGCACTTCAAGCAGGTCTCCTACCCTTTACGCTACCCAATGTGGGAGAAATCGTACGAGTAGCGGTGGCGCGCGAACCAGCCGCCCCGTTAAACGTTTGGCATATCGCGTGTGAACGCGTGTGTGTATACACGAAGATCTCACAAAGAAACATCGAGATTTACAATAAATGTCGATATGTACATAATACTCTTTAATAAATATCGCGCTGGCTTTCAGACTGAAGAGAACAATCGCTCAGAATACTAAAAAATAAGTAATACATTTCGGTTAAGTAATATACGTTTCAGTTAAAGAGTAATTTAAACACTCTCGCGAGAACTCGTCGTTTGCTACTTATCTGTCCTCTCACGATAAACGAGTTCACTCGAATTTGTAATTCAAACGTCAGTCGAAGAATGTCTAAAGCCAGCGCTCGAAGTTGGATACAGTATTTGGCATTACATTTTAGTCATGCTTTCAGTCATGGCGATGATTAAGGCAAATAAATATATATTCATATATCGTAAGTAACTTCATAGAGTTTTGTAAGGAGGTTTTCCTAAAAGCTCCCTGCTTCGGAGATCTAAGATATTTCAGGGGCTAATGAATAAAGTCTCACTGCAACCGGTTACGTAAGGTAGCTGAACGACCGTAATATTCTCGTTTACTCGCGAGACTCAGCACAGACGGTCGAAGAATCATGTAATCATGGACGGATCGTTGTACCTGATTCACAACGCCAAGTCAACTCGCCGTTTGTAGCGCGTAAGTACTTTTGATTAAGACCCTATCCTCTACGCGGAAGGTAAACGACTGTAAGTTGCGTAGCTCTTTACGCAGCAGCCTGAGACGAAAAAACAAATGGCAAGTACGATGACCAGTATAACGATAAATATGTAAGCACACAGCTGCGGGAATCTGCCTGGTAGCCATAGAATCGTGAACTCGACGGTCTTCTCCTGAGTATCTGCAACGCACGTAACACACCTCATGTAATTACCGATGTGATAAAATTTTAGGGCTGGCGATTTGCTTCGAAGGCTTCGACATTCGAACTTCAAAGCTCCGGCATTAAAATCTTCGAATTCATTCGAAGCTACGAAGCTTCGGAGTTTCGAAAAATACATTTGTGCAAATGATAAATTTATTCAGAAAATTTACAAATATTGTAAATAAAAAGAATTAATACGTATACGAAATTATTCCTAAAAAATTTGAAAGTATAGCCTAAAATATTACAAATTAATAATTAAACTTGATACATGTGCAAATAAGGAAAGATAATCAATAAAAGATGATGATCAAGATGTTGATCAAGATGATCAATAAAACAATCCAATTAAGAAAATTCAAATTTTTAATGTTTTTTCAAAACTAACTTCGAAACTTCGAGGCTTCGAATATTCGAAGTAAAAAGTAACAGCCCTAATAAAATTCTCTCGAGAAATTCAACACGTATCGAGAGACGTTCGTTACCTATGTAGGCAAGTCCGTAGCCCATGTGCGGCGTACCCATTCTGTAGGAACAGGTCGGTATTTGTACTTCGTGAATGTCCCCCACGTCCATTCTCAATTGGTACAGCGGCGTCTCGTACGGCGACAGGATCCAAACGTCGCTCAGCTGATCCGTCGCCGTGTCCAGACTAATGTGCATCGCTTTGTGTTCGTGCGCGGTAAAAATGACCTGCGGCGACAACTCCTTGAGTACCTGCAACAGAACAGAGCGGCGCGGGGTAAGTCACCGTCGTGCCAGGCACTTACCCACCTTTCGCCTCGAATGTACATTTTGCACAAAACTCCCGGGCGTGAACAGCAAAGGCATGTGGCTGAGAATAACATTGGTCGTGTTCCTCTCCGCGTAATCGTTGAGAAACGCGTCCTTCGGCGCTTCCGGCATCGTGCGCGTCAATCTGTTTACCTGGAACGAAACGTTTGTCTATTTATTTCTTTAAAAAACACGAAGATTATAAATATAAAAACGAAGCGTTGGACTATTACTTTGAAAAAGGTGACGGTCTTGTACACTAATGTGTCCGGCTGAGTGTATGCAAAATTGAATCTCTTGTGAATGACGGAAGAAACACGATCGTCCTCACCTCCGATGTCGTTGTCGCCTGGTAAATAAATTTTCTAAAAGGGAACAAAACGATATATTAGGTACCGCGGAAAGTTCGTGTCGTTTTCCCGAAAGAGATTTCGCTTACCGAATAAAAAAGTTTTATCAATAAAATTGTCGCTCGTATTTAATCAAAAACAAGCAATTTGAATTATGGCGAGTAAATATTTAGATGTAGATATAAATTCATATATTTTCAATTTTGACTATATAACTATGGACTGTAATTTACAGCATCAAAGGGCAGTCCATGGTTATATAGTCAAAATCTTGTTTTACAGCCGAAATTGAAAATATATTAATTTATATCTACATCTAAATATTTGCTCGTTTATTGGCCATATTTTTTTTATTCGGTGAGCGAAATCTCTTGGAAAAACGATACAAACTTTTTAAAATACCTGATTTATATTGATAAAGCAAACTTTCCGCGAGAATGGAGGAAAAAGGGATTTATTATTACACAAAAAATAAATACCATTACATCATCCGGCATCGAAAATATCGAATCCAGCCTCCTCTTGTACCTTTCAAAATCCTCTGCATTAGATATATGACCCTCGTCCATGAGATCACCTAAGAAGGCAATAACGTGGGGCTGAGAAAATTTTAACGCTCTCGAGAAAGTTTTCTCTAAGTACCTGCGAAGAAACGTACAACACACTCGAAAAGATATAAATTAACCGCGCAACCCGCGTCGCCCTGATGATTACAGTAAAAATTAACAGACGCTCGCCATACCTATCGCTGTCCCATCTCGCTATCCACGAGCCAAAGTAATTCTCATATTTTTCCCCGAGTATTTGCGGATCCGCGACGAGGAGGATTTTGACGCACTCCGAGCACTCGCGCATGGCCCACTTGAACTTTTGTACTTCGTATACGAGAAATTCATTGTAAAATATTGTCGCAAGAACGATGACGCCGATGGATATCACTCTGTGCTTTAACCTGTTTAATGTTAAAACATTATTAACCATTCGACTCTGCAATTTTATTTTTCCACGGCCGATTCATTCGTAATTCATAGATCAGATTTTCGCTTTCTGTTTTATAAAAAAAAAGTAAGATTCTTAATTTAAAATCAATTGCAACGCGCTGTTAAATGACTTTAAGGTAAACGTACCATTACCGAACGCAAAATTTATTAATCTCAAATGCTTTTTTTATTATATCAAAATTTAATTGTAAAAATATTTAAAGATTACAATTAAATTATATTATTAAAGAAAAAGGCATTTAAAAATAGGCTTGTAAAGCTTGCTTGCTCAGATTTAGACACATGTTCAGTAATGGTACGTTTACCTTGATGTAGACGGTCGCGTAAAAAAGAAAATTACCTATTTCGTCGTAACATCGCCGTGTTTTATAGCATTATACGATGCCGAGTAAAAAAACTCAACGATCCAGTCTTGAGTTTGTTCATCAGCATATCACAGCGTTGGTGTCATCGGCTCTCTAATAGCAGTCGGATCGTTGGCACAGTGTGATGATTTTTACGAGAGAGAGGTTATACGGTCGTAACGGGGTGTAATTTTTTTACTCACTATCTATAATATCTTATCGCTATATTGATCCCTGTAACCCCCTTCCCCCCCCTGCGTTCTTACGTCATTGAGGTAATTATCGGAACGTGCGACGATCGGTACGCATCGTGATAATGTATAGCACAACAAAGGAGAATTATTGTTTACTAATAAACACTGCGCGTTCGGATTTCAGTTTAGGTTGTGTGATGTGTCACCGTTCACTCGCCGCTCAGTATTGACAACGTGACGTCATGAAACGGAACTGTATAGAATCGCCTTAAATAATAGAAAAAAAAAATAAAATAAAAATTTTCCTGAATAAAATCTATGAATACCGGGCTACGATCGCGTAATGCCTCACTGATCCATGCACGGTCACGTGTCATCGCGACATTATCGACGATCGCCCGTGTGTGTCAACTTTCGATGAATCCCCGATGCTTCCGTTTTGTTGGGGAGGGGGGCTCGTGTATTGTGCCCCCCTCCCCCCCGGGCCCACCCGCGCCAGTGGTCGGCACTGGCCGCAACATATGTCGAGTGTTTACATGCGCCGTCCGCGGCTCGCTTCCGCCCATCCGTCAGTGTACACCTACACCTACGCGCCTGTACTACAGGTTCGCTTTCGAGGCTCCCCGGGAGTGACAGCGACGACGGCCGCGACGACGACGGCGGCGACGGCGACGACGTTGTAGACGTCGACATTGACATCGGCAACCCGAGGTCGAGCGTGAGGGAACGGCGCGATCTTCTCCGAGGGAGGGCCGCGCGCGACCTGAAAACGCTGCGCTAAGAGGGGAAGTTACACAAATAAAAATTCATCGCGTAGAACGCCGCGCGCGATCGCGGCCGCCCGATAAACGATGGGCAGCTACGCGAGCAGGATCGCGTCGATGTCGAACCTGGCCGTGCACAACGTGTACCGGGGCTGCAAGCGCAAGTACATCGAGGAGTACGACTACGACTCCGAGTCGGACTACATCGAGCGGACGCTGCACACGCCGAAAAAGTAAGTGATCTCTCGCGTCTACGCGATCGACTCCCGTAGCCGTTTTGTGCCTCTCCCCCTTCCCCCGTGTGTCACGTTTTTCCTCGTCGCGACCTTTTTCGGCCGCGAGATTTCGACGAACACGTCGTGTTGCGCGTCCGGCATGGGGCGCTTTCGCGTTTACAGCCACGTACGTTTCGTTTTCACAGGAGAAAATTGCTGACGACGGCACAGTACATATACAAGACCCTGTTCCAAGAGGAGAAAGGCAGTGACATAACTGTCCTCATACTCGGACGCGCATGGAGATTGCATAAAGTTTATATTAGTCAGGTATGAGTCACTCCTACGTGAGCCCCCTCTTCCCGATGTCTCTTCTTTGCGCCACAATAGGTAGTCCAATCATAGATTCTTCAGTAAAAAAAAAATTCAATTATTTAATTAAAATTTGACAGGACTTTATCTGCAGTAGCTCTTTATTTTTCTGTGTTAACCGTTTTTGGAAGCAAATCTTGAAAAATTAAATTGTTAAAATAAAATTTATTTGAAATTAAAGAGGAAATAATAAAGCTTGTTTTACATTTTGCAATTATTATTCAAGAAGTTATTATTTTAATCATTTATAATATTAAAATGAATTTTAATTGTAGGAAAGAGGCTCCCAATTAATATTAACAATAAAGACTTTAATATTTGATTTATTAATCAAATATTAAAGTCTTTATTGTTAATATTAATAATATTCTAATATGTTTATTAAGCTAATATCGCGATTTCAGATTAATCAGAGAATTTGTCATTAAATTTATATCATAATTTTAATTACATTTTTATAATGTAACAATATGCAAGTTGGGATAATGTATGCAAAGAAAAAAATTATTATTTTTTTTTTCAGAGTCCATATTTTGCTAGCATGTTTTCCGGATCTTGGAGAGAGGCTAACGAACAAGTCATCACAGTCGAAATCACAGATCCTAATATTACGATAAATTGTAAGAGCATTATGGAGTTTAAATTACTGTTACAAAAAGACTAAAAGTAATACATGAGAAGAAATATATACCATCTAGAAATAATATCTAAAATTGTTTCAGCATTGTCTGTGGTCCTGGGCTCGTTGTACCAGGACGAAGTCAGTTTGGAGCCGAAAGAAGTGGTTTCTATCCTGGCAACTTCAACCCTGTTCCAATTACAAGGCTTAATAGACGAGTGTGTAGACATAATGATAGAAACTACGAATAGCGAGACTGTTGTATCATATTATAATGCAGCTGTGTCGTATGGTGTGCCTACTGTGAAAGCAGCTGCGAAACGATGGCTGGAGGTCAACCTATTGGGTTACGGATGGCGACATCCGTCCTTCTTGAAGGAGATCACGCCAGACGTGATGACAGAATTAGTTGCCAGTCCCGATTTGGTCGTTTTGCAAACGGAGTTTTGCATATACATGATGTTACGCTTGTGGTACGTTTAATCAGTTCAGTGTGTTAAGACATTTATATCTGGCTTCTGAAAATGTAAAACAATCGCGATAAATTATCTATGTTTCTCGTATAACACATGAATGCTCTGTGGGGAATTTTTGTTTATGCTGTTTCACTGGATTTGCACCTTCAACCTCTTCTCGACTGGCTACCTGACGCCATGAATGCTCTGTATTGTCACGCAGGTTATTTGCACATATACATGATTATGAGGAGACGCTAAAGGTCGACGACTACTTCAAAAATCACAAGTGGACCGAACCGTTTTTAATGACCGAAGAAGGCAAGAAGTACGCGGCGCCCTTCAAAGCACTGAGGATGAAATATTTGCTGTTGCACGAGCAAGACGACAAAATCTTGTACAGCGATAATCTAATACCACCAGACTGGCTGCACAGTGCTTACAGAGAACAGTGGCTTCACTTGTTGAGAGTGGATGGAAATAAAGACAGAGGGTAGGCTGCAAATGCTACAGTTGAATTTTTTTTCGATAGAATTAATACGGACAGGACTGCAGTATTTTTCTTCTCCATGTGCAGTCCGATGCGAATGACGGAGGAGGAATTCTCTAAGGAGTGCTTTCGGTGCGGTAGATGCGTCGAGAAGCCAGGCGAACACGTTTGGAGATGGAAGGCATTCCATTATGGATTAGATTTACTGATGACCTTAGATACAACCAGCCTGCGGATCGAGAGGAACCACAGAATAGACTGCGATCACATCAAGGCAAACCACAAAGAGCATAAAATACTGATAAAGTAAGCTATAAATCATATAGGTCATAACAGTTTTATTTAACAGTTTAAATTTAAAAAAAGATAAAAAATATGATTTTTTGTCATTTCAGAGTATGTCTATTTTCACTGAACGAACAACGCCAAGTGAAACACGTTCAAGACTCGCGTATGCTGAGACTTCGCTTGAGGAGGAACACGGAAGTAAGTTGACAATCGAGAGCGACGACGTGTGTTCTAGTATTTACATGATGCGCAGTAAGTCACGTTATTAACCGTATCTTCTTCCCAGCACGAGATAATGGCCCTGGACAAACAGTTATGTTATCCCCTGTACATATCGGTCAACATGCAACTAGTCACTCCACTTACGTTAGGCCAAGAGGACACGTCGACTGACATACTTTCGGATACTTAGCATTTCGTTAATGTAATGCTTCATGAACATGTAAAGATAAAGGATATGGGATCCAACTGACGCTTTGTAACATATTCTATTTAATTACGAATGTTAGACGAAGTTCGTAGAGACACAAGTTACTATTTGGCACTTAACACTTAAATAGGAAGAGATACGGATCTCCGGTAGAAACTAAACTTTTTTGTTCTTTACAGGAGATACACTGAGAGATCCACTCCTACCGTATTCATTTTTAACAAGTACTTTAGCACCAACTTTTGGAGACGATTTTTTTCTCACTGATAATAGTTCCCAGTTTTTAAGTCAACGACAAACAATTGAAATAACAGACAATTAAATTTATATTATTTGAATATAGATAGTAAAATCATACTTTTAATAATTTCAATTTTGTGACGATACACATACACGATACTGAAAATTGTCGGGCGAGTTATAGATGTGCAATTCAATATTTTTAAGAAAAAGAAATCATCTTCAAGTAGGCTGAAGAATCCGCCATTAAAAAATAACACGGTAGAAATGGGGATCGCGACATACTTGTATATCAGTGTATATTAACGCATTTGATACGGTCGATGCATTTCGATGTGGTTCACATTAATTATAGCGGTCATTCCAACAAGCTTTAGTCACTAGATAGAGATTTTAATCCTTCGTATACCGAGAGATATCGTGGTGCATGATAACGCTGTAAATGCTGTTTAAGTGGTCATTCCTAAACACATTTTTGACTGATTAAAATCGCATCAGTGGTAAGATCCGATCGGATACACGATGTATGTACAGCCAAATACCGCTCGTCCTGTATCGAATTTGATCCTTTTTTGTAATTGGTTCGTACACAACTTCACAAATGCCAAATAGTTGTATTAGGCTATTAGAAGAGGATCTATTTTTTTTTTTTCGTTTTTTTCGATTGACTTTAATTATAACACGATCTCCTTTTTTTTTCCATACTCGAAAGAATTGAAGTTAATTGATATCGAAAGAAAGAAAAGGTTTCGGGCTTTCATCGAGATCGGAAGATTAGCGAATAAAGTTTCTAGTTTGCAGTACACACGCATTTTTAGTTTGCAATAGTTTACGCTTTATTACTACTATCGATACTATTTTATTTGCAAGACTGTTCGCATCTCGTATAGCATTATTGCAGTATTATATTTTTGTTTCCGTTTTATAAGAAAAAAACTCTAAAAAATTTAATCTAAAAAAATCTTTTATGTTTTTTTACGCTGTATCTATTCGCAAGGAAACAATTGAGAGAAGGAAAGCTTTAATATCTTTAATTTAAACACGTTGTTTAGGGAAATGATCGAATGCTCTTTTGTCTTCCTGTCATTAAAGAGTTTTCTTCGATTCTGGTGCCTTTTTAACCTACTAAAAAGGGCGAAACTAATGTGCGTATATAAGCAAACTAACTTTCACAATACGCATAAGATAATAAATTTTTGTAGTATTTTCTTTTGTAAAGGTTTTCTTACTACGACAGCTGTTCGATGAAATTATAATAAAAATGTAAACACGCACTTTATGCGATTTCCTACCTTTGTGAAGGGATCTTTCCAATGCCTGTACCGAAGTTGCGAATCGATTAGCGTAATCGATTTAGTTTTTCACGCGCAAATTTTGAAATCGAATAATTGTTTTCCCACAGCCTGGAGCATTACTTCTTTTTATATGTCGTAAAATCTCGATCGTTGCTTTCTGTCAAAAGTGACGATTTTAAAACGCATTTTAATTAGAGGAGGGTGAAAATTTATGCAACGAACACATTTTTATTAATCGTTCAACACTTTATTATTGGCAGAATACTCTTTTTCTCTTTCTCTCTGTACATGATATATGATATTGTAATGTCACTCGACGATGATCATTACGAACATATTCAATGAGGCTCGAGATATACGCATTCTTTCGATACGTGTCGCAGGCAACGGTAGTCGTATGGGAAATTTTGGAATTTCGTAAGTTCTCTTCTAGAAGATAAACATACGATATCGAAGCCGGATTTTGCAATGAATCGATGCAGTGTGTCATTAATTTCGCACGTGATTCGAAGTGTGACGCTCGGATGGAGAGTAGTCGCTTCAGCTTGAAAACAGCGACCTATAACTACGAAAAAAATTTTCATATATCAACATATTTAAGGTATACGAAATATCCTTTACGTTATAATATTATAGTAATATAATAGCTATGTGTCGCTACTTTCAAGATACGGCTATTTTTTTTTTTTTAATATTAATTTAACTACTTCAATTTTCTGTTCTATAATGCAACAACAGTTACTTTTATTTTCTTTCCTTTTTGATCAATAAAGTGCGGTGTGGATCAGCGTTATCTGATCATTCGGCAACTGCAATTTTTTTTCGCTCGGAAAAGATCACAAAATTAATTATTCGAGCTCTTCGTGCATGAGAGATACGTCACGCGAGCGATTCCGCTAATAATTACGACGACCGTTTCTATACACAGTTTTTAATGTGCAGTGCAATGTGCAATCGCGGAACATTCGTATCGAAGTATAAAGAACCACGATCGCACGGCGACGTTCCCAATCGTTTACAACTGACGCGATCCTGTTATTGCGACATGTATCAAAAAAATACAAGTGAATCGTCTCAACAACAAGAACACTCCGCATTTCTTCCAATTTTTGTCCGGGCTCGTCCCGAACGAGAGATCGAGCAAACTCAATCTCGAAACGATAAAGGAGACGAAAGAGAGCTCTTCTCGGAAATAAATCTCCTACTATCAGATTTGCGTATAAAATCAGTTGTGAAAGTATGTAAATAGATACGTCATTAAAATGATAGGAAACGTAAAACAGTATTCGATAGCATCGACGCAACTGTAAAGAAATTGCATTGCAAACATTTTATTACTGTCTTATTTCCTATACACAAATATCTGTTTAAGAAAAGATAAAATCACATTTTTAGAATTTTTCCCTTGAAAAGATGAAATAAGCAAGACCCGATTTTTTCTTCGCATAACTGATTTTCTATGCAAATCTGATAACAAAAAGTTTATCGTGCCCTAATTATTCTATAACAGGAAGAGGGAGTCGTGGACGCAGGAGTGAACGATCCGTTTGGTATCAAATTTAAAGAATATAAATTAATGAAGCTGACGTAATTTCAATGTTAATTATATCGCAGAGTTATCACTGGAAAAACACGATTTATATTAACTTGTTAATTATAATTCGTGCGACGATGCGTGCCAGAGTCGAAATTGTTCGTTTCATCCCTGTATCCACGCTGAATCCTCCCTTTCTTCCCGTGTACTTTATTCCTCCTCCCGTTTCCAATCTTATATCGATATCACCACGTCCGTCACGGTTGTTGCCACGTTTGCACTCTAATGATAATTATTAGCGGTATTATTTGTATAACAACGGGTCGGTAACGTATACGTACTAGCAATAACTATAATAATAATAATAATAATAGTAGTAATAGTAACTCAGTAAGCAAACTGTCCGCAGTATGGTAGCAGATTAGGTAGCAAATTCGATCGAAAATTGCTGCGGGCGAATTGGCGCGTTAAGTTCGTATTTTTCCGACTAACAATAAGCTTGCTGACATACAACTTCACAGCAGATTGGCGGAGCGGAGACCAAACAGAATCTGTCCAACGCAGATTCTGCTCTAGTTCCGTCGCATCAAACTGTGTAATTAGTATGTCAACGTATGTTTGATTTCGGCCGTCAATCTGCCGTCACATTTCATTTACGAATATCGCTATATACAATTCTGCCAGCATTCTGCCAACGGTATTTGTGTACGCCAGATACCGTATCAAATCCGCAGCCTTTCTTTTGCGAACAAAATTTAACACTTTTGCAGAATTCGTTCTCGCGACAGACTTGTGTGGCTGTCTGGGGTTGTATGCGGCCATATCAATGGCGATAATGGCAACGACAGGTGGTGGTAACAGCGGCATTAGAGACGATCACTCCGTAAGACTGCTGTAGTGACGTAGTTTATATTGATCAAGCGCGCCTACTTCACCTAATTTCTCCTTTTTTTTCTTGTGTCGATATCTACTTTCTCGTTATATACCTAATGTTATTACTCGTCATACTTGCCGGCATATTGCTGTATGTTGCCATCATTATTACTATTATTATTAGCATCAGTATTATAGAGGATGTTCGATTATTACTTGTAGGCACATCCGAGACACATGGCAGTTGACGTAAAATATTCTGTCTTCCTAAAAATGTCATGAACAGTTTCTAAGTTGAAGTGAAAAGAAATGACTTTTAAAAGATTTCCCTTTAAACGACAAAAAATTTTTTCACAAATGTTTTCTCCGAAAATTATTGAATGAGAAAACATTTCAGAATTATTTTTTTTTAATTCACTTATGTAAAAAATTCTAGAAAAGATATAAACTTTCTCAACATTTCTGACAAATGTATAAAAAAAAAGAAATCTGGGTAATCTTCTAAAAACTTATAAAATTTATGGAGGTTTTGCAGAAAATTATGTAAGAAATTCTAAGAAAATTTTTACCAGAATTATCTCTGGCTTAAAACATTGAATATAATATTTAAGTATAATTAAGATAAACTAATTAAGATATTTAAGTATAATTAAGATAAACTAATTAAGATAAGTTTTTAAAATGGTAAGAAAAACGTAACATCGCGTTAAATTTTGTCAACGAGGGAAGAGCTTTCGCTGTTCATCATGATGCGCTCATTACCGAACATCCTGTATTTACCGAAGGCTCATTTACCGATCACCTCTATCAGCCTTCTATCAGCCGCGAGCAAAAGAGCCGGAATTAGAACAACGAATTATTAAGGGCCGATTTTTCCAACATCAACTGAACCCTTTGTTTATCTTGCGGCCAACATGCGCGTTCTGAAACGAGATATAGAGAGACTCATTCGGTTTGGTAAATCATATTGGACGCTTCAGACGAAGATGTAATAACCGACCCTAATTGAGCTATCGAGTTTAGCGTTACGCTCAATTATTGTTCCACATACACGCGCAAACATGCGAAGCATTCACACGCATACAAACGCGGCGTTTATTGTACGCTCAGGTGACTCAGGCTTAAACTGCACTTATTGCAAAGTTCTGCGAAACACGCGAATAATCGTGGACGCGACGGCGGATCTTCGACTCTCACTAGAGCTAAATGCGAGGTCTCTCTCTCTCTCTTGGCATATCGTCGATATGTTATATCCCTATCTTGTTCTTTACATAGTTCGTTTTACGTGGAATCGTTTAAAGAGGCGGTGTATCACGCGTATCCGTTCAGCTTACTTCAGTTTAATCGAAAAACTTGATATCAAGCGGAGTGATCAATTGATTGAACGGAGATATCGAGTGAACTGAGAATTCTTTCCAGATAAACGTAGCGATTTCCTTTTAACAAAACAATTGTTTGTCGACAATACATTGCATAAACATCTTCATGGTTTCTCTCTTATTAAATTTAAAATAATTAATTTTATCACTCGAGTAAATTATAATTACATTAGATACTATTATATCTAATTGTATCAAATTATGTATTATTATTATTATTATTATATTGTTAAATTATAATTCGATAAATATGTTATAAATCGATAATAATTTAATCAGACAGTTTACGAACATACCTATTTATCGGAAAAAGATTATGTTATATAATTGTCACAATTAAATTATGGTACGAAACGAATGTTGCAGGTAGGCTGAACGGATGCGAAGCGCGGACGCATCCCGTATTATATCCCGTTTCGTTTCGCAAACGCTACGTGTCATTGCACCTCTAGAAATAAGCATGTCCGTCGATCTCGCGTGCAATTCCATTTTGGCTTATTATTCCAACGACAAAATATATGTATATATATATATATTTTTTTTTTTAACTTCGCGTGCATATACGTACATCGTAATTAATGCGTATACACATACACAGGCAGGCACACTCATGCACAGACACGCGAATTGTGTTTAGCGGTAGCAGGCGAGGTGCGAAGTGTGTTATCGCGATGCCGCTACTTTGTATTTTACATTACCGTGTTTTACTAGTAAATTTTCGTAAGACGTTCGTCTCCCCTGCTGCGCTCTCTCTCTCTCTTTCATTCGCGAATAATGCACCCGCCGCGCGATAGGAGATTCGGTCGATCCTGTACAAAAGGTAGGCGAATTGACAGGAATCGAGAGGGATGCCTTCTGCGAGAAATTCACGATTTTTTTTGTCTTCCGGTATTATTTAACTGCGAAACCTCGCAGATTCAAGACGGCGTAATATCGCCGGAGAAACTACGTTTGCGAAATTTAAACGATTAACTGAACTAGTTGCAGAAGGAATTTCTTACTCGACTCCTCTTAATTTGCCTATGCAAAAAATATCCGGAGATTCTCTATCTGAACAGCCGATGAAATCCGAACGAGAATCACGCAACGAGCGTGATATCAGCGCAACACGAGAGACGTCGATGATCGATTTCTTTTTTTTTTTTTTTTTTAATTTCTTTCTTTTACGCTGAGGCCGTGGTATCGTTTTTTTTTTTTGCGTTTTCTCTTGATTTTTTTCTTCGCAGAGATATGTATACTACTGACGTGTCGCCCTCGCGCATCTGGCAGTTATCACCGTTATACGCTACGTTAATTAATCTGGCTACGTTACGGACCGTTCGCAGCCGAAGAACACCGTTAAGATCTAATTGTGAAATCTCTTCGTTAGCGATGGAAATTTGAAGTTATCTACGAAGCAGTTCGTGGAGTGCGTCGCCCTTCGTCCTCTTCAGCGTGTCATCAAGGCCCTCGTGAATGCAAGGGTGCGCGAGAAATCGTGCTTTTGATAAATCGCGTTGAGAAATCGATGCGATCTCGATTCCTCGAGAGGTACGGGGAGCGACGCGTCGGATTTCGTTGTACAATTCGGATAGCTACTTCGGAACAGGAAGAGGGTAGTATTCGATTGCTCGGGTGCAAAAGTCCTTTTTCGTTGGCGGCGTGAAGATATTGCGACGTGCCTCAATTGTCTGACGCGACTTAATTAGGCCGAAAGCCAGTATAACTGCGCGATAGGCTGAAAATCGAAACAGCGATCCTTTTTTGCTTCAGTGATTACTGCAGCCATCCCGTCGCGATCTTCTCGCGATCGGTATAGCTCGCAAAGAAAATTGACAATGACGGTTCGACTGGCGTCCGACCGACCGACCGGGGGGTGTAACGGAGCGGAGAGGAGTGAATCCTACGAACGGTCCGTGCGGCGCGACGACCCTTGCGGGTCGCTGGGGGAGGGTGGAATCTCGGATTATCGGGGTGCGACTCGAAGAACGACTATAGGCAGAATTAGGCTGTCGAGAGGGAGATACGAGGCGGTGCGATCGGGCACGATAGGAGCAGGCTCGGTGTCGCCAGTACGGCAGTCAGGAGGGACGCCAGTGGCAGTAGGGACGGCGTGCGGAGACTCTCGACGGAGTTGCACAGATCGTCGGTGCACGAGCAGTATTTGGCGCGCACATCGTGGGTGCCGCTCCTTGTAAGGCACTCGCCGTTGTCATTCTCCTCATCCGTGATGTAGCCGCAACCGCGGACGACCCTCACCTTGCCGTACACTGCAACAATAATGGAAACAAAAATTGTTGAAGTCCCTTTGTTTTTTTTTTCTCGTTGCTTAAGCGGCGTTTACAATGAGATTTATAAGACTTAAGATTTAAGAAAACTGACTAATCATAGTCGATTATTTATCTCACGTGAAAAGAATAATCGATTGTGATTGATCCATTTTCTTAAATCTTAAATCTCAATTAGTTTCATTGTAGACGCCCGCGCTTTAGAGATCCAAAATTATTTGGAGATTTTAATTTATTTAAACGTGCGATAACTCAAGTTTTAAATTTGTCCATCGATGATGGACAAATTCAATGGCAAATTCTTTGGCTGATTCAGATTACTTTCGTACGAAATTGCTCATAATAATTAATAATTTTCATCCAATTCCATTATAAACGACTTATCGAAGTCACAACATTGGAGTGACATTATTGCAATGTATTGCTTAATTGTAAAACAATATGAATGTAGGATGTCGCGAGTTCGTGAGCTGCAGATTAAAGCATCATCCAATTATTCTAATTTGTATAACTAGCATATTTATTGAATAACAATTGTTTTGATACGCGGCAAATCGATTACAGTGGCGAGCTGTTATTTGGAAAATTAATAATTTTAGATTAATTAAATGTAAGAATTAAATTAAAGGAAAAAATTAGTAAGTTGACAATTATATAAATAATTTTGACAAATATGAAACTTTCGAAATTTTCTGTTAGATGACGAAGTTTAAGTTGTCAAACTCGTCGAAACGAGCGGCCTCACCTTTTTGACTGATTTTTCGGCAAAGAGTAGGCTCCAAGTAGCTGAGGTGCTCCAGACGAGGCCGAAGGCTGCAGTTCACGACTCCCAAACTGTACGGATCGAATGGATCGCCACATCTGGGGTCGTACTCGCTGTTGCACTGGTAACATATTATCGCTTCACCTGAAATAATAAAAAAGAAAAGGAAATCGATCACCGATTTGCATTTGCCTCGGACTCGCAGAGAATTACATATAAGATTGGGTAAAAAATCCATTTCTGAATCTCGAAATCTCTATAGGTATTTCTAAGATTTCCGCGATATACTTGAGCAACGCGACTTAAACGGGGGGCAACTCGATCTTACTTGTATATTTATACAAGAGGGATTGCGGCGAACATTACGTGCATAACCGGCTAAGATTCTCTCTCTTTCCCTCGTTTTATGAATATTTTATAGAGGCTCGTATTTTAGAGAGTGAGAGACTTTGCGGGGCCGTGATTTCGCGACAGATTCAACCGACGTCAGCCGCGATGAAGATTAATTGGGGGAAAGGTGTCTGGTTCACGTCGTCTCGCCCTTCCACGACTGTGACGTAATAACGTGGCACGCGCGCCCGCTCGGTCGCATCCCACGGTTACGGAAACCAGGCTGATACGGCGCCAGCTGATATCGAACAGAGCCCAGACGAGACATAAGCGAAGACCTACACTCAGCTGTCTCGCAGATCGATATGAAGAAATCAAATTTTTCTTTTATGCAAACTGGAGAATTGGGGACAAATAAGAGAGAGAAAGAGAGAGTGTGGCGTCAAGTTCGTCACTTCACCCACCGCTGCAATTAACGTCGAGCGTGAACTCCCTAAGCAATTTTCGCTGTCTTATCAAATGACTCCCTCTTTTTCTTCATGCATCTTTTTTCGTCTTGTATTCTATTTTTTACTGCGTCACTCCTATTGTTATTTTACCCTATTGTTATTTACTCCTACTGTTATTTTTATAATATCTTTTTATATATTTCTTTTAGAGCAACATTTTTCAATAGTATTCTATTTTGTTTTTTCCAAAACAAAGTAGAATATTATTATTATATATTGTTACTCAATTTTCTGTTTATTTTAACAAATCTATTTGATATATCAAACATTATTAAAGTAGCGGCCTATGGGAATCAACACGGATGTTGGTGTGTGATAATTTTTTACGCGCAGTTTGTGTGTTGTTAGATACACACCAACATCCGTGTGATAATTTTTACAATATCTAACCTTTTTAATATATTTAATTTATTCCTGGGCTTATTTCTCTAAACTATTTATATACTCTGGATAATATATGAAATTTATATAAAAGAAATTTCTTTACGTTTTAATTATTTTTTTAAGATAAGATCGAATGCGTGCGTGTTGGAAAATGTTATCACAATAAATGAAACCCTAATTATAGTATAGTACTTGAATATATGAAAACAGTATTTCAGGAACCGAATTTTACTCTGACTGAATTCAATGAATTATACGATATACCTGATGATGGATAATTTGAGAGTGAAACGGCGCGATTTATTTCGTTTGCATGATGCAAATTTCATTTGCCCGCGAAATAAGGATAACATTTTTATGAATGGTCATTATGTGATATCGACGAGCGAAGGTTTATTCGTTGTTGAAATTGAATTGAAAGTATATATATTTTATATGCATTACTCAAATGAAATGCGCGCGTATGAAGGGAAAAATAGAAAAAATAGCATGTAGATATCAAGAAGATACTGGGTAGATAAATAATGAGAAAAAGTCTACGTTGCTATTAATTAAAATTTTGCCATGATATTTTCTCTAGATAAACAAATTAAATTTTCAGAGAGAGAGAGAAAGACCAGAGCACTTCAATTTCTGGATCTGAAGTTTTCTCAGAACATACAGTATAGGAGCGGAAAGAGATAATGCTAGAAAAATGTATTTTAAAAAGGAAAGAGGAAAAGTAAAAGAAGGGGGGGAAGGACAAGGGTAGACCAGCGAATCATTGTAGAGAAAAATAGAGCAGAAGTAACAAAGAGGCACAATGCCAACGTTACAAGAAAAGCGAGATAAACAAAAAACTATATATATTGAGAGTACACAGTGCAAAGCAAACGGGCTTGGAGGGAACGGGGATGGTAAAGTGAGTGGAAAGGGGCCGGAGAAGGAGAAAGTGGGTCGCTCGATAGCCCTCACGACGCCGGCTTTCGTATAGGCGCTACCCCTAAATTTCGACAAATTGTCGGATATAGCGGCGATTTCGTCCGCGATAATATATCCCGAACGGCGGATTGCCGATGCCAGGTGTAACATCGTATATCGGCAATTACTTCGATCGCGGCGCGGAGACAGGGGAAAAACTCCCGGATAACTCTCGCCGCGGGTTAACGCGCGTCAGCGCGATCGATCTTCGCGGTAATTCGCCGGTAGCAAACGTGTCTCTATCGCTGATGAGGATCTATACCATGTAACGCGATCGCGATTACGCGATCTGCGAAAGCTCAAGGGAGAGCGCGACGCGATTTCGAAATCCGAAATTTCGGAATCCGAAATCCGGCACGAAATCCGCACGAAATCCGAGACAGTTACGTCATCACCGCTTAACCAAGTTACGCCATTTCGCCCGGATACTTTCACCTTTCACCTTTGCGCCGGGAACGTTACGTCATCGACACACGCAGACGTTTCCCGGGGCTGAGGGAGATAACGTGACATCGCGACTTCTAATCTCTGTGCCCGTCCGTCGCGTCATCGCCGCGGGGAAGACAAATATATATATATATATATATATATCTATTGTGCACTCCCCGTGGCCGTTTCTCCTCCGGATTCGACTTTTCCTGCTGTCGCTCGGTCGCCGGATGCGGATGTTGTATCGACAACGTCGACGGGAGGGGAAACGATGGCGGTTTGAAGTACCGCCGATTCATTCGATCGAGGACGATCGAATTTAACGCGACGAAACCAGGCCGCCGCTGCCGCCACCTGAGACTTTAATTCTGAAGAAACTGCCGCCCGATTTTCAATTAAACGTGCCGTCGCATTGTAAATAATTGAGATAAAAATACGTGATGTAGCCACATTTTACATTTTTTTTTTTTTATATAAATGCAAACCTTCTATCATTCCAAAATAAAAGCTGTGGTTAAATAAATTATGGATGACACAATCAAATGAGATTATTTTATAATTTAGCTAAAGTCTCGACAAAGAGATCATTTCTTTCTTGACACGTCCTTGAGCGATTGGGCTTGAGAGAAACACGCCGGTGGTTTCGGATAAATTCGATCAACGGAGCGATGGTTATCGCGACATTTTTCTAGCGCGATAATAGGATACGATTTGATGCTCGTCTCCGCGATATTCGCTGCTCCGAAGAACCACAAGTGCTACCGTTGTAGGAATTCGCCGATCAGTGTCTTGCCGTAATACCGTAATATCATATATGATGCCAACATCGCTAAACATCGCTATTTTCTACACACAGAAAATTCATAGAAGAATGCAAAAACAATGGGAAGAAATGAATTATCCATAGATTATTTTTCATCAATCTACCCTGAAAAACAAATGAATTAAAATGAGAATCATTTCTCGGGGAAAACGAAAATATCTGGACGGGTCTCAATTCTAAGCGATTTATAAATGATGCAAGAGATTCGCGTCTCTTCTTGGTTCCCCGCGATAGCGCCTTCTAAGAGTTAAAATTAAACGAATGTAAAAATAAAAAAAATAAAAGAAATTGGAACCAATCTTAAATTTCGAGCATTAAAAATTTATAACTTTGCGACTAGTTCATTTTAAGTGACCTAATTTTCTGACTGACGTGTACTAGTAGTGTATACCGAGGTATTTGTGTAACGATTCCCGCGGTCACAAAAATATATTTTACAAGTTTCATTCATGCAATTAACTCGATAACGCTGGCCGAGGTTGTTTGCAAGTTACAACAACTAAATCCGCCTGCACGGTCAATGAATAATTGAACTTGCATGCAAGATATAACTAAAAAAAGACTTTAATTCGCCCGAGACGGTAAAATTTAGATAAAATATCGATAACGCGCATTGCAAAAAGAACTTCTCTGAAGCAAAAACAAATCTTGTTTTACAATCGGAATCATTGAAGATTATAGACTTCCATTTTCACCGAAACTGATTTCCTTCTATACAATAGTAAAACTTTTTAAAACTTATATACAACATATTTTTACTTTTACGCGATTCCTAGAACATTAGATAGAGGTCTAAAAAATTTCGAGATTGATGAAAAACTTCGAAAAAGAGGGATTTAATATCCACTCGATATTAATTTAATTCGCAAAGGGTTAAACGTCGTCTAAACTTTTATGTCCGAGGCTTTTACGACCCCCCACGATAACGTCTCGGCGGCTCATTTACGCGGCGATAACTTTCCCTGCCATCACCTCTACGCCGCATTGCGCTCGTGATGTATACGACTCCTTTCCTAACTCCTATATCCTGAATAAAGTACACGAGGCCGTATTATCGATCGTTCCTAAAGCTTTCGGACGGGGGAGCAACGTTCAGAAGTGTTCAATTTAGTCCGATTTATATCAAGTATATTGAGTTTCTTTCGCCCCATTAAGTCCACGCGCGGAAGGGCGCGGGGCGCCTTCACTTCGAACCTCTCGCTTCGAATTTCCTTACTGAAAGTTCCAAGTGCCTATTGAAAACCGTGTACATTTTCCCGGGGAAAACGTCGGCAGTCGGATAAACTCCACTCTAAACGTTTGTCGAAACAAACAATCTCCTATATTTCCCCGGGAAAATGCTGCGCATTGGAAACTAACGCAAGTTGGACGTGACATAGAACTGTCGCAAGGACGTCATTCTATTATATATACATGTACGAGCATCTTTAAGTGCCTTATTTCCAACAACTTTTAGCGTTATTCAGGAAAGTTCGAATCCACTCGATCTTTGCGAAAATTCGAAAATTAAATTTCCGTGAATGAGACGATGACGTACAAGAGAGGCGAACTACCCTTACAAGAGCATTTAAAATGCTTGCGTGTTTTACTAAATAATGAGCTGTGTGTGCTAAAGCTGTTGATGCAATTATAATAAACTTTCAAGTGATATACATATATTTGTAATGTATTAATGTTACTTAGAATAGCATATACTGTTATAAGCAATTTTCTGAAAAAAAAAAAAAAGCAAAAGTATGTAAAAATAAAAATGTATTTCTCAAAGGGTTTTGTCTCTTAAAATATGCTTTCTTTCCAGCCTCAAAGAATCGTTAATTGTATTAGTTTACCCTACATTTCGATACCATGTACCGTCGTGAAACATAAAAGGAAACGAGCGGATAATTATATTTCATTTAAAACTAAGGAAACGGATGCACAGCGAGATAAAAGTGGGAAATATATCTTCCTCCGTAATCGCGCGAATTTCGATTGAGATCGCCCAAGGATCGAGCGGACCCAAGGATACTCTCAATCGCGGTGCTCGCAATCGTGTCCGCTCCGCGTCAAAAAGATCGATCGCCCCCCGCCGCGCGATTGCCGTCGAGCGATCGGCAACTCACCGCGATCGAAAGTGGCCGCCAGGACGAGGAGGACGAGGCCGATGATCGGCGCGGCTTGGTACGCGATCATGGTCGTGATCGCGATCGCCGGATACCATGTGCTCGTGGCTCGTGCTCGGCGTGGGCCTAATCGTGCCGCGGCGTCGTCATCCGCGACTCGCGTCGCATGAATGAGAATGGTGCTCCCGTCGCCGTCGCCGTCGTCGCCGTCGCCGGGGAAAGGATCGGACAGTGCGTGAATGTACGCGTTCGCTTCTCGCCGTCGTCGTCGTCGTCGTCGTCGTCGACGTCGTTGTCGTCGTCGTCGTCGTCGTCGCGGTCCTCGTAATACTAGCGACAGCAGTCGTCGTCGCCGCCTCCCGGCCGGGGGTGAGAGCGCGCGACTCTCTCGCACTCTCCGTTCCCTTCTCAGGGAACCGTTCTCATCGGGTCGCGCGCCGCGTTCGCCACCACCTCCTCGCCCGGACGCATAGCAACCGACTGACCGCGGGCGCGCGTTACGCGACCGAGTTACCGAGTTCCTCTCTCGCTCGGGCACTCTATATCCGCACGCTATGCGGCAGATACCCACCCCCTCGAACTCCCGCGCCGCGCCGGTGCATTCGTCGATGCTCGTGCACGCGCCGCGTTTTCCTTTTCTCTCCCTCCTCGCGCGCCCTCCTCGACCCTCGTATAGTGGATGCGCACCCCCGCGTATAACAGCGATCGCGCCGGCGAACGCCTCCTCTCCGCATCGACGTTATTAAAAATGCTATATAGATTCGCCGCGATACACTTACGTTCGATCACTGGAGGCCTCGCGTCGAGGGGGTAGATTCGCGATACAGCAACACTTTCTGTCCTTCTACGATATCGTTACACAACGCAAATGTTATATCGTGCATGCCTGAATTAAAAGTGGACAATCATATCGGAAGATCCTAAAAATATATATCATATATTGGTAAAATTTTATATCAACTCCAGTTTTCATATATTAATTAATAAATTCCATATTAAGTAATAGCAATAATGCGAAGATTAGCAGAAAAATTTTAAAGAGAACACGACGTTTCCGATTTAAATATGTAATTTGAAAAACTACATAATATATCATCTTTCTTTTTCAAATCTTCTAGCGTTCTTTTACACAGCTGATTGCTTATAATTTAAATTTTGTTATGTATTTATAATTATACATGCGGCCCCCGCCTGCATCTTTAATAATACGTTACGGTTTCTGTTTATTGTTAGAACTCGGTACTTCAAATTGTTTGCCACGTTCGCGCCACGTAGTGTCCTATATTTCGCGATTCTTGTTTATTTTTACTAAAAAAAAATTATATAGACTTTGTGGAAAGAGAAGAACAACGTGTTGTATCGTGTTCTGGCTCGATCAGAGAAAACAAAAACAGTTCTGTCAACCAACATGATACATAATTCTAAAATTTAAATATTTTATTCTCGAATGTGATTGATTCTTTAAACTTTTAAATTCAACCAATATCGTGCGCGTCGAAGGTTTAAAGATTATTGTATGTTTACATCTTTTTACGTTCAAAAGAACATCATTAATGCATTTTATTGAATATTTTAATCGTGTTGCTCCGAAAATTTTTTCACTTACATTAAAACGAAATAAATATTTGGACGTACAAGAGAGAGAGAGAGTGAGAGTGAGAGAGAGAGAGAGAGAGAGAGAGAGAGAGAGTAAGATTACCGCGCTCGCTAATTCTTTGTTAAAATTGATTTCTTCATTCGGATTTTGTAGCAAAGAACTAAAAAGCAAAAACCTGCAATCGTATTAAAAAATCACTGACAATGAGCGCTCGCTAATCCGCTTCATCCGCTAAACGCGTCCACAGAACGCGTCCATTCTGCTGCGCAAGCTAAGCTAACAACCAGAGAGGTCAGAGGATCCGAGAGCGGACATGCCGGCTGTAACGCCCTCTGAAGAAGTGGATCCAAATTACGTAGCAAAATCCAGATTTCTGCACAATTTGTCTGGTAACACAAATAGACTCTTTTTTCATCGACTCGACTAGGGAATGACGGCCTAGTGTATTTCCGTAGGTCCACGCCACACACACACTAGTTTCCGTCGCGTTGGCAGCAGTTGTCGACGATTGACATTAAAAGGGGGAAGTGGGAATTGGCCAACAAACGGAGAACCTGTTGTTCGCGAACGTGGAAGCGGGGAATGTAGACGCGCGCCGTGAACGTGAATGCCATCATGAACGCCAAAAGAAATCCGCAGCATGTGTCGAATTTGTACAGCAACGGAGGTAATCCCGGTAAGTTTGCGCCTCGCGTCCCCCGCGATATTATCGCCGAATAATCGTACGCGCGCGCGCGCCTGTGCTGATGCGGGGAAAAACGCGCGTACATACCTATATACGCGATGCGCCCGTGTTGGATAGTAAACTGAAAAACCGTCTGCTGGGGCGTCTTTATGGCGTCTGCTATTAACACGAAAACAATTTTTCCGCGACGTATGTCAAGCCGTTCCCGTGGTGTTGCTCCGTTTTAGATGGATCAACGCCGTCCGACGCAAATCGCATGGATTTCAGTTTTTCGAAATATACATTACTGAAATACACTGTTTTTTTTTTTAAGATGCGAACCTTAAAATTGTTTTAATTACTGACGTCGGGAAGGAACTCCACATTGATAGTGGAGTTATCGAAGAGAGAATTATATATTTTTTCTTATTTTACATATTTTTTCCCCTTTAGAACGTAAAATATGTATATATGTGAAGCAAAATCTATAATTGACAAAAAATATTTTATATTGTAATTATATTTAGTCATCATTAACGCTAACATGACATAGTATTTTGAAAATACATCGGAAAAGGGTTTATTTTTTCCTCAGAAAATTTAACTTTTTTTTTAATAGAAAATAAATGCATTTAACGAGATAAATATATTAGGTATATAAGATATAAGGTATACGGTAGACCTTGTAGCTTATAATATACTTAATAATATAAGATATATAATAATCGAGAATGATAATAGTAAAAATGTTTACAGGTACCATAGGAAGGGACAGTCCATCGGCACTGTTGGAAGTACTTGCGGAGGTTGCGTCTCAAACGTTACATTCGGAAAAGAAACATATTAATTCGATGCTAACGTTGCAATTCAAACCTAAAGCTGCGAGTATGAAGCGAAAAGAAACGTGCTTTACCGTATCTCAGCTCGCGTCGATGCCTGTTTCACACCTTGTTAAGCAATTTGCCGTTTTTACAAGCGACGAGCTCAAAAGACAATATTCTTACACTTGTGCATTAGTGCCTGGTTGCCAGCAGAAATATACTAGTTTTGCTAGTGAAGAAAAGGCGAGAGCGTCCATTAAAAATCACCTAGAGGAGCATTTAGAACAGCTAAAAGCAGATAAAGATACTTGTATGTATCAACAAACTTGTTACTATCTCGTGGTATTTTTTTTTTTTTTTTTTTCAAGCAACACGAATAAAATATTCAATAAAATGTATTCATGATGTTTTTTTGAACGTAAAAAGATGTAAACATACAATCTTTAAACTTCCGGCGCGCACGATTGATTTTGTCTTTAGTATTATATTTAAAAATCTATTAAAATCTATTAAATTTTCTTTTTCACAATTTAATTTTACATATAAATGCTAATTCTGAAAAAACTTAGATGCAATAAATCACATCTGTGTATTTGTTAAAAGAATCCTGTTTTTCATGTCGTTACAGATGATACATTTACAGCGAAGAGTATAAACCATAAGAATTTCAAGACTAATCTACAAAATAAGAAAAGTCGGATGCAGCAGATAAAGAAACCTCAAGAAGCGTTGAATAAGGAGAATAAAGATGTGATATTGGAAAAGTCCAATTATTTACGTAAAATATTTTTAAATGATATTAATATTAAAGAGAGCGAGAAGAAATGCTTCCAGAAATCTGAAAGTAAGGAAGCGTCTGAATTAAGGAATTCTGAACAAGTAGATATTAAGGTACTCGGCGATCATAGTTATTCTGAACGATTAGATGACAAGATGCCTAATAGGAGAGAAACGTCTCTCAGTAATGATGATACAATAGAAGAAGAAAATGTGAGTAAATAAAGAATCTACACAACAGTATGCAATTAGGGAAACTAGGGAAACATTACATTTGATACACGTATTAAATTTTACAAATATATAAACATATATATTTTTTTTTTATTTTCAGATTGTGTTGATGGTTGTTGGTACTGATAGTGTACATATGAAAGAGTATTCTCATGTCCACCAGAAATTAGCTGAAAATTGTCAAGATTCTAATATCATTTATTCACCAGGTGTGTTTTAACTTAATCTATAATTATAAAATAAAATACAACCTCACGTGTTGTAATTAATATTACAGAGATGAATTATTATTATGCTAAAGTGAAGTTGTGTACAACACATGTAAATTTCTAAATATTATATTAACGTATGTATAAACTTTTATGATCCAGATAAGACTCAAATCAGCATGGAGTCAACCATCGAGATATCCACGACTACCAAGCCTAAAGGGAAAGCGAAGTTCATTGGCACGAGCAAGGAAGAGAGGGAGATGGCACTAGCGTATATAGAACGTATCAAAAAGAAGGGTAATCCTACAGGGAACAATCTTCAGTGTCGCATCTGCGACCCACCTCGTAGTTTCACAGCGCCTACAACTTTAGTGTCTCATTATCGGAGCCACGCCGGGATAAAGCCGTACGAGTGTCGGATATGCAAAGCGGTTTTCACGAGACGGCACAGCTTGAAATACCATATGTTGATTCATCAAAATCAGACGCGCTTTACGTGCACGGATTGTGGAAAGAAGTTCAGGCATCCGTCTCATTTTAGGGAGCATCAACGTAGGCACACTGGAGAAGCACCGTTCGAGTGTAACGACTGTGGGCAACGGTTAGTAAAATTATTGATTAAAAATTCAGAATTGTATTTATGAAATTATGTAAATAGTAATATATTTTATACAGATTTTTTATAGTTCATTTTCATAAGTTTAAAACACAAAAATTAAATTTTCAAATTACATCATTTAATTTCAACTTTCATTTCTGATTGATTCAAATTTCATTTCTTTTTGATTCAAATATTTCATCTTTGTGATCCAATTTCCAAAGAAGCGGATCAATTGATATTGATAGCTTTTTCATTGTACAACATTTATATTTTATTTTTTGTACCAGGTTCAAAACCAGAAATACTTATAAACGTCATTTAAAAACACGTCACAATAAAATTCTTACTACATGTGGCGAGGTTTTGCATCCTCCGGAAGAAGACCTTCAAAAAGTTCTGACTAATCGAAAGAGGAAGGATTGCTCTCCAGAAGCCGCAATGAATGCCGACAACGTCGCGTCCAATGCGATCGTGAATTCGTTCGAAAACCATGACGAAACGCAAATTATTACAAACACGGTAGAGGAGTATGTTCTGAAAGAGGATATTGATAGCAACAGAAATTGGGAGGCAAACGATGTAATACAAATCGATAAATTTGGGAGTTTCGAGATTTGCTCGGAGTCTCAATTGAATAAGACTGATGGTATAGAGACTGAAATAGCTGTAGATTGTAAATATCTTGACAGGGAGAGCAGCAATGCGGAATGCACTGACGGTATAGAGGACGGCCTGCTGCAATTAAAAATCCTTTTTACGATAATTTAAGAGTAACTGACAATGACGAGAATCACGTTGTCTATCAGCACGACATTGAGGATCAGATTTATGAGTGTAGTAATGAAGTAAACTGCGAAGTAAATTGTAACAGTGAACCGTCGAAGGGAGAAAGCGAGCAAGGTGTGGACGAAGATGTGATGGAGCACGAAGTAAGTACCGATTTTCCGGAAGAGCAAGACGGAGGCAATTTGCATGTGTTGCAAGAATCTACGCACGATTATCATAAGAAGATATGCAATGGTGATACGCAAGAAAACGAAAGCGTAGCGTATAGGAATTTAAGGACGGCGCAAACGGAAGCTACAAGTTCCAATGACGATGATCAAAAGAACGAAAATGAAAAATTCGATGTACATGTCATCGTGCGGGACGATGTCGCGAGCGAAAAATCGATTAAATACAATACTTTTGATACTGAAAATAAAGAACATCCGGGAAATAGCATCTTCTGCGCGCAGGTTATATATAATATTGATATTTTGCAAGCGTTCGGCGAAGCCGGCGACGGGATCACTACGGAAAATCAAAATAACGTGCTGCAAGAGAGCGAGTGCGTGATTCAGTCCGTCGCGACCGATGTGGTGGAAATTGTAAATGTTCTTACGAAAGATTCTGATGAGGCAAGTCAGGCGGCCGATCAACGGCAAAGTCATCAGTATTTATACGTCCGTTCCGAACAGTTAAGTAAATTAATCGCTCAGAATAAATACGTAACCATACCGCTGCATCAGTTCAAGCTGTGCCGCGATCACGGATTGCAGGCGAAAGTGGACAATCAGCGGTCGATATACATCATAAACGAGGACATACGAACGATTATGCAAGTTGAGAGGCAAAACGCGATTCTAGTTTTATCTAGTGATAGCTGCAAGAGTAGCATTTTTCAAATTGACAAGAATAGCATTATCGTCAAAGCTCTAAAGAGATAGATTGGTGTGTGCAAAAGTAATAATATTTGTATAATAAGATGTGTAAAGTTTAACGTTGAATCACATTCAGAATATATTTTGTAACATAGCGATGCGCTGACACAGTCGATTTGAGATACATATGCAATAATCTTTGTAATATATAATAATCTTAGGGAGAACTAATAATACACAATATAAACGCTACATATTCTTGCTTGTATAAATATCTAGAAAGCAAAACCAAATAGACGTAATCGTGTTTCTCATTTTTTACTATGAGATATAATTAATTAGGGGATATAATTAACTTAAGGAGAAGGAAGTAAACGGACTAACGGAAATGTCCTTGTCAATTTGACAGACGATGCATGGTATTATTATTGTAAGCAATGAAAATTAATAGGGCGCTGGCATTTGTTTTACTGATTGTAAGAAATTATATATATATATATATATTTTTTTTTTAATATGTTATCAGCTTGTATATTGAGTGCGATAATTACCTGCATTTATTAAGTTTTGAAAGTATTCAAAATTCAATTTTTGCAATCTTCATAATTTTCATTCTTGACATGTACGGAAAATAAATAGTTTCACATCTATTACTTTTATTAGATACGATCCTATAAACTAGTATTTATAAACACTTATGAAAGAAATATCATGAAAATATAGTAAAGTGCCAAATGTAAGAAAGTATGTTACATGTTAAAATTACAATTATAATCTTAATATTATTTCATACAAAATTTCCTATTTTTTAAAGATTGTAGAGAGTCATAGATGTGTTACTACATAATCAATTTTTATAACGATTCTATTGAAGCTTTTTAATGTTTATCTCTGCTGTCATGGATTACTATTTTAAAAAATATCTTTTTATATACAGATCACGTGAAATAATAACACGTTTGTGATTTCGTAAGCAATTATATTTTACACTATATTCAGTATAGTAAATTGCAGATATAATTCGCCGTATGATGCGATTCGAGAACAGAATTCAGTTTGCATTGAACAGATTGTTCGTGAATTGTGTAATGTGTAGCGTACTTTGAATGTCATAGCTTCCTGCATTTCTTTTTGACAACGGTTTTCTTGGCTAGTTTATTTCCAAAAAAGAATTATATCATACATCTGTCGCAATAAATTATTAAGTTACGAATATTCGAGAATCCACACATCAAGTCAATAACTGTCTACACACTAAATGCAAATAAGTTACAAATCATATTTTCCATCTAATTTATGAATTTTTTCAAATTTTTTAAATATAAAATGTATGAATATAAATCTATTTTCTAGTTATCTATATAAAATCTATGTCCGGGTCGTTCCGAGATTTAATTGACTGCAATCCAGTTAGAAATATATATTCAATTAATTCTGTTTTCATAAAAAATAAAACGCATAGCTAAGACACTGTGTTGCATCATGCAGTTAACTTAATAAAATAACGTAAATAAAACCGTCATTATTATAATAGCGTGGCTTTGATAAAAACTTTAATAATGGCATTTTAACTTTGCCAACGAAGTATTCTATAAAATTCATATTGAAATTGAAAAAAAAAGTTTATACTTTTACAACACAGTGACTTAAATTTTACAATGTCTCATGCCTCTTTAGTTTCAGCTTTTGTCTTTTTCTGAGCATTAAGCGCCCGAGGGTTTATAACTCTCCGATTAGATTTCTTAGGAGGAGCCATGGCCTGCACCATTGCATTTAAAAATTTCATCTTTTTTTCATCTTCCATCATATTATTGATGGACACTGGATCCAAGACCGCATATACACCCATTGCCTCAGTGTCAGACATATCAGCTGTTTCTGTTTCTAACATATCACATATTTTTGATGAGACTGTTTGTCGAACTCTCTCCTTCATCTCTTGTAGCGACATCTTTAACTAGTCAAATTAAGAATCCGTCACACAGTCTTTCCTTGGCGATACAGAATATCTTCTAATCGAGCGCTGATTCCTTCAGTTATGCCACACAGTCAAGTATTGGTTTCCTATCCTAGTAAGCTCGTCTAAAGAACTTCTGACGTTTTAGCCTGCATAGAGATTTCGTTCAATGATGTATGTAAAATGTGCACTGCTCACTTAGATCTGCAAGCACAATAAATTTAAGACTCTTTGACACTTATGCTAAAATTTGTTGAATAAATTTGTGAGAAATACCATACTTCTAAAAAGACTGTCTCTGTTTTAGGTACAGATATTATATCCAAGTTCTAAGTAGTCGTCTCTGGAAAACTCGAGCAATAGTTTTCTCTCTCAGGTCTACTCCTTAGACTTGGCTCTGTAATCACAAAATATTTGGGATTGTACAGCGTCATGTATACTAATTTTGTCTACCGTTACTTCCCAAAAATTTCCAAAAACAAAGTTAATTGGACATCCCTAATTTATCTGGAGTAAATTTAAACTCGGAACTTTCTCGACATAGTACAAGTGATTCAAATCAATTCGCAACACTTTTTGCATAAACAATGTAATAAAAATCATTGATGTACCTATATGTGATTAATGTATATGTACATACAGAATGCGGTAAAAACAATGATATAACTGAAGTTATTTTTCTCATAAAGTAAGAAAATTGAAACTTTATACGTTTTCTCGAGAAAATCGTTTTAAAATCTGTCACGGTCTGTCACATTACATTACTAGTTACATTGTTTCGTTATCGTTTTCACAATTTCTCACACTGTCAATAATTCGCAAATTTAATTCTTTGACAAACATATCAATAATATTAACAAATAATGCATTTATATATTGTAAACAAATAATTTTTAATATTAAGATAATGAATTTGACGAATGTAATTACAATAGTTAAGACACTAATTAACAAGATAGATCATATCCATTATACAATTATCTAAAAACATTAATATTATAGTATAAAGGGTGCCTTCTCAATGAAATAGAAATAAGATTATAAATAAATACGGTAGCTAATAACATAAAATATTTATGAGAGTTACAATACCGTATTGATAAAAGATAAGAAAAATAAATAATCTCTGTATAATCTTCTATAAAATTATTTGCATTAATTGTAATCAGTCTTTATTACAAATATATAATATTGTAGACATTTCGACAGGGAAAGAGAGCATATGTGAGGCAAATTAATCAAGAACGTTCGTTCTCGCGGAGATATACAATTTCGCATCTCGATCATGATTAACATATATATATTATAATAAATAACAGCGCTTTGAAACCGCGAGCCTAATTCGCGCCGCAAGTCTATCGACTATGTAAAGAAATAACTTTGCTTACATAATGTATTTTTCTACGTATATTTTGTACTTACGAATAAATTTCTAAAAATATTCCGCATGGATTATTCCGATTACCTACTGCATAGTTTAAATCGGAAGCTACATGTAAATGATATTACAATAGATATAAGTTCCTTTTACTCATTTCATAAATTATTTCTTATTTTATAGAATTTTACGAGATGGTCAATGTAATGCGAGTTTTTAATTGTTTTTTATCATGCACAAAAGTGTAACAATTATTTTCTCTTTATTTGTAATTATCGCTCATGTTAGTAAGATGATATTTTCGTATACGATATTGGTACAAATAAGTATTCAATATGACACAATATTGAAGAGATAATGTAACATACTTGGAAAATGCTTGTCCTTTCGCTTACGTCGTCTCGGTAGATTATATTATAGAATTGTATTATCACTTTCTCTCGTGAGATCTTTCGGATTCGGAATCCTTCACTCACTCGGATCTAGTCGACAACGCAATGGCTCGAAAAAACAATTGAAGGAGCAAAAGAATAAAAGTGAATCAGACAAAAAAGAATCGAACAAAAGAAAAATCTTTTGTTCGATTCTTTTTTGTCTGATTCACTTTTATTCTTTTAAAAATCTTATAATGCCATCTATCTGCTATCCTATTCATTTATACATTCATACTATATGTACTAATATTTCATGTCGATGTAATATTTTCTCATAAAAATAATTTAAAGTATATATAATTTTTTTAATTAAATATCTTTAAGTAAAAAGAAGTTTCAACATTTTTTTATCTGGTTCGATACGATTATATCTTTACGAAAAAAAATTATGTATATTTAAGAACAAGAACTATAATAGCAAGCTAAAAATAATCTTGTCAATTCAATTATAATAATGTTAACCAATGCGTCATACTCTTGTTCTAATTAAATTGTTATTGGTTTCATTGATTAATTGTTATTGAATTATTTTCAATTAGACTGTTATTAACGGTACTATTACATCTTTTAATTATTGTTTCCATGTATAATACGCGAAAGTACGAGGATGTTTCTCGAAAATCATTTCGGTACTAATTATTGTAAATCAATCGTTTAGAAATAAAAAATTCTTTAAAATATTCGTATCAACACAATTATCATAAAAATCTTTGCCTATTCCGTCTTAAAAAAAAGCTCCTGATTTTACAATTCTTCAATTTACTAAAAAATTCTTTTTTACATAAAAGCTATATATACTTATATTTTAATTCGCAAAAATTGTTTCTTACGATACGCTCGTTTTTACTCAATAAAACCGCCTAAGTCTCATAAGCCACCTTGACTATTGAACTGAGCCGCTCTGGGAAGCATTTCTAAATATTTACATGCAGCATCCCAGCGATTCATCGTCGCGCGAATGCCAAAACATTCGCCGACCGGTTCGTGCCCGTCGATGACAACAAGCGCGCGGCGCGCGACCCGGCTACAATACATATATGTATTACGCGGGCGCGGCGTGCCGTTCTGTTGCTTTTCTTGTTGCTGGAGAACGGTGGCTCTCGGCGAACAAGGTTGTGAGAGGCGGATAAAATGGCGAGCGCCGGCGGGGTCAGAGGATAATGGGGCATACGTGTCGCGCGCGATCGCGCGACGATTGCACCCGGGACGCGGGCGGGTACATACATATTTTACTGTTACAGGACGACGCGCGGCGCGGGTTCGGCGGCGCGTATATATAATTGTGCCCGCCGAGCACCAGTATCGCGAACGGCGAGGACTCGATTGCAGGTGTGCGCCGCCCGGTGTGTAATCTCCCGGGTCGATCTCTCTTAATTTCAGTATTTCACGCGAGAGGAACGTGCTCGCCGGGGACGGAGTTAGTTAGCGACGGCGCTCTCCCGGGAACGACCTCGCGGGTACGCGACTCTTGGCCCCGCGAAGAAACGGCAGGATCGCGGAATCAGAGGAGGAGAGCCAGACGCGCGTTTCGCGATCGTACCTCGGCGATCGAGATCGTAACTTGCGCAACGTGTGCCCCGCTGCGCGGCGGCGTCCCATTATTCGCAGCGAGTTAAGTACCGCGAGCGCGCGAGGTCGTCGTCGCGTCTACCGCGGTGATACACCAGGTATACGATTACCCGCGTGTTGTACGCGTGCAGCTTTCGACGGGAGGGCTTATTCGAGTGATAGCGTCGCCGGAGCATTCGTGAACGTCTGGGACTGTCGAGGTGACGCGTCCGGTACTCGGTCGAGTCAAACGGTTGAGGACGCGTCGAGCTCGCCACCTGGGGAGTAGCGCGCGGTGCGGCTCCCGTCGCCGGGAGGGAGAGTCGTTTCGCGACCCGCGGAACTCTCGCACGGTCGAACTCGCCGGAGAGAAGAGGGAAACCGAGGAGCTGCATTGCCTCGTGTACCATGCGCACCGTCCACGAAGGCACGTACCGAAGGACCGAGAGCGACGCGACGTTCACACCGCCAACAGCGGTACGTTATTGTACGCGCGCGACACGCGCCATCGGCGTAAATATTGAAACAAAGTGACGTAACATTAAGTTGCGCGAGGCATGATAATAAGCGCGGGGACGTCGTCGTCGTTGCTCGTCGGCGCGCCTCGCGATCAGATAAAGCGCACGAAATTGTTCCCCGTTTCGAGGTCGACGCACCGCTCGCGTGTCCGCCGCCGCGGAGGAGCCCGATAAAAGGTTCAGTCCGGATCAGCCGTCGTTGCCGGCCTGCCGTCGCATTCCCGAATTCCCGCCGGCGGAGACGCACGGAATGGAGGTGAGTCTCTCTCTCTCTCTCTTTCTCTTTCCCCTCGTGCTCCCCTTGGCGCAAAGAAAAATAGAGGAAAAAAGAAGCTTCGGAGTTTCCGGAGCAGGATCGCTTTCACGACACTCCACCGTGTAATCGCCGTGGAGTGGAGAGGCGGCCGGGTCATTAGGGCGATGTAACGCCGTGCGTCTGCCTGTTCCACAGGTGTTTCCTTGGGCTTCCTGCGATCTAAAGCGAATTACGCGCACGTTTCGGATCATAGGAAAGTCGGAGAAGCGTGGCAGAGGAAGCGTCGGGAAATAGGAAAGTGTACAGCTAAACGGAATGAGCTCCCGCTGTCATGAGCGTGACGACACTCTTATTTATCTCTTCACGTTTGAGCAACGAGCGAACTCTGACAGTTGCGCAAAACGCGAATCTGCAAGGCGGAGAGAACGTGATTAACGGTGATTCGATAGCAGTTTAACTGAAAATTATCTTGCCAATTCGATGTATTAGTAAAGCAATTAAATACGTCACGCTCTCGGTTTGACAAAATGTTATTCGTTTCATTAATACTGTTTTAATTAAATTGCTGTGTTGGTTAATGCTGTTAATACGATATATCAATTTTTTCCAGCTTTACGAAATTATTATTGAAAGCGAGATCCCTTTTCACTTCAAAGTAAAAAATACTTTATTCGTTTTATTAACTATTTTAATTAAATTACTGGTCGGTTAATGCTGTTAATACGATATATCAATTTTTCCAGCTTTATGAATGGAAACGAGATCTCTTTTCACTTCAAAGTAAAAATAAACAAAAAATACTTTACACTCGGATTTTATTGCACATATTTTTTTTCTTGAAAGATTAATAAAATAAAAATAAATACCGATAGAGATAAAAATATAATTATTGAATAAGGACTAAAGAATATTTGATAAAAAATACTTATAAGGTATCTGTAATAATTATTTCTTTACTTAATGTGTGATGGATATTATTAGTGTTATTGGAGATCTGGATGTGAAAAGGTTTGGGTTCCGCTCAGCGAGAGTTAACTATCTCGCACTGTTGCGCGTGACATTGCGACTATGTTTACAGTGACATTTTTCATTGAATCGCCTATGCAATGTTGATATCATATCTCTCGCCTCTTCGCTTATTAATTTGGCGCTTTAATTGCAAGAACGGGCGCTATTCTAGTGCGACACGAAAAGGGGAAAAAATGATAAAAATTCCTGGAAATTAAAAAATTGAAATAAACGCGTGCTTATAATTGCTTCATCGCTGTATAATTTAATTAGGCTAATAATGCAGCACATTTCTATATGTAATAATATTGCCATTTTCTCAGCTAGATAGAACAGTCAATAAATGATATTTCTGTTATATGTTTGCGGAAAATTTTTGTACGCATTTTCTTCTTAAGTTTGCTTGTTTATTTCAAGAAAATATAATTAAAGTGGTCGTTGGCGAGAAAAATTTTACTTAAAATATTAATTATTTCTATTTACTTTCTGCACTTCAAACGGAATATTTTACGAAAGTTAAGGGCATCATTTTTATTTAAAGAATTGAAAGAAATCAATGTATCATCTTTATTTGCAAAATGCAGTAGCCTTTCGTCTATGCGTAGTTGAAGTGACATTTTCATTAATTAGCATCTTACGATGAATACGTGTCGCAAGTTGAAATCGACGACGATAAGGGACCTTGGAAGACCTGATTCTTCCGAAGCCGATTGACTTCAACTATAATTCGATTCGGTTGACGTAATATCGTACGCGATCTTCATACGGAATGACACGAACCTCATGATTGGATTGGGGCGATCGTATATAATTGATGCAAAAAACGATGCAAAAAAATATAAATATCTCTACCTCTCGAAAGAAGACGAAGTGATGACTGTACAAATTATGATTTAGGTGATGATGATATATTAAGTTCTTATTCACGTGATGGCCTTATACTTGTGATAAGGATGCAGGAAGTCGATAGACAGTTGACTTGATTGAAGCTTCAAGTGATCGCATATACGATCTATATATCTTTAACGCTTCTAGTCACCTTTGGACTTATTGTGAGTCTGAAATATTATTCCGTTTACATGACGAGGCTAATCGAGTCTCTCGAGCAATGTTCTTCGATTCTTATCCCACGTGTTGTTTATATACGTTTTACAATTTATTTACGCTCGGAGACGAGGCATGATTTTGACAGTCCGAATGTTAATCGACATCGGGAGTACCGTGATGCATGCCTCCGACCTTAAGTCGGTCGCTCGGACATTCCTCGGAGGGAAGCGAAGATGGTGCACGGCGAGGAGGAGGAGGAGGGACGACGAAAGAGGCGGCGAGGAAGAGTCGTGGCCCATTTCTTTTAGAAGGGAAACGATGATTACAGTTAAGCCGTTATACCTCCGCGTACGTCTCGGTCGCTCGCTCAGTTTTCTGTGGAGCGGCATTCCTGACCGGCGTCTCACGTCACAGCTGGAAATCCTCGTGAGAAACCTGCACCTCGGTGTAGCGGCTGTGTGGCAACCAGCTTCTCGCTGTCCTCGCCTCGCCTCGCCTTGCACACGCCACGGCCAACCCTTTTACGGCACTTTTCTCACCGGAGACACCGGAGACGTCGAGGTATTACTAAAGACCGACCTTCATGTCTCTTTTCCAGGCCCGGTTAGAAATCGCCACCGCGAAAATCTTTATCCGCGCGATCTCGGATGACATCCGAGCGAATGTAAAAGTTTACGAATCAACGAATAATTCGGTATATAAATAGAGATAGAGGACAGGCAACTTTGGTGTAAACATCGAAGTGATTTAAAGAGGAAGAAAATAAGCGAGATTTTATCGTGATAAAAGCATCCGGGTAGATGTGTTTGCTGATACGAAAAAAAAGCGCTCGACGATAGCTTTGATTTTTGCCGAAGCATCACAGCACGCTCGCAATTTCGGTCCCGTCTGTATTATTTTTAGTTTCGCAATAGAAAATGTGTCATTTTATTTATCTATCTTGTGACTTTACGAGTGACGTGTCGAACAGTTGCAGAGGGAACGCGATATATAATTTCTTCTAAAGATAAAAGCTGATAACGCTCGATAACGATCGATTAGCGACGGCAGAGATGACGGTTATATTGTTGCAATGAGCGATTTGCTGCACCGCTGAAAAACCCTTTCACCTTCCTATCGCACATATGTGCGATTCTTTTGAAAGCGTTCTCGTTCTCCAACGGCGGTATCACTCGAACGAGGCAACGTATCTCGCTGTTTATCAATATAATTACAATAGTTTGCAATCGGTCCATTAATCAACGTTGAGTTCCCAGATGGATAAGTGCGATGAGAAAATATGATATCGAAAGAATTGAAAGACGTACGCACAAATACAAAACACGGTGAACATAAAAGTTTAAAAGACGCCGATTCACATTTTTTATATCTGCGAATCAGTTATCGGACACTCCATTACTTAAAAAAGGATCAGATAAGTTCTTCGACTATTTGATCTTCGATCTTCCACATTACGGAGTTGGCTCTGTCTTTCAAATGAGTGAGACTCTTTTTGTCTTAGAGTTTTCGAATTCTTCGTGAAGGAATTTAAAATCTCTTCTGACGAAACTATTGAATTTTAATGTCGAGCGATCTCGTGCAACTCTCTCTCTCTCTCTATCTTTCTCGAGGAGAGTTAAAGAATTAGACGCGCACACGATGCGGTGTTTTACATTTTAACATGAGAAATTTTTGGTATGCGCGCAGGAGGAGCGAAGACTGGAGCAGTTAAAGAGGGCGACGGACAGAATACAAAGGGAAATCGAAGAAGTTACCGAGAGGGAGCACGAGCTGCGGAACGTGGGCAGCATTAAAACCACATCCCACGAGACGGTAGACTGCAAGGTATCTTCAAAACGCGTACTCCAAATAATGCGGTTTAACGTCTTGTGCACCTTTCCGTATCTGTAAATCCCACGCGTGTTTGGCATCTACTTTTCGTTTGTGAAAATAAAAATATTTCAGAGTTTCAAGTACATCCACGGTAATCGATTCTGTCCCTCGGACACTTTTTTACATCAATGTTCATAGTCCATGCATGATTAACGAAACAAAATCATGCACGGACTATGTGATCACTTCTGGTGAAAATTTCCGAGGATTACCGTGAATTTCCAGAATCGATTACCGTGGGTGTACAGTCGTGGACATATCGGTTGCGACACTTTTTTTTTATAGGTTTTCATAGGTATATATTTAATATATATAATATATATTTCATAGGTAACTAATATTTTGCAAATTCGAACCATGAAGGTGTACTATTTTTAGTTTAGAGACAGTACACCATTCGCATTTGCAAAATGTTAGGGCGTTTCGAAAACCTATTAAAAAAAAAGTAACGCAACCGATATGTCCATGACATGTCTGTACATGCCTGAAGGAAAATATGAAAATCTGAAAATGTGAAAATTCCGTTTGAAGATTCGCGAAATCGTTCTCACAAGCACGAGAGATTCATTTGTATTTTGAAATAATATTTATTTGGCATTAATATTGATTTTACTGCATTATAGGTGCGCCGTATGCCACAGGCCCTGGCCTCGGGCAAACTGAAGAGGACAACGTCCACGCCGCAGATACTGGAGGCAGTCAGCCCGACGTCGCTGTCGCCAAACTTGACGCCAAAGATGACGAACGGTGTGATATCTACGCGCACCACGCCGACGCCGCTGCGCTTCGCGACCACGCCGAGCCAGAGGGGTCTGATGCACAGGTTCCTGGCCACGCGGGGAAAAATCTACAAGAGCAAGTCGCCGAACAACGACAGCTTGAGCTCCCCCGTAACGCCCAACATCACGCTCAATCCTCTGAGTATCAAGGCCTTCAACAGAACGCTGGAGATACCATTGGAGCCGGACGACGAGCCAAAGAAGCCGTTAACGAGGAAAGGATACGTTCCTGTCGAGCAGAAGATTCAAAAGGAGCTACATGACATGAGAGAACGAGAGAACGAATTAAGGTATCGAAGTTTTCGAATCGAAGAATTCAACGCAAGATATCGTTCTTTTAATAATAGATTAAGAGAGACGATTAATCTGAGAGTAATTTTTTAATTGTTTAAGAATAATTTTTGAAAACTCAAGAATTTGATTTGAACAATTATTACATTATCTCCAACGTGACAATAATCACTAATACAAATTTAAATACATAATTAACTTATATAAAAAGATTAATCTGAGAGCAATTTTTTAATTGTTTAAGAATAATTTTTGAAAATTCTCAAGAAAGCGATTTGAACCATTATTATATTATCTCCTATGTGACAATAATCACTAATACAAATTCAAATACATAATTAATTTATATATACATACACAATTTATTTAATATCTCATTTTGCTTGCGTAACGAAGGAAGCGGTAGAAAGGTAATCACCAAGGTATTGTTAAGACAAACTATTGCAATCAAAAAATCTAAAAAAGGATCTTTCATTCGATTATTATATTTGCAAATTCAAACTGATTCGTGTAAATCTCGTTTATCTTCCAGATTGATGAGATCGCAGATGTTGGCAAAGTCGCAGCCGAATCTACTTGATATAGGAAACGATAATGATTCCGACATTTACGACGGCTCGAGCTCTCTCAGAAGCGGCGCTTCCACTAACACTTTGAACGAGGACGAAATCGAGAGAGAACACAAGGGAAAGCACAAGGTTGGCGTTGTTTTCACAATGGCTACAATCAATTACTGTCATCCGAAACAAAGGCGTTAATTTATGATAAGAACCATTTCTTTGAAACGCGTTTGTTGACAGTTAATTGACTAAGCGAATAAAAAAGTCTACTTGTACTTGCAGCCTAGTCCACGACGTCGTAACACGCTCATCGCGCAATGGGAAAATCTGATAGCTGCCAAGAGAGAATCTATCGAGAATAACAACGAGAAAGACAGCTTCTGAAAGTTCTACAGCTGCTTTGCAGATAGCAACGCTGTCTTTGACTTTATCCTATCGGTATTCTATCTAAACGATCGATTGTAAATTAGTGATATTTAATATTAAAATATAACAGTTAGCAATTAACTGTTTCTACTGTAACAAGAGCGTTGCTCCGTCTTTCTTGAAGCACATCTTAAACGGATATTTTCTTGTTTTTTTTTATCTTGTTTTATATAGTTTATTTACGAATGAACAATTTTTTTTTAATATACTTGTTTGAATATTTATGCGTTAATTAGAGTTTATACCGTGTCGCGGCTGCGTGTTTTTTCAGTATTAAGTTGCTGGCTAAATGTCATTAAAACGCAACTGCTTGTGAAATTGAAGAATCTTAAGAAAGTATAGGGCACACATTTTTGTTTCATCGTTATTGATGGATTGGATGACATGAATAAAATATGTAAAATATTTTCACTCGCGAGCGACTGAAATTTTTGTACGTTAATCGCGTACGTTAATCATATTAATGTAACTTTGCGGGTGTAAAGTGCTTAATATTATAATCGTTAGCTCATTCGATTAGGACATGTGTATAGTATTACATATATGTGTATTAAATAATAATTAGTCGTAAAGATGGTTAAGAGATTCGACGGATATCTGCATGTGAAAAATTCAGTTGTAATAATAATATCGAATAATATTATATTGAATCGATTTTTGTAATTTTCTTTTTAAATCTCCAAAGATGAACGGTGATCGTTCGATTTTAAAAAATTATTATTTTGTCATATAATTTATAAGCAAGGTTATAAAAAATTGACTTTTTTTAACTGTCTTTTAATTTTTTTTAAATAAGAAAAATAAATATAAAGAATTTATTATTTAAAACTTTGATTTATTTCTTGGAAAAATTGAATTGAATAAACAAGACACAGGAAATAAAGATAAGAATCCTAACTGTAATGTTCTTATTGCACATAATGAGAGAGAAAGATGAGAGATTATTTTTATCCTACATCAATATTTCTCGTATACGAAGAATTCTTCCTTTATAGAACTTTTTGAAATCAATGATATAATTTGATTTTAATGAGACAGTTTTATAATAAACAGAATAAATGCATTTTTTATTCATACGGGTTATACATATGTATAACAGTTAATATAATCTGCAGTTATTACCAATATGATAATATAACATATACATACTGCAAAGTCATATCAATATTTATATTTTTGTAAGTATAAATATGCAGCTAAATAGATATGACTCGTTACAATTTAATCGTCTGAATAAAAACTCATTACAAATAATGCAAAAAATTTTAATTTTGCTGCTTTTTCAATATTATTTTACAAAAACGGTTCTTTAAGCTTAAAATAATTTATTTTCTAAATTTGAAAAAAACGTTTATTATATTAAAACTTTAATAAATACGTTTTTACAGATTTAAATTTTATGACTCTTATACGTATAAATTTTACTAAATAAATTGTTGGGCCAATCGATTTTTATATGCAAAGTATGTAAATTCAGAATCGAACTCGAGTCTTAATTTCGCTCAATATACAGACAATTGTTCTGTCATCTAAACATCTCGATATCAAGAACAAAATAATAAAGTAATAGTAAACAACGAATAGTACACACACACACACACACACACACACACACACACACACACATATATATATATAATATATATGTATACACACTTTTCGAAGGGTTACCTACTAAAAGCTTACCGATTGACTAATCATATACGATTTTCCATGACAAACACTTTGGAAAATTTCTCCCCTCTTCTTTCCCAAATGAGCAACCTGTTTCAAGATTGACCTTAATTCCTCGTTCAGTCAATAGAAGATACAATCGAACCTCGATAACTCGAATCTCAAGGGAACAGCTGTAAAAATCTTCGAGTCATAAAGGTTTCGCTTTATCGAAGTTCAAATAAAAGAGAATTAACATATGAAAATTACGAAAGCTTTGTACGAGAGTTTATAATTTATAATGAGTTTTAAAGGAAAATATTCGATGATTTTCGAGTCGGTTTTTGAGTTATAGAGGTACGAGTTATCGAGGTTCGACTGTATAACATACTTAAGCACTGATGGAGTGAGAAAAAATTTGATAACCGTCGTGTTGAACGTTCGGGAGTGAATATTACAGATCTACGATACACAAATTAGGCCAAAAGTTTATTATACGATCGTGGTGATACGGTTATTTACCTTATGCTACAAATTAATTGACCGTTTGATCGATTAAATTGAGCACGTATTTATAAGATATCATGTCGGGTTCGAGAAGGGAAGCGGAAAAGGAGCAACGTATCATTCTCGATCTTTACGCCAAAGTAGAAACAAATACTGAATCTTTTCTATGCTGCAGAGGGCGTATGGAAATTGTATGTCACGCGCTCATGGTCCATGCGTATTTAAATGAGTTAAAGAAAAATCCTAAGGAACGACCTTCTAAGGCCTCTAATGTAAAAAAATTGAGAACTTAGTACATGTACCAATTATGAAAAACTGAGAACTTAGTATATGTACCTATAATATGTAAACATAAATATGAGAACAGTGGAGGAGATTCGAGGAGGACGATCTTCCGTCTTCCCAGGGATGCAAGTATATTGTCCTATAATTCAGAAAATATATCCCATATATTCTAGTAATCTAGTTCAATAGCGGTCAAATTAAGTTGACAATCTGCAATGTCAAAATTCTTGTTTTTGCGCTCTCGAAACTCAAAATTGAGCATTCAATTTTTTCAAATGCTTGGGAAAAAAATAAAGATAATAATTTCTAATTGAAATAAAATTCATAGTGTTAATTAATGTGGTAATTTTCTAAATATATTATCTCCTTAGATTTGTACATATGTACATATTATAGTAATATAAAATATATATACTTCGCACTGTTTTATCTTTTAAGTAAAATATAAGGTGTGCTACTTTTCATTTATAGCAAATTTGCTATAAATTTAATAAAACGATTTATTAAATATTTCCGCAATATGCCAAAATCTATTTGTAGCCCTCTTCTCTTTAGGAATGTCAAGAATAACTTTTCTCTTCCGTTTTTAAATAACTCTTATTTAATTAATAATTAAAGATTGATGCTTTATTAGTTAATCATGGAATAAAATTGTATTAATTGAAAAAGAGACCAAAATGTTGGCCGCAACTTGACCGCATTCAAGAGCGCATTTATAGAAAGCTAGCAGACATACATATTTCAATTTTTAGTTTCTAGTAATTCTTATTGTCTTTTCCCTATTCGTTTCGTCCTTGAATATTAAAAGAGTGGGACATATCTTAATTATAAGAATATGAAGTGCCAAGTCATCACTTAACCATTAATAACCATATGTATATATTGTTTGGCTTAGTGTCCTGTTCACTTCCGCGTTGCAGAGGGTATCTTATAGCTGTTACGAAAGTGATATCGCGGTATATATTTATCGCTTTGATTTATAAGTTTTGCGGTTATTGTTCAATATCTTTTATAATATCATATAAGTGCAGATTATATAATATATTTGGACAAACCACATTTTGTATGAACGATAATCGGCGTGCCTTATTTCTACATATTTGTTGTTTTTTCTTCCAAAAATATAAAATCGTTTTAAAAGAAATACATAACAGCTACATAATAGTAACATTAGAATTATAATATAATTACTGTCTCAGGAGACGTAGCATATATACGTACATAGCATATGGAAGTGAAGTTATACTACACTATGAAGAACGTTTTATTTCTTTTAGATGTCTCTCGCGGGAAAAGTTGTTCTGATAACAGGGGCCAGTTCAGAAATTGGAGCTGCAACTGCTGTTCATCTAGCTAATCTTGGTGCAAGACTATCGATAACCGATCGCAATAAAGAGAGTTTAGACAAGATAGTCGAACAATGTGGCCAAAATAAGCCGTTTATCGTAACGGGAGAGCTAACTAATGAGAGCGATGTGAAAAATATTATCGACTCGACGATCAGGCACTACGGCAAACTAGATGTTTTAGTTAACAACACTGGAAATTTGGAAATGGATGGTATAGAGACTACAAGTTTGAAGCAGTACGATGAGTATGTGATGAGCTAATAATATAAATGTCTTTGGGAATTGATAAATTACAATATCTCATTCTATTTCGAGGATACGTTGATATCACGAAAACGTATTGTTTTTAGTATTTTCAACGTAAGTGTTCGCTCGATGTATCAATTAACAACACTGGCGGTGCCACACTTGATCAAAACAAAAGGCAACATTGTAAACGTTTTTAGCATGGCTGGATTACGAGTTCTGCCATCAAATACTTTGTCATACTGTATGAGTAAGGCGGCCGTGGATGAATTTACGCGTTGCATCGCTTTAGAATTGGGACCCCAACAGGTGCGTGTAAAGATAACGTCTATATCATTTTTAAGTATTGTTTCACGTCGTAATTATTATTTCTAAAATGCACTAGATGCGCGTGAATGCCGTGAATCTTGGTATAATTGTAACAAACATCTTTCAGCGGAGTGGAATGAGCGAAGATCAGATTAAGAGTTTTGTCGAGCATAACAAAATCACGCATGCTCTAAGAAGAACAGACTCTTTCGAAGTTGCAAGGACCATTGCATTTCTAGCGAGCGACGATGCGGGCTCCATAGCAGAGGGGTGACATTACCTGTGGATGGAGGTAAACACGTTATGTGTCCTCGCTAAATATCTTAGCTCGTCTGTACAAATGATGTACGTTATATATTTCATGTTATCGTCAAAACCCATAATCGTTAAAACCTGATTTCACTAGTTAAAACTAGTTTTAAATTTTGTTTAAACGAAGTCTACATATAATTATACAGTTTCACATTTTTATTTTTATTTTAATTTTTCACGTAGCGAGGTCCAACTCCCCCTCCCCATTTACAGGACGAAATGAGGTCTATAATTGTACTGCCCACATTAGTTTACAATTCTTTCGTCTAATTAACCATTCTAGTTTTAACTAGTAAATTCGTGTTTTAATGGATTATGGATTTTGACGATAACATACACATGTAAACTATATCATATGTCATACTTATATTAACAAGACGCTACATTTTATGAACAACATTTATATTCTATTCTATTAGTTCTAAAAAAACATATTGAGAAAATATTTTAGATTCATATATGTTGATCGTAATTGTTATGTTTGTTATGTTATTTCTATGAAATAAGATACTTCTATCCTTGTATTTGCAAAAGGAAAAAATAAAATAAAAATTTGTTTATAGCATAGAGAGAATTTGAATAACAATTCCGATTTAAATAAACAATAGTATTCATTGCAAAAAATGCAATAAGTGAATTTTATTATCTTCCTTTAATTTTACAATGCTCGTATTGTGGAAAAAGACTAGAGAATTTTATATTAAAGTAGGAAAATTTAAATCTTGTTCAGTCAATAGAAAATATAATGTACTTAAGCACTGGTTTGAGAAAGAATTCGGTGACCGTCGTGTTGAACGTTCGGGAGTGAATATTACAGATCTGCGATAAAAAAATTCGGCCAAAAGTTATTATACAATCGGTAATACGCGGTTATTTACCTTACGCTACAAATTGACTAACCGTTAAATTTCAAACGCTGGGGAAAAAAATAAAGATAGTAATTTTTAATTGAAATAAAATGTATAGTGTTAATTTACTAAATATTATCTCCTTAGAATTGACCATATTATAATAATATAAAATACATAAACTTCGCACTGTTTTATCTTTTATGTAAAATATGAGGTGTACTACTTTCCATTTGTAGCAGTTTTGCAAATTTAATAAAATGATCTATTAAATATTTCCACAATATGCCAAAATCTAATCGTAGCCCGCTTCTCTTCAGTAATGTCAAGAATAACTTTTCTCTTCCTTTTTTAAATAATTCTTATTTAATTAATAATTGAAGATTGACGTTTTATTCATTAGTTAATAATGGAATAAAATTGCATTAATTGAAAAAGAGACAAAAATGTTGGCCGCAACTTGGCCGCATTTAAGAGCGCATTTATAGAAAGCTAGCAGACATACATATATCAATTTTTAGTTTCTAGTAATTCTTATTGTCTTTCCCCTTTTCGTATCGTTCCTGAATATTAGAAAAGAATTGGACATATCTTAATTATAAGAATATAAAGTGCCAAATAATAATGTTTTTTTGTATAATATTTGTCCTGGTGTCCTGTTCACTTACGCGTTGCAGAGGGTACCTTATAGCTGTTACGAAAGTGATATCGCAGTATATATTTATCACTTTAATTTATGAGTTTTGCGGTTATCATTTAATATCTTTTATACTATCACTGTAAGTGCAGATTATATAATATATTTGGACAAACCACATTTTGTATAAACGATAATCGGCGTGCCTTATTTCTACATATTTGTTGTTTTTTGTTCCAAAACCATAAAACCGTTTTAAAAGAAATACATAACAGCTACATAATAAGAACATTAGAATTATAATATAATTACTATCTCAGGAGACGTGGCATATATAGGTAAAATATGGTAGTGAAGTTACAAACAGTGTGAAGAACGTTCTATTATATCTCTTAAATGTTTATGAGCAGACACACATCACCGTCTATAAAAAGAAGAATACGTCAAATCTTATAAGTATATATAATGTGCCAAGTCACTAATCATAAATCGTATTCGTTGATATAAGTATCCGAGTCGATTACGTCTGCGTTGCAGAGAACATCCAACTGTTACGAACGCGATATCGCGGTCGTTATCACTTCAGTTTACAATTTTTCGCGCGGTTATCATTCAGTATCTTTGTACTATCACGGTAAGTACATTATATATTTGGAAGCAAACCACATTTTGCATAATTCGACACAATAACCGGCCTTATTTCTAATATGTATATACAATGCATGTACGTTGCAACAATTAATTAAGCTACAATACTGAGGTGTGTTCCGTTTCAGGCATGATGCGCATGATGTATCATTTTATTCTTGTTTATAAGTGAATAACAAAGATAAGATGATACATCATGTGCAATAAAAAATGACACGAAACACCACGCTTGTAAAGAACTTTTATTTCTCTTATAGATGTCTTTCGCGGGAAAAGTTGTTCTGATAACAGGAGCCAGTTCGGGAATTGGAGCTGCAACTGCTATTCATCTAGCTAATCTTGGTGCGACACTATCGATAACCGGCCGCGATAAAAAGAATTTAGACAAGGTAGCCGAACAATGTGGCCAAAATAAGCCGTTCATCGTAACGGGAGAGCTAACTAATGAGAGCGATGTGAAAAATATTATTGATTCGACGATCAGGCACTACGGCAAATTA